CTCACGAATTTTTTTCTATAGAAAAAAATCGACCTCTGAGGGACTCACGAATTTTTTTCTATAGAAAAAAATCGACCCAAAGGGTCTCACGAATTTTTTTCTATAGAAAAAAATCGACCCAAAGGGTCTCAAGAATTTTTTTCTATAGAAAAAATTCGACCTGGTTGGTCTCACGAATTTTTTTCTATAGAAAAAATCGACCTGGTTGGTCTCACGAATTTTTTTCTATAGAAAAAAATCGACCTCTGAGGGTCTCACGAATTTTTTTCTATAGAAAAAAATCGACCTCTGAGGTTCTCACGAATTTTTTTCTATAGTAAAAAAATCGACCTGGTTGGTCTCACGAATTTTTTTCTATAGAAAAAAAATCGACCTCTGAGGGTCTCACGAATTTTTTTCTATAGAAAAAAATCGACTTGGAGGGTCTCACGATTTTTTCCTATAAATTTCTGTAGTAAAAAGTGGACCCAACTGTCCGAAGGACCCGAAGGGTCTCACGAATGTTTTTCGGTAGAAAAAAATCAAAAAATCTATATAAAAAATACGGAGAACCTTGGGTCGAAAGAAAAAATTCTTAAGACCCTGAAACCCTTGGGTAGATTTTTTTCTATACAAAATATCCTTAAGAACCTCCATGTCGTTTTTTTATAGAAAAAAATCCGTGTCTTCCTCCAGGTTGATCTTTTTCTATAGAAAAAAATTGGTGATACCCTTGGGTCTATTTTACCATTTACTCAATTTAACCATGATTCAACTGTTTTCAAAACCCCATACCCTATTCGAATCTTTCTCTCTCTCTCTCTGTCTTTCACTAATTAATATTCAAAGCATAACATTCTGAATAAGTGCCACCATTATTTATATTTGGAAATTTATTAATTGGAAAAGAATTTGAATGAAATCAATGAATGGCAAAAGAACACACACGCACATACATACACATACATGGATGTGTGTACATGTGTTGTACAGCATGGTGCTATTGTCTTTTCAACACACAGTAATAATGCCAATAAATTGTCGACAAATCAGGGAATAACTCAAAACAGACGACCGACAATGGGACAACAACATCGTCGACGACGGCGACAACAACAACACCAATCATAACAACATTACAACAAAAATTGGTATGCACGTAAATGGCCGATATAGGGCTTCATTACATTCGTCACAAGCGAACTTACAAGCAACAGCAGACAAGTGGTCAGATGGACAGACCGCCAAATGGAGAACAAAACCAAATGACAATAGAACATACAGAATGACAAGCCAGAAGAAAACAAAACAAAATCTAAAAATAAAGAAAACAAATGTCCAATAGCTTATGTGGTGGTGGTCAGGGTGACGGATAGGTGTGAGAGCTGGTGCTGAAAATTCGAGCTTGCTAAAAAAAAATATGTTTCGGTGGCGCATGAAATTTGCTAAAAAAAAGGGGGAATTTTTTTCCCCAGGCTGGCGTCTCTATAGCGGCTTAAAACGGATTTGGCCAAACCAAAACAGAAGCGAACAACAAAAACAATGTCAAAACACAGCAAAGGAATGCGAAAAAGTAATTGCGAAGAATCGGAGAAAGAAAATAGTTAGAGGGCATATAACGACCCACCATTATTTACCAAAAAAAAAAAAAAAAAAAACAATAATTATGAAATGTTATTGACAATTGTTCGAAAAAAAAACACTTAACAAAATTGAAAAAGAGAAATTCTTATGTCAATGGCCTTTGGTAAAACAATATGCGTTGTTTTTTATTTCTTCGAGAATGGCAAAGAGACAATTACTTACTTAGCTGGCTTGTGGCAGAACTTACCTTCCATAAGCCGAGCTTAGAAAGGACTTTCAGGCGCGTCGGCCTTTTGTGCAGTTTTTCCAATTTGAAAGACCATTTTCGGCGATATTATCTTCGACTTGATGTTTCCAACGTATTCTTGGCCATTAGCTGGTTCACTTTTATATGCTTTCTGGGCTGGGGCATCTTCAACCATTCTCACAACATGACCTAGCCAACGTAGTCTCTGCAGCTCAATGCGTCTAACAATGTCTATGTCCGAAAATAGCTGGTACAACTCATGGTTCATTCGACGGCGATATTCACCGTCAACGCAGATCGGCACATAGATCTTTCGGAGAAATGTTTTTCTCAATCACTCCAAGAGCTGCCTCATCTGCTTGCGTAAGTACCCATGCTTCAGATCCGTATAACAGCACGGGTAGTATCAGCGTCTTGTAGAGTGTGAGTATGGTCTGGCGGGAGGTGGCCTTGCTTTTGAGTTGTTTGCTCAGACCATAGTAGTATCGGTTGGCCATCACTATCGTTCTCCGAATTTCAAAACTGATGTCATTCGTTTTGTTTATATGAAATCTTTGACTACCTCGAAGCTGTATTTCTCAAGATTCACAGTTGGTCCGAGTCTACTGGACGTCTTGCCCGTTGATACCATCAGCTTGGTCTTCTCGCCGTTTACTGCCAGACCCACTTTGGCCGACTCCTTCTCAATTTGTTCAAAGGTGGCTGTTACCGCTCGCAATGTTTGACCCATTATATCGATGTCATCGACGTAGTAACATGTGGTGTTTGGTTGTACAGATTGCCATTTCTGTTCACCTTTGCGTCTCGTATGACCTTTTCCAGCAGGATGTTAGAAAGATCACACGACAAACTGTCACCTTGTCTGAATCCTCGTTCGGTATTGAAGGTCCTTTCCGAATTTAACTGCCGACCTTGTGTCATTTAACGTTATTCTGCATAGCCGTATTAATTTTGCAGGAATGTCGAACGCAGACATGGCTTTAAACACAGCTAAACGGATAGGGCTGTCGAATGCGGATTTATAGTCGACGAATAGGCCGCATTGGTATGGTCCAATAACGTCATTGACCATTGGCTTCAGTCGTCCACACAGCACACTGGATAGCACTTTATATGCGATGGGAAGAAGGCTAATACCTCTATAGTTGACACATATCGTCTTATCTCCTTTTTTGTGCACGGGACACAGGATGCTGAGGTTCCAATCATTGGACATGCATTCCTCTAGCCAAATTGTACTAATCAGCTGGCGTATGCTCCTGGCCAGCATCTGATCACCAGTCTTGAGAAGTTCGGCTGGTAATCCATCGGCTCCTGCTACTTTATTGTTCTTCAGCCGATTAATCATTGGACATGCATTCCTCTAGCCAAATTGTACTAATCAGCTGGCGTATGCTCCTGGCCAGCATCTGATCACTAGTTTTGAGAAGTTCGGCTGGTAATCCATCGGCTCCTTCTGCATTATTATTCTTCAGCCGATTAATTGCTCTGACCTCATCAGGTGGCTAGGTGGTACACACTCTATACCTCTTATTGGTCTTATTGGTTCTGGGGTATCTTCTTCACCGCCACTATTTGATACCAGAAGCTTTTCAAAATGCTCCTTCCAGATCCTGAACACGTTGTCTGTATCTGTCACCCGGTTTCCTTCTTCATCTCTACAGGAAGATGTGCCTGCACCAAGGCTTCGAATTGGTGTTTTAATCGTTGTTAAAATTTCCGGACTTCATTCTGACTCATGTACATCTCGATTTGCTCACGCTCACGTTTTTCTTGTTCTTTCTTTTTTTTGCTAAAAATACGTTTCTCTTCTCTCCTTTTCTCCCAATAATTTTCCATCGCATTATGTGTTGCTACTGTCAGCAGGGTTGCCATATACGCTGCGTTTTTCACATCAGTAGCATTACGACTCCCCTGATCGTCCCATGGGTTTTTTGATGGTGGTTTTTGGTAACCAGGTATTGCTTTTGCATCGATTTTTCAAAAAGGGCAATTTATGCCACTGATCGTAGATTTTATTTAAGATTTTTAAAGGTTCCTTAGCATAAAATTTTCGGATCTTCTTTTTGGTGCACCAAAGACCCTACATATTCTTCGATTTGCACGAAATTTGGCATAGCGTACTAAATTAAGTCTAGAATGATGTGTGCTAAGTTTCACGAAAATCGGTTCAGATTTAGGTATAGCTCCCATATATAGTTTCTTCCGATTTAATAGAAATGGTGATATTGGTGCCACCTCTTTTACGCCGTACCCTCTCCACAATGTGAAATGTTAGCCTACTTATATCACTACCTTTTATGTGTTTGGATTTCTCCGGTTTCCTCACCATGATGGGTTTCTTTGTGCCCTTCAACTTCCTTAAGCCAGGTGGCGTTGAAGATGGTATGGACGATAAATACATCCCCTGAGGTCCCGCAATTTTTTTCTCATAGTACCCACACGTGTGTAACAAAAAAATTGTTTTTGCGTTTCAATTTTCTCATTGGCCAGTTTGCCGTTGTTTATGACTCAGGTCCAATGTCCTCAAAACAAAAAAAAAACTCATTACTTTTTTCTTGGAGGCAAATAATTTTACAGTTCGAATATTCGCATTCGAAGTGACATGTTTTGAAAAGTATGTTACTTTTAGGAAAGAAAAAATACCAAGTTGACTATCCATCAACGGCTATAAGTATAAGACGATCACGTGCGTCACTCCGATCACTCCCTTCTCTCCGAAACTCATTTGGCTGCAGGCCATGAGAATTCGCAAGAACACCAAAGGCAACAATAAAAACATATCTATTATATACATATGTATATTCCTCAATCTGCGAACATAATGGTTGTGGGACAAAATATTCCTATGAAATCGTGACATTTCATTATGGGATCATTATGGTTAAGTTGCGGAATTACTGTGGCCAACAACAACAACAATAATACACAACAACACATGACATGTGTTGGACACACACCCCTTTCTATTTTGTTCGGATTTTGGAAAGAAAAACATGAATAGATTATAAATATATTTTTTTAAACACCTACATACCTATATATAAATACATATATACCTCTTATAGGTATCTGTTATATATATATAGAGATCTTCTTCTTTTTATTTTCCCACTTTGAAACAAAAAACAACAACCTTGAAATATTATTTTCCATTTCATTTCACGTCTTCCCATTTCGCTACTTTCAGATTAAATGGCCGCAACACAACAAAATCATCGGAATGGTCCGGTTGCCGATGAACCAGCAGCCTCCGACAGTTTGGTAGCCAAGTCGAATAATCATCAACAGGACAACAAGGACCAGCAATTCGAAGATGTGGACAATTCAACGGCAGCAGTTGTTGTACCACCGGACAGTGGCTGGGCTTGGGTTGTTATGGTGGCCTCCTTCCTCTGCTGTACCATCATTGATGGTATTGTCTTCTGTTCCGGCTTCATCCAAGACGACCTGATAAAGGAGTTTAATGTGAGCAAATTCTACGTCTCCTTTGTGTCGTCGCTGCTGAGTGGTTGCTATCTGATGGCTGGTCCATTTGTAAGTGCAATGGCCAATCGTTTTGGTTTCCGTCCCGTAACAATCGCTGGTGCTCTCTTTGCAGCCGTCTGCTTTGTGGCCTCCAGTTATGTCCAAAGCATTGAATTGTTGATGTTCGTCTATGGTGTCCTGGGTGGCATTGGGTTCTGTATGGTCTACATACCTGCCGTTGTCATCATTGGTTTCTATTTCGAGAAATGGAGAGCCTTGGCCACTGGTATTGCCATGTGTGGTTCCGGTGTCGGCACCTTCGTCTTTGCCCCTCTCTCCAGCTACTTGCTGAAGAACTACGACTGGAGAACTATGTTACAAGTCCAAGGTCTAATCATTGTGGCCTGTGCCATCATTGGCATTGCCTTCCGTCCCATCCAACCGCTCACCTTGGCCGTCACCGACAACGGTGTCGAAGAGGACAACAAAAACAAGGCCAATGGCCATGGCAACTCTGTGGCACCCAAACCCCAATTTGCCACCACCGCCTTCAGCAAACCCCTGCCCGAGGGTCGCTTCGCCTATTCCATGCCCAACTCTGCCCACAACACCTACATGGGTGCCTCACCCAAACATCACTATCCCACCGCAGCCGAAGTCTTCAAGGGTGCCAATTTGGAACGCCGTCTGTCAGGTGCCTCCGGCGGCAAGGGTACTGAGCTGAAGAACATGCGCAAATCGCAACCCACCACACCCAACGGCGAACCCCAACAAATGACCTTCAATCTGCACAAGGAGCTCACCACCGTCGGCGAAAATGAAGAAGACACCGAAAATGAGAATTTGTTGGTCACCGAAGCCAAACCCACAATTGTCCAAGGCCGCCGCCACACAGTTTCCGGCAGACGTCCCCAAAACATTGGCAGTCGCAGCAATGTCGGTTCCCAGGATGGTGTCAACACCACTGTCACCCGCCCTATGTATCGTGATGATGCTTTCTTCACCGGTTCCCTGACACGCATCCCTCAATATCAATCCCAATCCTCGTTGGCCTATCACATGTCCGTCACCCGTCTGCCCACCAAACAAGATCAATTGGAAGAGCGTGAAAGTGGTTGCCATCTCTGCCCTGAAGCTGTACGCCGTACCCTCTCCACAATGTTGGATGTTACTCTGCTAAAATCGCCATCTTTCATGTGTTTGGCATTCTCCGGTTTCCTTACCATGATGGGTTTCTTTGTACCCTTCACTTTCCTGAAGCCACGTGCCGTTGAAGGTGGTATGGATGATAGTGCCGCTTTGCAAGTGGTCTCCGCCATTGGTTATTTCAATACAATTGCTAGGATATTCTGTGGTTCGATCACATCCTTCCCCAGTGTCAAGCCATTGTGGTTGAACAACATCGCCATCACAGCTGGTGGTATTGCTACCATTTGCAGTGGTTTCTACATTTCCACCGGTACCCAATGGACATTTGCTGTGTTGTTCGGTTTCTGTATTGCCTGCTTCTCGGCGTTGAGATCATTGATTGCCGTCGAAATGATTGGTTTGGAAAAGTTGACGAATGCCTTCGGTTTCCTTATGTTGTTCCAGGGTATTGCTGCAACAATTGGTAGCCCTATTGCAGGTGAGTTTTATTGACTTTACATTTCCCTTTAAGAAGATAGTTGGATTTGGAGTCTTTCAGGAATTAAAAAAACTACTCTGTCATGATTAGATCATCTGGACAATATAGTAAAGAGCTTCACTACAGTTGTACTCCAGGTTTCATTCCGAAAATCATTCCATGACTATTGAGCATTAATTATATAAGAATCTGGACTTCTGAGTTCTATTTTATGTCTTCCATCTAAGACCGAAGGCCGAAGTGATGTTATCCTTTTATATTTGCCTAAATTTATCGGCTACTAGAAACCCCATAACTCCATGAAGAACATAAACTTCCAGTATCATCAGATTATAGAGTGATGTATCTTAGGTCAGGGTATGGTATCTATATTTACCCAGATTTTACTTGCGTCGTATAAAATCGAAATGGGTTGAGAACTCTCGTATCTCCAAGAAACTTCAGTAGGTCATTGTGATCAGAACAAAAAATCTGACCGTATGATGCTTTTGATATTGACACCAATTTGAGTCAAACGTTCTTAAAATCTCTCTACGTATGATACCTCATCAGGACTTGGTAGATATTTGATGCGGGTTACTTAGACTATATTCTTTATCTTCCATTGTTTTACTTCTCGCATTTTGGAACGGAAAATAGAAATTTCTAATCACATCACTTTAAGTATACGCTCCATCTATTTATTGGACCTCATAGGAGCTTACAGTATTATTTGGTCTTCTAGTTTTGGTACTTCAATATATTTCCTCGAAGTCTGGGACTTATAATGGATTCTGGCGTTCTTGGTCTTCTAGTTTCGGCACTGGAATATAAGGTCATAGTTTTTTTTCTTGCAAAAAAAAAAATTAAAAAATAAATATAAAATCGAAAGTTTTTCAGAATCTCCCTTCAGAAAGAATGAACTTTATGAACCAAGAATAGAATGAATCTGGTTTTCAAGGTTTCCTAGATTCGACACAGGAATATTTTTCTCCATAAGTCCTCGAAGTCTGAGTTTCAGAAAATATATCTCTATAAGGTTTAGGTTGTACGCAAAGTAAATATTATCTCGAAAGTGTTTCAAATTCGATCGTCGGTAATTATGAATTTTTGGAAATAAATATAATATATATATATATAGAAAGTGTTTCAAAAACCCCCTATATCGCCTTGGAGAACATGAACGGTTTGATTAGTACCGAAACCTGTTATTTAAAGCCGAACATCCTCTGTAATACAAAAGATTTTCAAGTACTTCGTAGTACAGAATTTTCCTGACATTCTGACACAGAATTTTTGCTGACATAGTGCTTACATTCAAGTACTTCGTAGTACAGAATTTTCCTGATATTCTGACAAAGAATTTTCGCTAACAATGAGCTTCCGATGGCTCCAAAATCTTACTAAAAATTGTTACATATAAAATCGAAAGTGTTTCAAAAACCCCTTGCATTGCCATGGAGAACATGAACATTTTGATTGGTACTGCAATCTATTTAGATGGTGTTTGAAGACCGATTTTTCCTGAAATTATGACGCACACTTCTTTGCAATTTGGTATTTGAATGGAGACCAACATTTACACCAAAAACTTGTATATATGAAATCGAAATCTCTATAGCCATTAAGACCATAAACGGTTTGATTGGTACCGAAACCTATTATTTAAAGGCGAACGTCCAACAGATTTTCAAGTGCTTCGTTCTGCAAAATTTTCCTAACATTCTGATGGAGATTTTCGCTAACTTAGAGCTAACAATGACTCCAAAATTTTCTAAAAATTGTTACATATAAAATCGAAAGTGTTTCAAAAACCCCCTATAACTCCATGGAGAACACGGACGGTTTGATTGGTACTGCAACCTATTTAGATATGTGTTTGAATACAGAAATATTTCCTGAAATTTTGACGCAGAGTTTTTTGCAATTTGATATTTGAAATTTATACAAAAAAATTATAAAATCGAAATCTTTATAGCCATTAAGAACATAAACGGTTTGATTGGTACCGAAACCTATTATTTAAAGGCGAACGTCCTCTGAAGCACAAAAGATTTTCAAGTACTTCGTTAGACAGGACAGGATTTTCCTGACATTCTGATGCAGAATTTTTTGCTAATATAGACTTCCAATGGCTCCAAAATTTTCTAAAAATTGTTACATATTAAATCGAAAGTGTTTCTGTTCCAAGTTTTTCAACAACTTGAACCAATAGAAACCAAGTTTAGAGCTTGCGACGGCTCCAAAATTTTTAAAAACTTTTTGTATAAAATCGAAAGTGTTTCAAAAACACCTATAATGCCATGAAGGTCATCCATCGTCTTCTGAAGTCTCTGTAATAAAATATTTTTTAGAACTTATAATTAATTTCCAAAAACGTCTATAAATTGTTATAAAATTGAAAGTGTTTTAAAACCTCCTCTACTTCGTTCTGCAGAAATGTTCCTGAAAGTTTGCTGCAGTGTTTTCACCAACATGATCTCCGAATGTGGCTTGCGATGGCTCTAAAATGTCTAAAAACTATTTTGTATAAAATCGAAAGTGTTTCAAAAACCCCTATAATGCCATGAAGGTCATCCACTGTCTTCTGAAATCTCTGCAATAAAATAATTTTTAGAACTTATAACTAATTTCAAAATTTCTCTTTACCTTGCCTTGCTTGCAATGACTCCAAAATATCTAAAAACCTTGCCATGCTTGCGATGGCTCCAAAATATGTAAAAACTTTTTTGTATAAAATCGAAAGTGTTTCAAAAACCCCTATAATGCCATTAACGCCTTCGGAAATCTCTGTAATAAAATACTTTTTAGAACTTATTTCCAAAAACTTCCACAAATTGTTATATATAAAATCGAAAATGTTTCAAAACCTCCTCTACTTTGTTTTGTTCCTGAAATTCTGATACAGGATTTTCACCAATTTTATCTCCGAATAGAAACCAAATTTAGAGCTTGCGATGACTCCAAAATATTTAAAAACCTTGCCATGCTTGCGATGGCTCCAAAATATGTAAAAACTGTTTTGTATAAAATCGAAAGGGTTTCAAAAAGCCCTATAATGCCATTAAGGTCATCCAACGGAAATCTTCTGTAATAAAATAATTTTTAATAAAAAACTTCTACAAATTGTTATATATAAAGTCGAAAGTGTTTCAAAACCTCTTCTACCTTGTTTTGTTCAAATTTTCTGATTTTACCTTGCCTTGCGAAATTGACCAATGACTCCAAAATATTTAAAAACCCTGCCATGCTTGCGATGGCTCCAAAATATCTAGAAACTGTTTTGTATAAAATCGAAAGTGTTTCAAAAACCCCTATAATGCCATTAAGGTCATCCAACGCCTTCGGAAATCTCTGTAATAAAATAATTTTTAGAACTTATTTCCAAAAACTTCTACAAATTGTTATATATAAAATCGAAAGTGTTTCAAAACCTCCTCTACTTTGTTTTGTTCCTGAAATTCTAATACAGGATTTTCACCAATTTTATCTCCGAATAGAAACCAAATTTAGAGCTTGCGATGACTCCAAAATGTCTAAAAACTATTTTGTATAAAATCGAAAGTGTTTCAAAAACCCCTATAATGCCAAGAAGGTCATCCAACGTCCTCTGATATCTCTGTAATAGAATAATTTTTAGAAGTTATAACTAATTTCAAAATTTCTCTTTACCTTGCTTTGCTTGCGATGTCTCCAAAATGTCTAAAACAGTTTTCTATAAAATCGAAAGTGTTTCAAAAACCCCTATAATGTCATGAAGGTCATCCGGAGGCTTCTGAAATCTCTGTAATAAAATCGATGTTTAGAACTTGTAACTAATTTCAAAATTTCTCTTTACCTTGCCTTGCTTGCGATGGAATTTTTAAAATCTTCTTTGTATAAAATCGAAAGTGTTTCAAAAACCCCTTCCAACGTCTTCTAAAATCTCTGTAATAAAATAATTTTTAGAACATATAACTAATTTGAAAATTTTCTCTTTACCTCTGCTATTTTTCTCATTTCAGGTGCCCTCTACGATGCCACTAAGGATTACAATGCCTGTTTCTATTTTGCTGGTGGTCTCATCCTGCTATCGGCCTTCCTGTGCTATCCATTGCCCGCGGTGGCCAGATGGGAGAATAAACGTAACGAAAAGAAGAATGCACTGCCTCAAGCTTAATGATCCTGCAGCACACACACACTCCCACACATCCTTCTTTTTGAGTTCTCTCACCCACACACACACACACAGGCATAAATATAAATACATTTACATTAAATTCTCCACTCATACCACCAGCATCACCAATTATCCATTGTATATTTTTTTGAAGACGACAAGTTTTAAGACAAAAAAAGGAAGTACAAAAATAAAATTAAAAAAAAAACAAAATATATGAAAATACTGAAGCCTTCCTTTTTAACGAATATACATAAAATATAATGAAAAATAAGTAGAAGATGAACGAGAAGAAACAAATAGAAACTGTCTTCCAGGCCCTAGGGAAAAAATATTAATATGGACAATGAAAATCAGAAGAAGAAGAAATGCAAAATTTTATAATTTTTTTTTGGAAATCTAAGAAGTAGAAGAAACAAAAAAAACAAAGACAACGAAAAATGAAAAAAACCAAAATTTTCATTAACGTTCCTAAAGCAATGCAAGGAATTTGTTAGGTTGTAATTTCAAAAAAAAAATGGAATTGAAAAAATTTAGGAAGGGAAGGTTCCCTTCCCTCCCTTGGAAATTGTTTTTTTTTTCCTTGTAAGAGAATTTTCTTGCATTTCCTTGTTAAAAAAAGCAACATAATAATGTTTATTTTTTTAATTTTAAATATTAATTATTTTTATTATTATTAATTTTTTATATATATAAATAATTATCAGTCATAACCCAAATATAACAACTGTTACATTGAGTTTTTTTATGAAATAATATAATTTTTTTTTTTTTTTGTGTAAACATTTAAGCCTTAAATAGTTAAAAACTTGCCTCAAAATAAAAAAAATTGTTTTAAAGAAGAAGAAGAAGAAGATGATGAAAAGAAGAAGAAAAAGAAAAGGGTGATCAAATGAGACTGATACAGGTTTTATAAATATATATTTTTTTAAATCAATTTCAAACATATACACTTTTTAGGTTATGAGTTAAAAAGGAGAATAATAGAGAAAAAATTTAGCTACCCTGCAGCCACTCTGAATTCAACATAACCTAAAATATTATAATTTTTTTATTTAACCTCACCTAAAAAACGAACTAATTTTTTAAACTCTTGTAGTAATAGTTAGTACAAAAAATTATTATTTTTTAAACCAACAACAACAACAATAAAACAAATGTATACAAAAACAACAAACAAACCGAAAATTTGAAATTGTAGTTGCATTGCAATCAAAAATAATTTTGTGTGTGTTTGAGGTGTTATTTGAAATGTCCAAGGCCTTAAAATGCTTTATTTAATATGGCCTTGAGATTAACAACTGCAGATTTTGTAGAGAATTGTGATTTGTTGTTTTTTTTTTATAAATTGAAATTAAATTAAATTTCCAACTAATATTTTCTACTACAAATACAGAGGTTTGGAGGTCAATGCAAAATCTGAAAGATTAATGATAAAGTAGATATCGGATATAAGCACATCTCATATAAGAAATAATCGCATATAAGAAAGATTATCAAGCTTATACTTTCTTCTACCCGACAATTCCGACAAAAAAAACGCATATAAGAAATAAATCTCCAGCTTTTTTTTTTTTTGAGTTTCTTATATCAAATATCTATTGTACCATATTACATATATCGGATTTTAGGGATATATAAACCAAATTTTACTCTACTTGCATACCTATGTATCACTATAGAAGCTTTACTCAAGTTCAGAATATGTTCAAGGTCCTGGTTCTACGGTATTTTTCACCTCCTCCTTCAATTTTTGCCACCATGCAATGGCTTCAATATTTCTATTTTTATAAATAATTTAAAAATATATTCCAGCACTTATTTCTATCGAATTTTATCTCCAATTTCCGATATCGAGTTCTTGGTATTCTAATAAAATCTAATCTCTTGCGGCAAATTGCGATATATAAAATCGAAAGTGTTTCAAAAACCTCCGGCAATGCCATGGAGAACGTACACGTTTTTTAAATTGAATTGAATCGAGTTCGCATTTGAAGACCTGAAAATGTTTTACCGGTTTCTTCCTGACATTCTGAAGCCGATTTTCATCAAATTGGTCAACTAATAGAAACCAAGTTAAGAGCATAAAATGTCATCAAAATTTTCTAAGAATGTTTTATATATAAAATCGAAAATGTTTCAAAGACCCCTATATATCACCATGGAGAACATGAACGGTTTTGTTGAAACTGCAATAGAATTTGAGTGTTTGTTTAAAGACGAACCTAGAACAATTTTTCTCAAAAAGTCGTTTGTATATTATCATTAGAGGTTATTAGGTGAAACAATAGCTATTTACTCTTCTCGTATACCTAGGTATCACTATAGAAACTTACTTAATTACAAAAAGTGTTAAAGTGTTTCTTTCCACAAAAAAAAATCCTCAATAGTTTTAACCAAATTGAAATTCTAATGGAACTCCAGTTTGGAGCTTACGAAGTCTCCCAAATCTCTTCAAAATATTGTTTTCAATTTTCATCAGAGGTTATTAGGAGAAAGTATAGTTTCTTTGAATCACTTGCTTAGCTACGTAACTCCGCAGTACAGAAGATGTTCAATCGCTTCGTTCTACCGAACTTTTACTCAATTTCTTAAACTTATGATCTTGTAATGAAATCCAAGTGTAGAACTAACGTTAGCTCTAAAACATTCTACAAATTGTTATATATAAAATCGAAAGTGTTTCAAAAACCCGCTATATCACAAGGAAGAACATATACTTCTTGAGCAGCTATACAATCTATTTGGGTATGTAATTAAAGACCCAGAACCCACAACAATTTCCCTCACAAATAAATGTTCTCTCGTTTCCTCGAGAACAGAAGTTGATCATATGATTCGTTCTATCCATTTTTTCCTGAAATTCCGCTGTAGAATTTTAATCAACATGATATTTTTTGTGAAACCCATCTTCAGACCTTACTGTGACTCTAAACATTTCTACAAGTCGTTATATAAAATCGAAAGTGTTTCAAAAACCCGCTATATCACCAGGGATAACTTAATCTCCTTGAGCAGCACAACAATCTATTTAAATAGGCGTTTAAAGACCCAGAAACCACAACAATTTCCTTCACAAATATTTTTGTGGATTTTAAGCAGAGGTTACTATGCAAAGATCGATGATTTCCTCCTTCCTCGAGCACTGAACTTGATTATGTGACTCATTCTACCGAATTTTCCCTGATATTCTGACACAAAGTTTTCATCGACTTGATATTTTTATGAAACCTATCTTTAGACCACATCTTATCTGCAATATTTCTATAAATGATCATATATAAAATCGAAAGTGTTTCAAAAACTCCCTAAAATCTTAGAGAAGATTTACTTTTCAAATATCATTGCTTGGGACTTGTATTTTAAGACGAACCCAAAACTTTATTATCTGGAACAGATTTTGTAAAGTTTCTTCAGCAGTTTTATAAGTAGAAAAAATAGTATTTTATTCGACCTGCATACCGATGTATCGTTTTAAAATCTTCTCCGGAGATCAGAAATGGCATTCATGTACTTCGTTCTATCGTATATTCCCTAAATTTCTGATACATAGTTCTCACACCCTTGACCTGTCAATGGAAAACAAATGTTTACAAAATTGTTGTGTATAAAAATGGAAATTTTTCAAAAACCCCACCATCTGTTGTGTATAAAATCGAAAGTGTTTCAAAAACCCCTCCATCTCTTTGTGAAACATGAATATTTTTAATGTTTTAGCTATTTATTGGGGTTTTAGAGTGGAGGCGAATTTTCTGGAAAACTTTTTGTGAATTTCCATCAGATACTATTGGGGGAATGAATGGCTCTGACAAGACTTTTTGGATGTCATAACGACACATGTTTGGATCCCTAATGTGGTCTGTCCCATTCAGGTATTCCAGTTGCATTATATCTGCCTATTTTCCCTTCATTTGTATTCCTGATGATTATAACCTTCCCAGGAAATTTCATATAAAATCGAAAGTGTTTCAAAAACTCCCCTCTCCCATTCTGGGTTTCAAGTGAAACACAGTTTCTTTGTCAAAATCTGAAATATTTTATCAGAGATTTTTAGGAAGGCAATTAAGTTCGACCCAAGAATTTGTCTCTTCTCAGACCTCTAGTTTTCCTTGCCGTATCTTCAATATCTGGCGACCTGAGTTGTAGATCATAGATCAAAAAATTGTCCGCAAAAATTACATGTAAAATCGAAAGTGTTTCAAAAACCCCTCTATCTCCATGGGAATTATAAAATATTCCAATGACAATGCTTTCCTTTCCAAGTCAAACTGAAAAATAAGTGAGAATATAATATAGGGTTTTAGAAAAATGTTTTATATGAGTATTGATTATATCCGATACATGCTCTATACGTTGTTAAATTTATATTTCCATCGATGTGGCTCACCTTATGTAATTGAGAAACAATTTAAAATTATGTTTTGAAGATGTGAATAAAAATTTAATTGATTTTTAATATGCGTACTCCGCATGGTCTAGCCATGAACGAAAATAATGCCAAAACAATTTTAATTTATATCTGGAGAAAATAGAATTTCAGGCGATTTTAGGACCATCAATTTCTTAAGGCCTCTTCTACTCTTCAGATTCTTAGTTCTTTGTAAGGAAAGACTTTCTTCACATCAAATTTTAACGCCAACAAATTAATACTTCTTTCACAGCGTACTGCAATGACCTCTCTCCCAAAAGCTCCCATAAAATTACTCTTTTTAAAAAATCCCAAAACAACAACATATTTGATCCCTCTTTTTCTTTCTTTTTTTTTAATAATTAAAACAAAACTAATAAAAATAAACATAAATAATTAAAATAAATACAAGAAAACTGTTATATTTTAGATCAGCTGTTGATCAGCATTTTAGTTTTAAAATATAATAAATAATTATTAATAAAGTTAAAAACCAGATAGCCTTATCCATATTTGTACATGAAACAGAAATACTGAAAAAAAATAATTTTAGTAAAATATGGACCTAGACTACAATTTAGAAGACAAACTGTGTAAATTTATATATATATATAGAGAGAGAAATGAAAAGTGTCAAAAAAATTATATAGAAAAACCAGAAAGTGCCTTTCAATAAAAAAAAAATAAAAAATAAAAATTTTTGTTATTTGTAAAAATAACACATAAAAAATGTAGGATTTTTTTCATTTCAAAGGAAAGGGACTAAATTTGGTAAGTATGGATAAGAAAGTTCTTTAAAATCCGTCAATAGCCAAAAGAAAAACAAATTGCCAAACTACAGACACGTGGTAATGTCAAAATGTGGACAATTCGGTTTAAAAAAATAACTGAAAACATATCTAAACATTAAAAAACTATTTAAACATTAACCGAATAAAAGATCCAATTCCTCCAATTTCTGTCAATTCGACCAAAATAAAAACGTTTCTGGAATCTGTTATCTGTTAGGTCTAGTTTGTACCTCTCAATCTCTCCCTTCGAGTTGCGTTTCACCTTAAAGCACCATTTACTATCAATTGATGTTTTTCCTTTTGGCAATTTAGTCATTTCCCAAGTTTTATTTTGTGATAAAGCTGCTAGCTCATCATCCATTGCCTTTTTCCACTCTTGGTGTTGGTTTCCTCCCCCATCTTCATTCGATGCATGACACACATATCCATATCTTGTCACTGGTCTTGAAATTCTGGTTGAGCTTCTTATATTATTTGTCGGTGCGATTCCCGTATATATATGTCGATAGTCAGGCGGCCCTGATAGCGGTGTAGTCGCATACTATAAACTCGAAAGCACTTCATGATTGTAAGTCCGTTTTGAATGATATACGACAGATAGTTGGTTTATGTTGGGTTCCAGGACATAATGACATTGAAGGTAATGAGATAGCCGACGAGCTTGCTCGAGGGGGCTCACAGTCGTCCAATCTTCTGATTGAGAGATCTGTGAAACCTCCCATCAGCTATTTTATTGGCAGAATCCGTGCGTTCCATTGCGAGGTAGCTGGTAACAGATGGCTAAGGGAACCTGCTTGCAGAATCTCAAAATATATCTGGCCTGAATTCTCTCATAAAAGAACGTCTTCGCTGTTGAAACACAACAAGAGGGATATCAAAATCGTTGTGAGGACTATAACAGGTCACTGCAAAATTAGATCTCTCACTTCTAAGTGGGACTCCAGTGGAGAGTATTACTGTCGTCTATGTGAGGACGAAGAAAAACTGGAAATAATTGAACATATCCTCTGCAAATGTCCATCGCTGATTAGCAGAAGACATAAACAGTTTGGAAGATATGAAATTTTACCCCCAATGAGGACCCTAAATATCAAAATAGAACGCAGGGCGTCCCTTCAATGTTAACCAATGTTGATAATTTTCGATTGAGAACCTTAAATATCAAATTATAATTAAAAAACCTTACCATAATACCCCATATTTAAGGGTGCCCTTACATGGCGCCCAACCTAAAAATATCATGATGAGATGAAAAAATTGCAACCAACTTTAGACTGCTATCATTTCTAAGCCACTCGTCCGACAGCTGTCAATTCAAAAAAAAAAAAAAAATATCAAAATAAAACCGGGGTTTCCCTTAAATGTGAACCCTATTGAAATTGGGAAAAATCGGTTCAGGTTTAGATATATCTCCCATATATAGGACCTCCGATTTATTGTAAATGGTGTACCAAATTCCCTATATATCTAAACCCTTTGCACGAAATTTGGCACAGCGTACTAAATTAAGTCTATTCAGATTTAGATATAGCTCCCATATATATTTTCGTCCGATTTATTGTAAATGGTGTACCAAATTCCCTATATATCTTTCGATTTGCAAAGTCCCTATATATCTTTCGATTTGCACGAAATTTGGCACAGCGTATGTGTGCAAAGTTCTAAAATGATTTAGATATAGCTCCCATATATATTTTCATCCGATTTAAGGTAATTGATGTACCAAAGACCCTATACATCTTTCGATTTGGAGGAAATTTGGCATAGCGTACTGAATTTCGTCTATAATAATGTGTGCTAAGTTTCATGAAAATCGGTTCAGATATAGATATAGCTCTCATGTATAGTTTCGCCCGACTTTAGGTAAATGACGCACCAAAGTCCCTGGAAATCTTTTCATTAAAAAAAGTAAAATTTATGGCGTTTGACTTTGTTGCAGTTTTTCTTATCTCACCCTGTAGGTCAATGTAGATAATTTTTGGTAGAAAGATTTTGCACTTAACAAAAAATTCAAAATACCAAATTTATAGCCATTTTGGTTGAAAAACGTGTCCAAATTGCCGAAATTTGGTATACAGTGTTTACTTCAAAATGTGAACCAATTTGATAATTTTTGATGCGGAGTTTTTCTACGTACCCAAACTCTCCAAAACGTGCCTAAACTACTCTCAAACGAAGTGACAAATTTAATATACACTCCAACTTTTTGCGAATGGTATAAACATGTGTACTCACCTGATTATATAGCACAGCTACTCGTTCTGATTCCGATTATAAGGTTATTATTTTTCCATATTCACCAAAGTAAGCACTTTTGAATTTTTTAGGACACCACCCTATGAACCTTATAATAGGTTCGATGATTTTCATTGAGATGCTGAAATTATTATTTGCACATTCATTTTTACACTCGCGACAAGGTTTGAAAATCCGACCCGAGCACGCCACATACACTTTTTCTGTACCAAAAGCCTTTTAATTAATTTTAATTCGATTTGTTATTTTTGATCCCAATATTTTAAAATCACACACGACCCGAAATGTTTAATTGCCACGATCTAATCGAAATTCATTTTATCGAATATTCACAAATAAACCGCAACGGCTGACTCAGCAAAAAAGGACTTGCACACTCATACACATACATACATATATTGTCCAACGTATTTACATATTTCCGCATTAGGCCGCCCGTGCTACGGCAATAACATCCAATGTCAATTTCACTTCAATTTGTCTATGCAACCAACCGAATTCAATTCTATCAATGACTACGCGACTAATTCCATTCTCCACAATAGAATTTTTTTTCGATTTTTTGTCATAAAATTCTTTAATTTATTTTTATTTTCGGAGAAAGGCTTGCGTGATCAATTTTGTTTTGCTTACTGATGAAATTGTGAAGGATAACGGTTGTTTCATTGATCAGCTGTCATTTGAAGAGTATTGCCATATAGGAATGTCATATGAGGTTAAATGAGAGATGCCATATTACATATTGTGTGTGAGCCTTAAATAAAAGCGTAACATGTGTGGCAAATGTCAAAAAGTTGATTTTGAAGGAAAAAACTGTTAATTAAATAATATTGCTACTAATTGAAATATAAAAAAACGAACTCTAGTATGGGGTTGTTAATTATAAATATTTGAAAAAATCACATTTCGTTTGAAAAAAGATATATAATAAATTAAACATACTTTGAGACATTCATGTTTGTATTTTCTTTGATTAAATCTCCACCATCTATTAGTTTTAAAACACATTATTTTACTTGTTCATGTTTTTCCATATTTTGCTTTTTTTCTTTCCTTTTTATTAGACAAAATTGGACAATAGATCTTTTATTCTAAAACGAGTTCAAAATGTCTTATAAATGAAGAAAAAAATATATATATATATATTGAATGGATGAAAAAAGAAAACAAAAAATAATAATAATAAAATTCAATAGAAATAAATATTGATCATCAATTTACTGAAGCGTTGTATAATTTCAAACGGAAATTATTATTTTCTTTAGTTTTTTTATGTATGAAGAAGAGCGGGACTAGTTATCTACGTAGATATTCAATGGCTTAACAATTACAATTAAAAAAAAAACAAGAAAAGATCTTTGATTTTTTGTTGCCTTTTTTTAGTTTTATGGAGAGTTGTGGTTGAGTTTTTTTTTTACTTTTCCTGATTCAATGAGTTGATAAATTCCTCCAGTTTTTCTTGAATTTGTCTTACTTTAACTGGAAATGAAAAAAACCAAAATAAATATTATTTATAGAATTTACAAAATAAATCATTTGCCACTTACTTAATTCTTCGGCCAGTGTCACCCGCTTGCCTGTCAACAGATGTGCCTTCTTCTCTTCATCTTCACTGAATTCATCCAAAACTTCTTTAATTTCTTTGTCTAGACGGCGAGCCTCACGATTAATAACCTGTTGACGCAAGGCATTGGCTGTCACGCGTATAACTTGCTGAATGCGCCAGAATAACACTACATCATTGCAATTTATCTGAAAAAAATGAGAGAGGGAATTTAAAAGTTATAATGGGTTTTGACGTGAAGGAAAGGAAACAGAAACTTACATCACAATCAGCTCCTTGCTGGCTATATAAATAATAAGCCTTACGACAGTCATTGGCTCTTTGTAGGGCTTGTTTAAGGAAGTGTCTGAAATGAAAACAGACATAAATAAATTAAAAAAAATTTAAAATTAAGAAAATTAAAGAAAATGGAAAACATCCTTAAAAAATATATTTTTATTTTTTATTTAAAAAACACTTCAGGGTTTTCGTATATGATTTCCGGTCTACTGGGTTACCACCCCAGTCCGCATCCACGTAACCTTCCAAGTTACTTCCATTAGGTTGATATATCAGTTTCTTGTTGATCGATCCGGCCAAGTATCTCAGAATATGTTTCACACCAACCATATCTGCCTTTCGAGGGTCAGCATTTTTCGGAGCCAATTTCGACACTGAATGCTAGATGTCAGGTCACGTAGCCCTAATATATCAAGGCTCCAACGAGAGATTGATACTCGGTTTGATCAACACGTTCGTCATCATCATTACAATTTACCTTATAACCGGGTTCCAATGGTACTTGATGTGCTTTGCAATCTTCCATTCCATAATGTTGTAATAGATCACGTATGTATTGGCTTTGCCCCAAATTGATCATACCCGATTCACCTTCTCTTTCAATCTCCATACCCAGGAAGTGGCCTAACTGCCACCGCTGACATCGAACTCACTTGCCAAATTATTTTTGATCTCCAAAACAACAATTTTGCCTTTGCACCCAATAATAATGTCATCTACGTAAACGGCGATCAACACTAGCTTATTTCTCCTCAGATTTCGTTTTCACATGGTTTAAAATTCATCGTACGCAATGTGGCATCAAGTTTAGACATCCACTCCCGTCCGCTTTGTTTCAGCCCATAAATAGCCATTTGGAGACGTAGAACTTTGTTCGCCGAAACTTTTTCCTCAAAATTCGGTGGCTGCTGAATATATACATCATCGTGCAGTTCACTGTTCATACATGCAGTACTGACATCGATTTGATGTAAAAACATTCCTTCCTTCCTTCACAGCCAGCGCCAATGAAATCCGAATTTTTGAGTAGCGAGCGACAGGTGAATTTAGCTTCTTGAATTCTATTCCGCATCGTTGGCGACAGCCTGTGGCTACTAGGCTCGCCTTATACCTCTCAATTTCACCATTTATATTCTTCTTTATGGCATAAACCCACATACATGGAATAGCTTTTTGTCCTTTTGGAAGATCCTCTAGCGACCAAGTCTTATTCTTGCAAAGAGCACGATACTCATCTTCCATTGTCTTTAGCCATTTTTTTTCCATTATTACCAGATATTGCCTGCTCCACCGTATTTGGAATATTTTCGTCAACAGCATGACATAGAACCTCATTAGGTTGCATTCGTGGACGACCAGGCTGGCTTTCCCTTGCGAATAAATTTAGGCCTACCTGCACCAACTTTCTTCGGCATATCCTGTGCAGCACGTATTTCCTCATCTGTGAATTCACTTTCATTTTCAACCTTTGACATCACTCATATCATCCTCGGAATACACTGCACTTTGGTTCTGGATAAATCATTTATGCTCTTGAAATTAAGATGACCGTATCTATTGTGCCACACCAAATTGTTGTTTTCCATAACGAACAATTTCTCACACGGTTTGGGTTAATGTAAAAATATTTTTTTGTTAAATCCTCACTTATGGTGGGTTTTGTTTCTATAACAAAAATTTATTTGTCTTTAAACCTACCTTCTGTAAACTGGGAACCAGGTTTGTCTAATATAATCGGTATCAACATCAATGTTTTCACGTTGCAGGTTTTTGCGTACCGTAGTCAATTCATCATATGACAATGTGGGCATATGTTTCTGTAACAGAAAATAAACGAAACCTGTTTTCAAATATCTTCCAAAAAAGTTTTTTTTTTCTAATATCCTTACATCATCATTTTTAAGTATTTTATCCAATTCATTTTTAACATGTCGTCTCTTGTTTTGATCCTCTGTCAAAGATTTCCAATGTGTGATGCGTGTAAATTGTCCCGGGCCGAACATTTCACTAAGTGTCTCTTCCGTTTGGGCCAATTTCGCTTTCACAGATGTTTCTAAAAATTTCACCGCCTGATCCCATTCACTTTTGTCATGGACAAAACGATCTTCGAGAGTATTCAATTGGATGACACGTAACATATCAATGGCCTTATCTTCCCATGAATGACGGCGTATCGATTCATCGACAACGGCTGCTTTCAGATTATCGAAAATGTCATCGTGATCAGGTGATTTCTTGGCCTTTTCCATGAGAGTTATAAATTCTTTTTGCAAAGTTTCCCAGCCTGGAAAATGAAAGGTGAAAAGGAGAAATGTGTGTAAAAGAGTGGGAAACAAAATAGGAATTAATTTTTTACTTACCAGCCTCCACAGATTTGGCGGGTAGGGCTTGTTCCGCCCACTGTCTCAGCTTAATATCCACCATGGTATTAAAGGAATCTTTCAAAAGAAGTTGGGAAGACAAGTTTCGAATGTTAGTTTTGTAAATAGACAATTTTGTGATCGGGTTATGTGGAAGCAATTAAAAAAAAAAATGTTTCAAATGATAATGAAAAATGAATGAAGCAATGATTGGAGAATAGATGCTTTCAATTTTTTGTTCCAAAACATAAAAAAAAAATCTATGACCAAATAAAGGAAATTTTGTTTGAAAATGCCAATAAAGAAATTATTTTTTAAGAAATAAAATTTTGAAATTGAAAAATCTTTAGTTTTCTTTTAGAAAATAATTTGAAGGCATGCCAAATCATAGATGTATCAAAGCTTTTAGTAATTAATAATATTTAGTGTTAATTATAATTTTTAATATATACAATAATACATAAATATTTTCGTTAAAGAAAACAAATCCATTAAATTTCCTCTAGAATGGTCCTTCGACCTTTAAAAAAATCCACGCCTATGGTGGACCTTAAAAAATATTTTTTTTTTTAAATCCAATCCTATGGCAAAAATATTTTTTTTAAAAAGTTGGCCTTGAAAAATATTTGTTTTTTAAATTCATGATTTTGGGTTCTTTAAAAAAAAAACTTTTTATGGATTTGAATTCTTTAACTTCATATCTTTTTCAAAATATGTATATATAGACATTCATATAAGTATATACAAACATTTAAAAAAGTAAAACTATAGTTTTTTTTTTTTTTGAGACTCTACAATTTCACGATATTGAAAAGGTAACTACTATACTAAACCTTAAGCTCCTACAAATCTGAAAAAAGGGGAAACATTTTCCCAAAAAAAAACTTCTTCAAAAACGTAGTATTGAAAATTACAACTTGCTTTGGAAACATAAAACAGAAACATTTTTCTTTTTGATAAGGCGAGGCCGGACACGCACACAAAACGAAAACGAAAAAAAAACAATAAAATGATAAACAAAAAATCGAACGAGCCAAAAGAGCGCAACTTGAAATAAATGTTTCTGAAACCTAGATTGCGAAACAAAATCAACTAACTTAAAAATTATAATGTTATAATATTACTTTGAGAACCTGACTGAGCCGCCGGTAGATAAATATTTTCGAAAACATAATTTGATAATTTATCCCACAGCTTATCGTTCAGGGCTTCTTCCCACTTTTTGGCGGAGATTTGTGATAGCGTTACAACTTCATCGAGTATTTCACCCTTGGCCTTGTCGAACAGTTCATCGCGACCAGATTCACGTAATCTAAAAAGCAAAAGACCAATTTATTCTACGGGACCATAAAGAACGTGAAAAATAAATATTCACCTTGGGAAATTATTTTTCCATTCCGTTTCCAAATTGAAACGTGTTGCCTTAAAGGCATCAGCCTGTTGTTCAATAGTTTCGCGTACCATTTTCCAAAAGCGATCGGAAACAGCCAAACTAAGGTTGCGGCTGGTAACCTGATGGGGCATAATAACGCCACGGCGTCTATAGATAGAAAGGGACAATAGGAAAATATAAATAAATATTTTTTTCATAATTCAATGCAAATTCCGACTTACTGGAATAATTTTGAGTTCTTAAAGAAATCCTCCTCATATTGTCGTATGGCTTCTATGCTATCATCTTTGCGTCCACGACCAGTGACCACGGCATAATAGCCCAAGGCTTTCATGGGGAATAATTTGCCGGAAAGGATTTTACGAATCTGAAAAAGAAAATGAATAGTAAAACAAAAACAAAAAAATCTAAAGGAAAAAATGTTCTATAGAAAACAAATTCCTATAGAAAAAAATGTTCTATAGAAAAAATTTTTCTATAGAAAAAAATTTCTATAGAAAAAACTTTCTAAAGAAAAACATTTTCTAGAAAAAAATTTTCTTTAGGAAAAATAGAAAAAAATATTCTATAGGAACAATTTTCTATAGAAAAAAAAATTTTATAGAAAAAAAATTCCTATAGAAAAAATTTTTTCTTTAAAAAAAAATTGTATAGAAAAAATTTTCTATAGAAAAAAATTTCTATAGAAAAAAAATTTTCTATAGAAAAAAATTTTTCTATAGAAAAAAATTTTTCTTTAAAAAAAATTTTCTATAGAAAAAAATTTTTCTATAAAAAAAAAAATCTTTAAAAAAAATTTCAATAGAAAATTTTTTTTCTTCAGAAAAAATTTTCCCTTGGGTCCGATTTTTTCTATAGAAAAAAATTCGTTGGGCCCTTGGGATCGATGTTTTTCTATAGAAAAAAATCGTTGGGACGCTGGGATCAATTTTTTTTCAAAAGAAAAAATCTTTAGGACCCTTGGTTAAAATTTTTTCTATAGAAAAAAATTGTTGGGACCCTTGGGTAAAATTTTTTCTATAGAAAAAAAATCGTTCTTGAGACCCTTTTTTATAGAAAACAATTCTTGAGGCCCAAAGGCCCAATTTTTTTCTATAGAAAAACATTCTTTGGGATCCTTTGGTCGATTTTTTTATAGAAAAAACTTCGGTGGGACCCTTTGGTCGATATTTTATATATTAAAAAAAATCGTTACGACCCTTGGGTCGTTTTATATATAGAAACAAATTCGTTGGGATCCTTGGGTTCAAATGTTTTTATAGAAAAAAATCGTTGGGATCCTTGGGTCCAATCAATTGTATTATTATTATTATTTCCTACCCTATCTGGATCGGCCAGTTCCTCAGCTAAATCCACTTTTGTAAGTACGAAAATGGTGCGACGTCCCAATGGATCACACTGCATTACTAAATCGGTGACATTACTGCGTTCCGCATCCACCGAACCATCTTGAATACACAAGATAATAGCATTTGGATTGCTCATATAATGTTTGGTCATTTGATGAATGGAATCTTTGGTATCTGAGGCCATATCCACAGTCATGGTCTGGAATAAAGAAATAAAAATTAATGAAATAAAATAAAAATAAATTAAAATTTCCAATATCTTACCGAAATGATGCCCGGTAAATCCACCAAAACCATACGCTGCAAACCTGGCCCCTTAACGGTCATTGAGATAACTTCATTACTGACAGTTTTACCACCACGCACTGAGGCTCTCATGCGGAATTCTACCTCACGACGTAGCTCCGCCAAATCCGATTCTTTGGTTAAATCATATTCACGTTCAGAATCACGAAATTGTGCAACGTGGTAGGGACCCTCAGCGAGGGTGACTTTAACGGGAGCCCTAGTCATCATTTCACCACTACCGCGCGGAAATATCCGTGCCTTTGCAATCGATTCTAATACTGATGTCTTGCCACTACTTTGATCACCCACAACTACGACTCTCGGCAAATGATCTGCCATTGAATAACTGGTATCGTAACCCGATAGCTCATCCAATACTTCCGAATACATATCAATGAGAGATTTTTTAATTTTCTTTGTTCCCGTCTTCTTTTGCTGTTTCAAGATTAGGAATTGTTGTCGCAATTCGCGATTCTCTTTTTCCATTTTTTCCAATTCTTTTTGATATTTGATTTGAACATTCATTATTTCGGTTTGCAGAGTTTCCACTTGGGATTGAAGGGTTTCTAAAAGAGAAAAATAGAATTAAAATTTTAATTTTAAGAATAAAAAATATATATTGAAATATTTACCATATTTCCGGCGACTATCATCCTGAGACAAACTCAAGGCAGCCACTGTTGTCTTGGACTTCAAATCGTCTTTGGCTGTAACAAAAATTAAAATTCAATTACTTCATTATCACAGAACCAAAATTAATTAGAACTTAGTACAAAAATAGAGCAACAATATCTCTCACTTTAAATTTTTCAATAAATATATCTATAATTGTACTAAATATTGGATAAAAATTAAATTGGAATAACAAAACGTACGTTCGACATTAGCCACAACTTGATAATCCGCAGCCTCGATGGCATCATCCAAACGACTATCAAACCATTTCCTCCATTCGTTTACCTTGTCCTCTCCGAGCTGTTTCAAACGTGGATCTATATGTGAAAACACAAAACCCTTGTGGTAAGTTAGGTTTTTGGTTTGAGGAGGGTGTTAGTTATGCAAATAATAGATTCTCATGTAAGTATGTTTGAAAATGAAGATGATTCTAAAAAAGGTCGGAATTTAAATAAAAAAATTCTTATAAAAAAAATAAAGCCTGGATGCACCCTGACAATACATACGGATTTTTTGGAATATTTTCCATGTTAAGAAAGTAAAAAAAAAAATTGAGTGTATATCGAATCGAATTTACAGGGTGTCCTTAACCCATTTTTCCTACAGAAAACAATTTTGAGACCGTTCGGTTCCCATTTTTTCTATAGAAAAAAATTGTGAGACCCTTGGGTTTCATTTTTTTCTACAGAAAAAAATCGTGAGACCCTTGGGTATCATTTTTTTCTATAGAAAAAAATCGTGAGACCCTTGGGTATCATTTTTTTCTATAGAAAAAAATCGTGAGACCCTCGGTCTCATTTTTTCTATAGAAAAAAATCGTGAGACCCTTGGGTATCATTTTTTTCTATAGAAAAAAATCGTGAGACCCTTGGGTATCATTTTTTTCTATAGAAAAAAATCGTGAGACCCTTGGGTATCATTTTTTTCTATAGAAAAAAATCGGGAGACCCTTGGGTATCATTTTTTTCTATAGAAAAAAATCGGGAGACCCTTGGGTATCATTTTTTTCTATAGAAAAAAATCGGGAGACAAGTAGGTCATTTTTTTCTATAGAAAAAAATTCGTGAGACCATCAGGACTCATTTTTTTCTATAGAAAAAAATCGGGAGACCCTTGGGTATCATTTTTTTCTATAGAAAAAAATCGGGAGACCCTTGGGTATCATTTTTTTCTATAGAAAAAAATCGGGAGACCCTTGGGTATCATTTTTTTCTATAGAAAAAAATCGGGAGACCCTTGGGTATCATTTTTTTCTATAGAAAAAAATCGGGAGACCCTTGGGTATCATTTTTTTCTATAGAAAAAAATCGGGAGACCCTTGGATATCATTTTTTTTTCTATAGAAAAAAATCGTGAGACCTTTGGGTATCATTTTTTTCTATAGAAAAAAATTGTGAGACCCTTGGGTATCATTTTTTTTTCTATAGAAAAAAATCGTGAGACCTTTGGGTATCATTATTTTCTATAGAAAAAAATCGGGAGACCCTTGGGTATCATTTTTTTTTTATAGAAAAAAATCGGAAGACCCTTGGGTATCATTTTTTTCTATAGAAAAAAATCGGGAGACCCTTGGGTCTCATTTTTTATAGAAGAAAATTTGTTAGACCCTTGGACCCTTTTAGACCCTTTTTTCTGTAGAAAAAAATTTATGGGACCCTCGGGACCTATAGAAAAAAATTCCTGAGACCCTTGGGTCCTATTTTTTATAGACAAAACTTGTGAGATCCTTGGGACCAATTTAGAAAAGATAGAAAAATAGCAACCGAATTTTTTATAGAAAAAAATTCGGTTGCTATTTTTCTATAGAAAAAACTCCGTGGGACGCTGGGGGCCTATTTTTCCTGATAGCTGAACAATCCCCATGGTGGCTATAGGCTTTAGGTGCATAAAAAATTATTCGGGTCCTATATTTCTATAGAAAAAATTTCGTGGGACGCTTGGGGCCTATTTTTATTCCTACTAGCTGACCAGTCCGAAAGGTGGTTATAGGCTTTAGGTGTATCCGAAATTATTCTCTTTAGATGGGGGAGATGAAATGTAATGATTTTTGTTGGTCGATTGATTGATAACATTGAGAAAAATAAATTGTATTAGCATTTAAAGTGAGAGATAGTAGACCTTTTCCATAACGCACACACACAAAATCTAAATTTGTTTTGTTTACCCCAAAAGAAAAACAATCGCGCTTACCAATTTCAATGACATCCTTAACGGCACCACCAATTTCAATTAACGTCTTTGAAAATTGACTCCATTTTTCACCCTGAGGCAAGGCTTCCTCCAACCATTTCAGATCGGGTAAACCATCTTTCCAGTCTTCATATTTCTGGGTAGAGGGAAAACAAATATTATATAATTGAAATTTTCAAAATTAATTTCAAATTTTTATTTGCAAATTCCTACCTTATTTAAAGTCATGCCACCACCGATGGCTCCACCCAACAGCAAATAACGTAACTTCAAAGCACCACGTAGTATACGCACAACAACCATGCCGTAACCACGATTCGGTGGTATGGTCCAGCCCTTTGGACCGTGCGGTGCTAGAAAATCATTGCGGTAATAATGACTCCTGCCGCCGTTGCCATGACCTTGCTGCTGTTGTTGATGACTACCGCTGCTGGCACCATAACGTTGATTCAGTGTGGAGTAGTGGTGCGAGGTATTCGATGAAACCACAATTTTATGACACAAATAAGTCACCCGTTTTGTTGTATCGCTAGAATAGAAACAAAAACACAAAGAATGAATGAAAAACAAAAAACAATTGAAAGTGATTCAATTTTCGCAACAAAAAAAAAGATGTAAGCAAAGAATGCTGCAAGAAAACGAAAATCCGTCCGTTCTGTTTGCCAAAATCTGTATGTGAACTGTTGGGGGGACAACGCCAATTTCATAACTCCCAACGCTGTGGGAAAAATTAGTTTGCTCAAAACTTACCGGTGTGCAATGTGTTTGGTGGCCCTTAACATGATTTATTTTGTTTGTCAACAATTGTTCTTTGGTCTTCTGCTGTTATTTGCAGTGATTTTTCTTCTGTTTTATTAATTATTTTAGGAAAAATGTGTTGAAAAAAATTATATTTTCCTTAAGTAAAGCAACGACGGTCGGTGATGACATGAGACCGAAAGTCTTCCTCTTCTGCTTGGCAAATGACATTTGACAATTAAGGGACTTGTAGGTCGATTATTGATTATGGGATGTTTGCACAAGGCAATTATGACATTTACCTGCGGTTTTCACGACTATTTTTCTTTAGAAATAATAGGTCGTGAGATCTTACGAATTAGTTTTTCAGGTCCTATACCTTTTTCCCATTTAAACGGAAAATTTTGTAGGTCCATGCCCAATTTACATGTGCTATGGCCGGAGTTCTTGGTGGGTGAAAAAAAAAACTGCAGAAATTTTTCAACATAGGACCATGTTTCGGTATGTAAAACGACTGTACCCATTTTTATTTTGATAGTAGCAGATTCTACAACCAATTGTAGTTTCAGTGCGAGGAAAATCTAAATTAATTATATTTATCACAACTAGATGGCAGTATTGTGAAAATATTTCAAATTAGGAGATACAGAGGACAGTTTTTGATACTTGTACTGTACAATATATTGAGCAGTGCAGTTTCAGAAAGTTTCTTCATGAACTTTCGAATTAAATTGAGGTTCGACTTGATCCGAGGCAGATATATGTGGTTATATCGTTGAGTTCCGTGGATGTACTATAAGCTTTTCGGAATTCATGTTTGTGGGATGCAAAGTGCTCAGTAATGGGTGGTAACAAAGAGCTTCCAAAACTTTGGCTAGTGGGAAATGTAGGAAGGTGGGAGAATCATTTCTCCTAAATCAGCCTTTTTCTGGTTTTGGAAGTGGGATAATCTTGCCAAATTTCCAAATTTCTAGTATTAACAACAGGTTAACCGACAGTTAGAAGCTGCGCGAAATGTCTCAGGGCTTTGGGACCAAGATGGAGATGCCATCTGGACCATGTGTTTTTGATGATTTTGACTTGGAGTTTCCTGACTTTTCTCAAGATGGCTCAGTAATAGATGGCAACAATGCGCTTCCAAAACCTTTGCTATTGGTAAATGTAGGAAGGTGGGAGAATCATTTCTCCTAAATCAGCCAGTTTTTTCTGGTTTTGGAAGTGGGATAACCTAGTCAATTTTTTTAAATTTCTAGTATTAACAACAGGTTAACCGAGAGATTTAGAAGATGCGCGAGATTAGAAGGGATTGTTCAGGTTCCTCTATCTCTAAATTCAAAAATGTTGTAACTTGAATTGATGTTGTGTCCACAGTGAATTCGGCGAAAACATGTAGTTTGTCATTCATCCACTGGTTCTGCTTCCTCTACCTCCAAATTCAAGAAAGTTGCAACTTAAACGGGTTGCGTCCAAAGTGAATCCGGCGATAGATGAGTCGGCTTAGCTGGACAGTTGAAGAGGTGCAACATGTCGTGTGGTCCTGGTCCACATGCAGGAGCACATGTGTTAGGTATAGAGCTGTCAATTCTTGCCCAATATGAATTGAGGCGGTTGCACTATCCTGATCTTAGTTGAGCTAAGACTACTCGTGTTTGCCTTGGCAGCTGCTCTCCTCTGCTGCGATGGATGGGGTTGGTCTCCAATTATGGTATTCACGTGATATTGCTCTACTGCCTGAGCGACTGCGTCCGTGTGAATACCATTCAGACCTGCTTGATAGGCTTCTTGATCTAGGGGTTCACGCTTGTACCTTTGGACCTCTCTCTCATGAAGATCTTTCCTGACGTGCCTGGACGGGGCAGTCCTGTCCACAAGACTATGGTAGGGACGTTCCCGACGATAGTACCCCAGCAAGTACTGCATCGACAACATATAATTGTGACGATGGACGGGTAAGATCTTCGCTCCTCATGAAGATGGTCCACAGGAGTCATAAGGAGACACCCTGTTGCAGTTCTCAGGGCAGCATTCGGGCAGGTCTGGATATTCTTCCACTGCGTATCACTAACATTCGCGATCCACACTGGCGCCGCATAGCTTACGACTGACTGACCTATTGCTTTATAAGATGTCAACAAGGTTTCTTTGTCAGCGCCTTGAGGACCTTGTACCTACTTCTCAGCTTATCGCATAAAGCAGTGGCATGTGCAGACGACTTGAAAAGGCTGTCGAACGTTACTCCCAGTATTTTGGGGTAGTTGGTGGTCGGAATCAATTCTCCATCGACCGTTATGTTCAGTGGGAGCTTCATTTCAGCTGTCCATGTGGTGAACAGTGTGGCTGTTAATTTGGTGGCGGACATTTTCATATTCCTCAGATGGAAGAAATTAACAAGATCGGCTATGTAGACGTTTAGCCCCTCACATACATCATCGATAATGGGACCCGACGAAATGATCGTGCAATCATCCGCATACATTACGATCTCTATGCCGTCCGGTAGTTGTGGAATATCAGAAAGGTAGAGGTTGAACATTTGAATTTGAAAATTGATTTGCTACAAATTAATATTGATTTTTTTTTTTGAAATATTAACTTCAAATCTATAAGTTATATTTTCTTTTATATTTTTTTATTGTGTACTATTAATTTTTTTAGATGTAATTTATGTTAAGTTTTTTATGGTTGGTTGGTGTGTGTGTCATTGATTTTCTTCTTTTTTTAAATTAATTTAATTTTAATATTTATTATTACATGAAATGTTTATTAGAATTAATTTTTGTTATAGCCTTTAATTTGCTTTTTTGCATTGCATTTTAAATTATTTTTTTTTTATTTATTTTTGCAATGTGTGAATGACAGGCATCTTGGTTATGGGATGATGGCATGAATTGTGTCAAATGATGTTGACGTTTCAGAAAGTAGGCGTCTAGAGAGTGATAGTGAGAGAGAGAGAAAGAGGGGGGCATGAATGATACATTTCCGTTAAAACGGTATACACAGATAGGTACGTGATGTGTTAAGAAGATGGCGATTGCATTTTTTTTTTAATTTATTTTTTTTTTTAAATGAACGCTTTAGAATAATAAATTGATTTGTTTTTTATTTTTGTTGTTTTTTTTTAAGATACTGATTTGTTGTTTCTTTTAGAGTTGTTGTAATATACTTAAATTATTGTTCATTATTTTTAATTTATTTGTTTTTTGTTGGTTGGTTTTTTTGTTTTTAAATTAAAAAAATAATAATAATAAAACTAATGTATTAGAAATATATACGATTTGTTTGTGGTTTTACATAATCAATTGTTTTTCTTTTTTTAATTTTTGTATGGATTTATTTGTTGTTGTTGCTCTTTATTTTGGTTACTAACTTCTAATAAACAGGCGATAAATGTCTAAGTTTTTTAATATATATTTGTTGGTTTTGTAAGGTTTTTTGTTTCCAGCGTATTAACATATTTGTAATATGGATGCAAACATGCCACACAACTATTTGATTTGTTGTTTTTTTTTTTTTTTGTATAAGAATTTTAAAAAAAATTAATTTAGATAACTGAACTTGGTTTTTATTATTTAGACTTAAACACTACTGCTCTTGGTTTTCGAAAACAAACAACATTTGAAATTGTCTCTTATTTTTGTTTTTGGAATATTACAATTTGTCAGAGGTTTTTACAAATATCTCTAGAATTTGAACTTTAGATTTTTTTAATTTCAAATGGTTTATTTTCATTAAACCCTTTTTTGTTTTGATCAGAATAATGCTTGGATGTTTGGTTATGGTTATCGCTTACGCATTTTTTTCAATACTTTGCGTGTGTTGTTTGTTTGGTTGTGTGTGTTTGTGTTTCTCTGGGATTATTGTGTGGGCTAGCAGCAACAGCATGCATTGGCCTTACAATGCACAAATTTGCTGGAGCTTCCTTCCAGCCTGACTACAGCAATTGTTGTTTCTGGTGGGGGAGGATAGGTCGGTAGTCGTCTACTACATCTCTTTTTTTACTTTTACCATGCCGCCATCCATTATCCATTACGAAAAATTAACAACTGGAAAATATTTGCCTAATTTACGTATCTTCCGGATGGTCACAAAACACTTTGAACTGGTCGCCTGTAGGGTTTTTGCCAGACTCTTCTCTTTGATAATCAAATCGATTTCTTCTATGGAATTTAATTTATAAATGCTACTACTAGCGGAACTATGGGTATGAGATGATGATTTTAGGCTACTGCTATTCGAATGATTGTAATCGGTGGCATTTTTATCCGCATCGCCGCCACCACCACTAATGCCACCTATCAGTTTCAGGGTATTCAAGGAGTTTCTCAATTGCTCAGCTTGATTGGCAAAATCGGAATTGTTTTCACCATTGCTAATCGTGTCAACACCATCAACGCCAACACCACCACAGTCCTCCTCATCATCATCATCTTCCTTAGTTTCGGGAAAGGTATGTAAATTAAATAGGGAATTTCTTTGTTCGCCACCACAGCCACCACCTCCATTTTCCGAATATGAAAAACGATGATGATGATAATTATACTGATGACGCATTTCATATTCTTGAGCCTCCGTAATGCGATCTAATGATTGACTTTCGCGTATTCGACGACGTATTCGTATATTGGTAACAGCATTCTGATTCGGATTCAGAGGAATTATTCCCGATGATGATTTCGACGACTCAACCAGTGAGTTGTGGACTTTATCGGTTGTTGCTGTTGTTGTTGTGGTTTTATTGTGTTTATGGTGTTTATGATGATGATGACCATGGGATGATTTGTTACGGGAATCGGAATCCGATTTGTTTTGCTAAAAAAAGAAGATAACAAGTTTTTAATTTCTAACATAACCTATAATATTTTTTCTAGAATCTTGAAGAGGTCCAACATAGGTGTGGAGTTAAAAAAAATTCGGGGTCCACCATAGGTGTGTATTTTTTAAAACATATTTTTTTCAAGGTGCACCATAGCAGTGGATTTAAAAAAATATTTTTTGAAAAATTCCAGAATATTTTTAAAAACATTTTTTGAAAAATTTTATAATTAAAAAAAAATATATTTTTTGAAAAATTCCATGACTAAAAAAAAATTTTTTTTTGAAAGATTCTAAGATTTTAAAAGAAATTTTTTGGAAAGATAAAGATATAAGATTTAGGCGTAAATTTAAAAAAAAAAATTTGGATTTTTAAAAAAATAAAGATTCACCAAGGCGTGGATATTTAAAAAAATATATATTTGAATATTTAAAAATTTTTTCTGATCGATATCGAGTTTTAAATACTCTTCCCCCACACTCACCTGATGATTTTGACTTTCCCGTTTATTACTGACATTTGTTGATGTTATTAAATCGTGGCCACCGCCATGTGTACCGCCGCCACCACCACCCCCTCCTGCTGTTGGAAATCCTTGATCCTGTGAATCACTGGAATCATCATGTGAATCACGCCGATGCATACGAAACCGGGTCGGGGTATCACCACCCAATTTATGGATTTTCTTTTTATTGCTACGACTTTTGGTGTCATCGTCTGAGGCCTCGGAACTGCTACACGATGGTGTACGTATTTTATTCAGCTTCGAATGTCGTCTATGGGTGAGTACGGGATTTTTACCCGGCAAATGTTTCAGTTTGCCAATTTCCAATTCTTTGAGGCCACGCAGGGTGTCTTCCATTTCGGAAGATTTTTCAGCATTATTTTCCGCCGAGTTGTCATGTGGTGCGATAGTAGCGGCGTTATCAACAACCGTCATTGTTGTATCTTTGTCGATTTGTTTAAGTTTATGCGCCAGCGCAGCATCGACCGATACAACCATTTTGGTTGGTGTATCCATAACGGCATCATTGTCATCGGCATCGCCGCCGCAGCCGCCTCCTCCATTGCCACCACCCGTTTTGTTCGAGGCTGTGGAGGAGACAATATTAGAACATTTCTCTTGAACAGAACGATTAAGACGGCCATCAGATATTGACTCACGTCTGGTGATGGCCACTTTCAATTCATTACCCTCCGATGAGAGTTCGTGGGATGATTCCTCTTCGTCCTCTTCGCGTACAATGCTACATTTGCGTGTACGTTTGTCCTGCGCAAGGGGGAAAAGAGAGACAAATGGAAATTCAATTAGCATCGACGGCACTGCATTAAAAATGTTCATTACCAATAATTATGGCTATTTAAAGTAATTGGCAATTGGAAATGATAATTGATAAATAAAAGAGAAATAGAAAGGAAGGAAGAGAGAAAAGGCAAAGCAATGAACACACCGTTTTTAAATCATTTTGCATTGGTTCCGCCGGTGCACAAACAATATTAATTGGCACCATCATTGGCTTGCCACCAATACTACCACCAACTAGGCCACCAGTTTTTTTATCCGGCACTTGAGCACGTCCACCCATGAGATTTCTTTAAGAGTATATGAAAAAATAGTAATGTGGGCATGTGAAAGATTTCGTTCAACAATGAGCTTTGGAGGGGTCGTAACTTACTTTTTCCCCTGCAGCGATGAGGCCAAATGGGGATTATGCTTGAGGTGTTGTTCCTCGCGTCTTTTGCGCAAACGCATTTCGGCCAATAGGAAATAGGTTGCAGTTATGTGATTATATTTGTTTTTATCCAGTGCTCTGTAATAGAAAAAAAAAAATAAAATTTAAATTCAGAACACTTTTTGAGGTTATGTTTGTTTACTTACTGCAGAATCTCCTCTTTGGGTGCAATATTGCCATTGATCATTTTCTGTATTATGAAGGCATGATCCTCCTCGCTAAGTTGTTCCCGGCTGATCAAAGGTAGCGAATCCATTGCATCGTTTGCTGTACTCATTTCATTGACCCATTCATCGGCGGAAATTTGTTCGAGTGTTGCCCGCTTTTTGGGATCTCGCACTAACATGGAGGCAATTAGTTTACGACATGATCGTGACACCTGCGGTGGTACACTGTATTTACAGTCCATAATCATGGTTAGGGTTTCTGAATCATTGGCTTTTTCAAAGGGGGGTTGGCCGCACACCAACATATAGAGTATGACGCCCAAGGACCAAATATCTGGAAAGGAGAATAATTTAATTAAGAATATTTTCAAAAAAAAAGAGAACAAATTTCGACAGCAACAAAAATATTGTTTTTTTTTTCTACGGGAAACAATTTGCATAATCGACAGAGAACCGATTTTTATACCCTTCACCACACTGTGGTACAGGGTATTATGTCTTTGTGCATATGTTTGTAACAGGCAAAAATAATCGAGATAGACCCATGGTTCCTTTTGCATAATCGACAGAGAACCGATTTTTATACCCTTCACCACACTGTGGTACAGGGTATTATGTCTTTGTGCATATGTTTGTAACAGGCAAAAATAATCGAGATAGACCCATGGTTCCTTTTGAGAATATGCATAGAATCACTTTCTGAGTCGATTTATGCATGTCCGTCTGTCCGTCCGTCCGTCCGTCTGTCCGTCTGTCCGTCCGTCCATGTATTTTTGTTAACAAAGTACAGGTCGCATTTATGATCCGATTTGGATGAAATTTGGCACAGGTCACTTAATTGGCCCAAGGACGAACCCTATTGAAATTGGAGAAAATCGGTCCACGTTTAGGTGTAGCTCCCATATAAGGGTACCCCAAAATTTTCGGTATTTTGAGGTTCTTGAGCGCGTTTTTTAACTGAATTCGCTGAAATTTGGTACTTTGAGTTCTTATTGGGTAGCAAATCTCTCTACCAAAAATTATAAATAAAGGTCCATTTTTTCGGATAGCCCCCATATAAGATTACCCCCAATTTTCGGTATTTTGGGGGTTTTGATCGCATTTTCCGACCGAATTCGCTGAAATTTAGTACTTTGTGTTCTTATTGGGTAGCAAATCTCCCTACCAGAAATTATAAATAACGGTCCATTTTTTCGCATAGCCCCCATATAAGGGTACCCCCAAATTTTCGGTATTTTGAGGTTCTTGAGCACGTTTTTTAACTGAATTCGCTGAAATTTTGTACATTGAGTTCTTATTGGGTAGCAAATCTCCCTACCAAAAATTATAAATAAAGGTCCATTTTTTCGGATAGCCCCCATATATGATTACCCCCAATTTTCGGTATTTTGGGTGTTTTGATCGCATTTTTTGACCGAATTCACTGAAATTTGGTACTTTGTGTTCTTATTGGGTAGCAAATCTCCCTACCAAACATTATAAATAAAGGTCCATTTTTTCGAAAAGCCCCCATATAAGGGCACCCCCAATTTTCGGTATTTTCGGGTTTTTGGGCTCGTTTTATAACTGAATTCGCTGAAATTTTGTACATTGGGTTCTTATTGGGTACCAAATTACTCCACTAAAAATTATAAATATAGGTCCAGTTTTTCTGGTAGTACCCATATAACGGTACCCCAACATTTTTGGTATTTTGGGGGTTCTGATCGGATTTTTCGACCAAATTAACTTTTTAGTACGTCGAGTTCTTATTAGGTAGCACATCTCTCCACTATAAATTATAAATATTGGTCAATTTTTTCTGGTAGCCCCCAGGTTCTTGAACCAAATTCTTTTTTCTGGTACAGGGTATTATTTTTTTGTGCATATGTTTGTAACATGCAAAAATAATCGAGATAGACTCCTTTTGAGAATATGCATAGAATCACTTTTTGAGTCGATTTAAGCACGAAATTTGGCACAGCGTAGCAAATTAGGTCTAGAATGATGTGTGTAAAGTTGCCTGAAAATCGGTTCAGATTTATATATAGCTCCCACATATACTTTCGTCAGATTTAATGTAAATGGTGCACCAAAGTCCCTATATATCTTTCGATTTGCACGAAATTTGGCACAGCGTAACAAATTAGGTCTGAATGATGTGTGTTAAGTTTCCTGAAATCGGTTCATATTTAGATATAGCTTCTATATCTGACCAAATGAACAATTTAGTATCGGTTGCAGAATGACGTGTTTATGGTTCCAATTTCAGTTTACTGGTCCTTTAAAAATGCGACTTCTGTTAGGATTCATCTGTTGAATATACTCAAAGTGGTGAAGGGTATCATATAGTCGGTCCCGTCCGACTTTACTACTTTCCTTACTGGTTTTCTATGAAAAAAGTTTTGGGACCATTGGTACAGAATTTTTTTCTATAGAATACATTTGCAAGGCCTTCGGAACTTGCAAATAGTAGAAAAAATCCCATGACCTTGGTACAGATTTTTTTCTATGAAAAAAATCGGGCCTGATTTTTTCTGTAGCAAAAACTAGTTAGCAATTTCACAACGAGTAACTTACCCACAGCCGGAGCATCATATGAATCACCCAACAATATTTCCGGTGCAGAATATGCCAAACTGCCACAAAACGTTTCCAATTTTTGTCCAGGAGAAAATTTATTACTAAAACCGAAATCGGTTAGTTTGACAACGCCCAGTTTTTCAAAGAATACCACATTTTCCGGCTTGAGATCTCTGAAAAAAAGAAAACAAAAAAATAATTCAATAAATTTAAAAAATAGGAAGAAAAAGGCCCACTCACCTATGTACCACATGCAACTGATGACAGTAGGTAATTGCTCGCAAAATTTGTCGAAAATATTTCCGTGCCAAATTTTCACTCAGCCCACCATCATGTTTCATAATGTAGTCATAAAGATCGCCACCATCGCCCAGTTCCAATACTAAATATAATTTTGTTTGGGTATCGATAACTTCGTAGAGACGTACAACATTGGGATGCTGTACAAGTTTCATGCATCTGAAAGTAGAAAAAGAAGTAAAAGGGGGTTTTATTGCGGGTCACAATTTTGGAACTTTCAAAAATAATGTAAAAATAATAATAATATGCCTTACAGATTTTTCCCATATGGAAGAACATTTTCAGGAATTTGAAACTGATTTTTTTATTAAAACAAATTTCAGGACCTTGAGTTTTTTTAATAGAAAATAATTTGTAGGGAACTTCGACAGATTTTTTTCAATGGGAAACCTCTTTGGTCATGTTTTTTTCCATAGAAAAGCATTTGCAGTAAACACGAATTGAACTTATTTTTAAATTTCGAGACTTCACGGGGTAGTTTTTTTGGCAACAATATTGCAAGACATTGAGACTGATTTCATTTTATAAAAAATTGTAGGACCTTGAAACAGATTCAGGACCATGGAACAGTTTTTTTTTCTATAAAAAATATTACGACCGCAAGACTAATTTTTTTATAAAAGAAAAAAAACTCCGCAAAACTCCGAAGGTTTGCACCAAACAGCCCTGGATTGTTGGCATAGCCTATTTTATTTGTCCGATTTACAGGAAATTTCCTAATGGTGTGTGTTTAGTTCAGATTTAAATATAGCTCCCATATATAGTTTCGTATGATTTTATTTTAATGGTGCACCAAACTCCCAAGGGGTTTTCCATTGAGACGAAATTTTGTATAGCGTATAGAATTGAGTCCAGAATGAAGTGTGTTAAGTTTTGTTGAAATCGGTTCAGATTTAGATATAGTTTTCACCAGTATTTTCGTCCGATTTCATGTAAATGGGTCATAGTATTCTCAGAAAAAAGAACAAGAAAAACGTGAGCGTGATCAAATCGAGATGTACAGGAGTCTGAATGAAGTCCGAAAATTCTACCAACGGGTAGGCACATCCTCCTATAGAGATGAAGAACGAAGCCTGGTGACAAATACAGACAGTGTGCTGAGGATCTGGAAGGAGCATTTTGGAAAACTTCTGGTATCAAATAGTTGCGGTGAAGAGGATACCCCAGAACCAATAGAGTGTATACCTCCTAGCCAAGATGAAGTCAGAATAGCAATCAATCGACTAAAGAATAATAAAGCAGCAGGTGCCGATGGGTTATAAGCCGAACTATTCAAGACTGGTGGTCAGATATTCCTTACCAGCATGCACCAGCTGATTAGTACAATTTGGCTAGAAGAATGCATACCCAATGATTGTAACCTCAGCATCCTGTGTCCCGTGCACAAAAAAGGCGATATGTGCCAACAATAGAGGAATAAGTCTCCTTCCCATCACATATACAATGCTATCCAGCGTACTGTGCGAACGACTAAAGCCAATGGTCAATGACATTATTGGACCATACCAATGCGGCCTCAGACCTGGCAAATCCACCACTGACCAGATTTTCATTCTGCCCCAAATCCTAGAAAAAAAAACCACGAAAAACACATCGACACATTCCACCTATTCGTCGACTATAAAGCCGTATTCGACAGCCCTATCCATTCAGAGGTGTATAAAGCCATGTCTGCGTTTGGTATTCCTGCAAAATTAATACGGCTATGCAGGGTAACTTTAACTGGCACGAGATCAGCAGTTAAAGTCGGAAAGAACCTCTCGGAGCCCTTTAATACCGAATGAATAATCAGACAAGGTGACAGTTTGTCGTGTGACCTTTTTAACATCTTGCTGGAAAAGGTCAAAAGTGAACAGAAATGGCACTCTGTACACCAAACAACACATGTTAATCGCCTATGCCGATGACATCGACATAATGGGTCGAACACTGAGAGCGGTAAGAGCCACCTTTGAACAAGAAACAAGAAAATTTCTCCGAAAGATCAGTGGGCCGATTTGAATATCGCCGTAGAATGGTATACAATTGCATATTGTGCAACCTTAGCAAGATAAGGATGTTTTGTATTAAGTTTTGTTGAAATCGTTACAGATTTAAATATAGCACCTCTATATATATTTTCTTCCGATTTGATTAACATGGAGTACCAAAGAGCCTAGGTATGTTCAATTTACACGAAATTTCACATATGGTATTGAATGAAGTCTTGAAAAACGTATGTGAAGTTTTGTTAAAATCGGTTCAGTTTTAGATACAGCTCCGATTTGTCCGATTTTTTTGCAAATGACTCCTCCAAAGATGTGATCGACAGAATATTGTATATAGGAGTCTCTCCTGTATGTACCCAAAGTAGTGAAGGTTCTCATAATGTCGGTTCCGTTCGATTTTTTAAGTTTCCTTACTGGTTTAAGTTTGATTTATGGAAGAAATTTTCGGCACCAAAAAGGCTAACTGACCTGAGTAAAAAGGCGAAACATACTTATTATTTATTTATTCATTTTTTTTTTTTTTTTGGTTTTAGACCCAGAATATATTATTGGGTCTCGAATCTACCAATAAAAATAATAAGTATGTTTCACCTTTTTTACTCAGTTCTGTTGGCCTTCTTTTGTGCCCAAAAAGAAATATTTGTGGGAAATTTCCTGAATAATTTGCTTCTTCATGTGATAACAATTTTTAGCTACTCGACTTGCGAAGAATATAATCAGCTATGACGCGTTAAAATAAATTCTTCAGTTTGCATAAAAAAAATTGATTGACCCCATTGATCTTTTAAATTGACTTTCTATGAGATGTGATGGATGTTCGACAATGACGAAGACGAGACGATGGCGAAAGTAATAATTGCTCCTAATGATTTTGATTTCAAAAAGAAAAATTTCGTAATATTTTATTGTGGTTGTCGCTGATAACTGACCTTGCCCTTTTGAAGAGGGTTTTCTGTTATCAATTAACTGCCATAACTAAAATAATAAAAAAAGTGTTTATCTAATATAGAAAATTAAAAAAAAAAAAAAAAAAAACAACAATAAATACCAAAAATTTCCAATTTCTTTTTTTGGTCGGCACTTTTTCTTTCCAATATATTTTTTTTGTCACTTTATATAAGTAGTATAGTTTGGTTGGTCGTTCCGACGTATGTACATGTGTGGTATTTTCATTTTGGGCCGAAAACTACGCCACACAATGTAGTTGTCAAAAAGCGAACATTGACCCCAATTTGTTTTTTTCTGTTTGTTCATGTTTCGTGAACATTTGTTGTCTATTTTCAATTTTTTTCTTTCGTTTTGTAAATTGACTATTGAAATTTTGCACCATTAAGTGGCAGGGGTTGGGGGTGGTTGGTGAAATACCAATTGATAATAGTTTACTTGACCATGGACTTATATTGCAAATTAATTTTTCTTCTTCTTCTTTTTTTTCATATCTCATCAATTCCATATCACTACTCCATCCATCTCAAAAAAAGTTTTCAAAAAAAAAAAAAATTAATTCTTTTTAACTTTCATCGTCATCTTTGTCAACACTTACCTAACTTCCTGAAACAGATGAGCCTTAGAGACTTCATCCAGTTTCGTTTTGTCCACCACCTTGACGGCAACTTTGGCTCCGGTGAAAACATGTCGTGCCAATTTTACTACAGCAAAGTGGCCCGAACCCAGCGTTTCTTCCAAATCGTAAAGACCAGCAATTTTTCCATCATACGATGCACCGCCAGATGTATGGGCAGCTGCCGAAGCCTCCAATGTTCTGGCATGATGCGGCGGCTGCTGCTGCTGATGTTGCATATCACCCAAGATGCACACAAATCTATTGTGTTAACAATATCTAATAATTAAATACGTATGTAGATAAACAAGTATGTACAACGACGTCCGTTGATGGGGATGCTGCCGTCGCTGCTGCAACGGCGGCGGCCTCTGCTGGCTGCGTTTGTTTGACGTTTGTCTGTGGTGTTATTTTTTTTTTGTTCTTATTTGTGACAGATTTATAGATTTTTTTTTGCTTTTCGGACACGCCGCGTCTAAAGGAATTTCCTTAAATTATTGTTTTTGTTATTATTTTCATTGGTTTTTTTATGTGCGAGAATGTGTTGGTGTGTTTGTTTGTTGCGCAAGGTTTTGGGTGTCTGCTACCGATTTTCGTATTTTTTTTCTTTATTTTTTTATAATTCCGTCTTCTGTTTGTTCTTGCTCTCTTAACTATTGATATGGTGTGTTGTGACGGACTGACCACTCTCTATCAGACCGACCGACTGTCTGTCCGTCTATCTGGCTGGCTTTTTGGCGTGGCGAAGATCAATCACACAGGCATGCACGCACTCTTATTATGCTCACAAACACACACACACACACAAACAACGAAAAAACAAAAAGAAACACGCACAATTGTCACTCAAAAAAAATTTTTTGCAAAATATGTAATTTTTCTATTGCAATCTTCCGTTCGTTCTTCTTCACTGGAGGAATTTTGTGGACTTTCTTTACATTTTCACTGAAGCTTGTTTGTCGGTCGCTTTTTTCGGTTTTTTTCCACTTCACCAAGAAAATTAGATAAAACTTTTTTTCTTTTCACTCAGTCAGTGTTTTCCTCTTCTTTGCGCTTCACTGACACAAATAACTTCTATGTATCCATCACATAATATTTATGGAGCATTTCACAAAAAAAGCAAAAAGAAAGAAAACACACACAAATTGGACAAAATTAGTTCCGCTCCAACTATAGCAACAACAACAACGACGACTTTTTAACACCAACACTTATTGTTTACAATGCACAAATGAAAATTACAGAAGAAATCAAATATTTTCTTCTGTGTGTTTTTTTAATGCATTAGAAGAAGAAAAGCAAAACTAGTGAGTATTTGTTCCCGTATTAGGTATCGGTCTAATACTTGGCGTGACGTACAGAGCGAGGAGAAAACATTCAGCTTGCCCACCACAACAAAACAGATGGCGTTGAGTTGACGTATGGCCGCACTACGCCGAGTTCACACATCCATACAAAACGTATGAAGTATTGAATTAAATATTCTCTCCTTTCCTTTTCCTTATGTTGACAATTATTTGTTTTATTTATTCTTTTTGTTTTGTATTAAATAAAAATCAAGGTATATTTATAAGGTAACCGTATCAAGGCAGCTGATGGTAACATTATATGTCAAACAGAATTTTGTTATTTTAATTCGCCGTAGGTAGATAAAAAGAGAATTTAAATTTAAAAACAAAAACAATGCGTTTGCTTTTTATTGAAATACATGTTGTGAAAGAATTAAAAAAACCAATAACATAAATCTGGAATATTGGACTTAAATTTTTTGCGGAGCAAAACTATGCGGTGATTATCTTATACTTCAGCCTCTAACAATACCATAGTTATGACCTTCATAGAAAATGAAATAAAGTTATTGGTCCATTTCAAAATATCATTGCCAAAACTATTGGTTTTGCCTTTGACCAGAACGGAATGAACATCATAACTTAATGAAGTACAGATGGATGGGCACACAGATATGACTTGAATTTCAGTTGATACAACAGATAACATAAGAACAAACTCTACCCTTAAAGGAGATGAAATTTAAACAGAAAAAAGATAGTGGATTCTACACCCAGAATATTTTGTCCGTATTTGTGAATCTTGGAGCAGTTAAATTTTGCTAGATTTCCGACACCGAAACACGTTTTGTATGCCTTTATCATGGTATATTTAAATTTGTTTCGAATTTCATTTGGAGTCCATGGAATGCATTAAAATTCAAGGATAAATAGTCAACGCCCGGTTCCGTTCCTAAGTTCTTCATTGAATTTAAGTCGCGGTTTGATGTTCTTTTTCAATCACCAATCTGAATTTGCACAAACATTCATAATTTTAAAAATTACTAAAAAGTAAACAAATATTTTTAATATTTCAAAATGCTGAATTCTGATTGGTTGAATGAAATTCGCTTCAAATTTGATATGTTACGGCGAATCAATTATTATTTGCCTTGTTAACTATTTTGACATATCATGTTCCCAATTCGCCGATGCGGCTACCTTATGTATCTACCTTGATAAAAATAGATATATTTTAATGTTATTTTGTGTAAAATACCGCACGTATGCGTTAAATGTCAAATAGCAAAGACATACAATCGTAAAGACTGGACAAAACGCATTTTCCAATATTAGTGTCAAATTTGTGTTATAGAGGGCTACACATTTTAATGGAAAATGCACTTTTTGAAGTTCTCTCACCAAAAAAATACTTAACAGCAATGTTAATTATTTTGAAAAAAGTTAAGTTTGAGATTGTATGAAATTATTAATATAATTTTTTTTATTTTAATTTTTTTTCTTTTTGCGTGGTTTATTTGAAAAATTTCAATCAATTGCCGTCTTCCCCTGCCCCAGTTCATCTTTAACAGTCGTGACCCCATTGTCATGGGTGTAATGGTCGAAAATGGTATTGTGAAAGTTGGTACACCGATTTGTGTGCCGGGCAAGGAGTTTGTCGATATAGACATTGTCAGCTCAATCAAATCAAATCACAAAGAATTGGAAACGGCTCGCAAAGGTCAAGAGATTTGGGTTAAAATTGAACACATTACCCGGTGAATCACCAAAAACGTTTGGCCGTCATTTTGAAGCTGATGATATGTCGGTCAAAGTCTCGATGCTTGCAAGGATTACTTCCGTGATGATTTAATTAAGGCTGATTGAGCTCTAATGCTTGAACTGAAGAAAGTTTTCCAAATTTTATAAATTGTTTATAAATTTTTAATTTTTTTGCAATATATTTATTTCCTGCTGATGTGAATGCCTCAAAATTATGATGCGGATTCAAATAATGACCCATGAATACAAAAACAACAATGATTTCATGGTATGTCAGGGTATTATAGCTTTGTGCAGCCCCAAGAGTTTGAAACGCCGCGAAATGTTGGTCCTAGACCCACCGTTAAGTATACCGGTCGTCATATCTCGACTAGCTGAGTCCATCTAGACATGTGTGGCCGTCCGTCAGTCTATCCATTATTATTTGGAAACACGATACAGGCCACAGTTATGGACCAATCTTCACGAAATTTTGCATGTAGGATGGGTTCTGGTCAATGAAGATCTAATGGACCAAACACTTTATTTTTGTCGGTTTTTGGTCGCTCCAGACGCCGCAATTCTGACCCCAACATTGCGAATTTTTACACGGAGAATGGGATCGGGGTAAAGAATAAACATGCCAGTTTTATTAAGGACCGGTCAATATTTGGCGGGTCAAATGGACCCTGGCTTTTGTGTGAAAAATGACAATATTTGTGTTCCATAGCGAATAGAGTGGTTGACCTTTAAATTGATACCAATTATATTGTCGTATATATATACTTAGGTATTAACAGGCGTTTAGGTATTCAAATATTATTTAGTAAGCCATTACCACACTTGAGGTCGGAAATATAGCGGTGATCGCTTTGAAATGTTCCATGAGGTTCCAGTTATGGCCAAGGACAACGCCGATAATTTTCGGTGATGGTCAGATAATAATATTGGGATGACCGAAAACTTAATTTGTTGTGTTTTTGGAGTCTATAGGCCACATCACAGCACAACCAACGGTGAAGGGAATCTGGGCAAGTAATTAGAAGGGCTGTACTGAATATTTGTAGTATTTGTTGACCTCTAGTTGGTCAAGAGGGTGCAAATATTGCTCAAGCTCAGAATATAGAGCTACAGGAAATTTAATTTGTCGTACAAGTTGTGTAGGATATCATATGGTCGGCCCCGTCCGACTATACTGCTCCGCTCACTGGTTTTTAATCTATCTTATATACTTATGCCTAAAATATCCTCCGTCACTTCAAAGTTTTTCACCGATTGGCTTTATCCTAGTTCATACGATAGCTATACACTCCCAGAGAAACGTGTCAAAAGTTGGAACCGATTGGATCATTAGTATTTGAGTTATCTTGCCCGCCATTCTCGAAACACTGCTTCGAGAAAAATGCGTTAAAAAAGTTTGAGAATTACTCTTACCGTCACTTGATGCTGACGCAATAAATCGGCTGTATCTTCAAGAGTATGGGGGACTTTGGTGTACCTTTTACATTAAATCTGACAAAACTATATAAGGGAACTATATCTAAATCTGAAATCTGAGTCGTTCGACACTTAATTCAGTACGCTATGTCAAAATTCGTACAAATCGAAAGATATATAGGGACTTTGGTACACAATTTACCTAAATCGGACGAAAATATATATGGGAGCTATAACTAAATCAGAGCCGATTTTTCCCAATTTCAATAGGGTTCGTCCTTGGGCCAAATAAGTGAGCTGTGCCAAATTTCATCCAAATCGGATTATAAATGCGACCTGTACTTTGTTTACAATTTAACATCTACAGACGGACAGACGGACGTACATGCATAAATCGACTCAGATAGTGATTGTATGCATATTCTCAAAAGGAACCATGTGCCCATCTCGTTTCCTTTTGCCTGTTACAAACATAAGCAAAAGACATAATATCCTGTATTTCTACCACCTTCTTTTTCGCGGTCTTTCACTATTTACATTGTGTTTTCATTGCATCGGGGGTTTACAATAATCACACAACACCACATGTGTATACAAAGTTTAATAAGTTGTCGTTTAAAACGATTCTTGGCGTAGGAGAAAGTCTTCAAATTACTAAAATCCTAAAATTCTATGTTATTTTTGGTTATATATAATAATAATTATATATCATATGTTATTGTATATTTAATACATTTATGTAGCAGCGACAAAAATTCGCCTTGTACATTGTGGAACACATCATATATATTTGCAGAATGTTGCCAGCCATATAAATTGTTTTTAAACTCTCTAGGTTTTTTCTGTCATTATTCCATTGCATTTCAGAGATTAAAAAATGTTGTTCTCTTTGTAATTAACAGAAAATGTTGTTACGATATCGTAACAACAGAGCAAAAGCCATCTAACGGCCAACTTGGAAATTCAATTGTCCTATCTTTATACTTTTATGTCTTTGCAAATAGGCGGCATAGGGATCACTAGTTCAATTAATGGTATACCGTATTAGGTATATGTACATCGAAAAAAGGCATAATCGATTTATCGATAATCTTATATAAACATATAGTAGCGTGGTTTTATATTTGTCGGGATCGGTATCGGTGTTGAGAGTTTCTCTCTCTCTCAGTGGTAAATTGTAAATTGTGTTGGAAAACATTACCACAGGTAGGAACAAAAAAGTACGAAAAGGTACCTGAAATTCTACTTCAAATGATAATAAATCATAATTATCGATAAATATTGGCCAATATTTGTACCAGTTATTTGCATAAATAATATATGTTATAATTTAAGCGTAAATGTATTCAAGAATAATAAAAAATCTAATTTTTGTTTTGGTACGTTTATGTCAATTCGTACCTTTTGTGAACAAAAAGTACGCTTGTTACAAAATTAAAAATAGCGCAACTCTAATTACTCTCTCAAGAGAGAGGGACTCTCAACACCGATCCCGATCCCGACAAATATAAAACCACGCGTAGCAAGATCTATTAATAAGGTCACCAAGATAGCAATCGAAATCGGAAAACAGCTGTTTTTTCTCAAGTCTAATGTCAAAAATTTCGATTTTGGTTACGTTTTCATAATGGAAGTCAATTCACAATAATGCATTTTGACATCAAACTTGAGAGGTATCGATAATCAGCTGGTCTCCCTTGGTGACCTTATTTATAGGCCATGGATAGTAGCATTTGGTCTGTTCCCGTACTGCAAGAATCTACTATTTTTTACTCCGATAACACTTTTTTCCTTTATGATATCGAAGAAAATAGTAAAATCGAGTAGATTCTTGCAGTACGGGAACAGACCAATTGAAAAAATACAAAGTAATAATATTAAAAAATATATACAGATTTTCAAAAAAATTTGTGTACAATAAAGATAAATTGGGTTATTCATTAAAAATACACCATGGGCCAAATTGTTATTCAACTGTTAAATCCATTCGATCTCAAATGTCAATTATATAGCGTATAAATCACCTTAATCATGTTCGGAAATCCAGGGGATTACATTTGACGTATATGCTATGGAATTTACATTTAAGATCGAATGGTTTGGACTCGATTTGTAAATTGAGATATCAAATAGCTGTTTAGACTAGCATACAAATAAAATGCAGTGACTTTGTCAGCTGTATTTTGTTTACGTATAGGTAAACATTACGCTGGATTTCTAATTTTTGTGGCAATTTTCAATTAATAATTTTAAATAATACATAAATACATTTGCTGTTTTAAATTGTCGTAATATTTATTATAAATTAAAAAAATCAATTTTTCAATAGCTGACCAATTTTTGTCAGGTCAGCTGCCGAACTTTAAGGAGAAACGATTATTTTTTTGTGCAGAAACAGGTTTGCATTATCTCGATTTAGCATGACTGCGAGCCAAAAAAAAATCGATAAAAATATGTTTTTTTCAGGTCACTTTTCAACCATGAATTGGCATAAGAATTCCAATTATATTAATTTAAAAGAGTATCAATCGCGCGAAATCACAACTAAAGTTTTTAATTTTTTTTTTGAAAATTAAAAAATACATTTTTAAAATAAATAGCGTTTTTTTAATATTTTTTTTTTGTTTTTTCGACATATCAGACTGACATTACTTTAAACATACAATAACAATTTTCTATGTGGTTGTTGTAGTTTTGCAGTTACCTTGTATAATTGTACCATGTCTGCGTATATAAATAAGTTTGACATAAGCAGACATCAGTACAGAGTTGATTTTCCTCATGAGCCAATAGACAGATTGTGTCAGAAGCAATCGTTATCGACAATTTTGGATTAAAATCTCTCCATACTGTCAAATATTTTGTTTACGTTTTCACACAATTAAGTCAAAATCGAAAGCATTTTTATAGCTCGGGTAAAATCATCTGGACTTATCTAACGACCTTATTATTGGATCATGATTTTCCTTAACTAATTCAACAACTTGTATTGTATTGTGTATGGATCTTATTACGTTTAACTTTTTCGATCTATAGATCCCTAATTTCTCACAATGCACTCCATGGGATATCAATTCAAAGGGGCATGACAATGTTATTTTCTTCATTAAATAAATATGAAAAGAAACATTAATAATTTCTCAATATTATTAAATATTTTGTATTATTATAAAATTCCCAACAATAAAAAACTTCAACAGACAAAGCTTTCTGAAATTATTAGCAATTAAATGCAACTATTTACCAGTTATCATTCCTTTTGCATTACCACTTATTTTACCAGTGAAAAAAGAAGAAGCATTGTTTTGATGAAGACCAGCGAAAAAAGGGTCACTTCATGTGTGTGTGCGTGCGTGAAGGCGTCAAAACTTGGATAACTTAAAAAATTCCAGCAGTCCATCCATCAGCAGTCAGTACTGGGTACTGCTGGCACAACGAAAACCAAAACAAAACGAAGCCTGCCTAATGTGGTCAACGGTGGAGTTGGTGTGAAGGAGACAACCTAAAAAAAATAGAAATCATGAGTAAACAACAGCCGTGTGCCCATTTGTCAGCTGTGCATCATGCATCATTGCACGATTTTAAACTTGATGAGGTTTTCCACAAAAAATTCCAATACATTTTTTTTCTCACTCTATGGATGTACATAATTAAAAAAAAGAAAATTACTAATAATAATAATTTAATTTGTATGTGAGTGAACTGTGTGTGTAACCTTTAGAATTGTCGAAGGCCAGTCCAACAAATAAAAATGCAGCCGGTTTTGTTGCTGCTTGCTTTGGTGGCCTTATAAAACTAGGACGCATTGATGTTGTTGTTGCTGTGAGTTTGACTTTGATTTTTTCCACAAAAGAAACGGATGACATCCATGGAGTGTTTTGTTTTAGAGAGAAGTATTCCAATTATTAATAATTCGATTGTTTTTGTTTAATTTTTGCAGAACAATGCCTGCGCCAATTGTCATTATGCGGGTCCGAATTTATGGATATGCCTTTACAAGAAATGTATGTTGGTGGGTTGCAGTGAACAGGCCAATGACCACAGTACCGAACATTTCCAGCGCAGCAAAGATAAGTCGCTGCACTGCATCCACATGAATTTATCCTCACAACGGGCGTGGTGTTATCTGTGTGAACGTGAGGTACCCATTAGTGGTGTGGAGCGTCCAGCCCAAATTGTTGATCCGGTGTTGCGTGCAATGCGCTACTCGGACGAGGAAAATGATTCGGATTATGGTAGCGGTAGCAGTGTGGCTAGTGGTCTAGTGGGTCTGCAAAATATTGCAAATACCTGCTATATGAACTCCGCCATCCAGGCCCTGAGTAATGTGCTGCCAATGACGCACTATTTTTTGAATTGTGGTGATTTAATGGATCACACCTTGGAACAGGGTGCCCATCGTTGCAAGGCCGGCCTGGCCAAGAGCTATCAACGTTTGATGCGTGACATGTGGCGTAAACGCGACGAGGGTAAGACATTTTTGGCACCACGCAGCATTTTGTACGGCATACGAAGTGTCCATCCCATGTTTCGCGGATTCCAGCAACATGATACCCAGGAGTTTTTGCGCTGTTTTATGGACCAGCTGCATGAGGAGCTAAAGGAGACCGCTCTGAGTTATGAACCGAATAAAAGAAAACATTCCATTAAGGAGAATGAGGATGAAGATGATAGCATGTCGGGGATAAGCTCAACATCTAGTTCAAGCCAAAACTTGGATACCAATTATGTAACCTGTGACAGTTCCAATTCGGAACAGTCTAGTCTATGTGAGAATTTTGTGGGTTCTACTAGTCAAAAGGGGGCACCAAAGGTAGTACAGCAATCAGCTGCTGCGGCTCCACCTGTTGCAATGGTGGGTAAGATGTTATCTTCAAGCACTGCAACCACTACGGTGCGCTCCATTGTCAGCGAAATATTCGATGGTAAACTCTTGTCATCGGTCCAATGTCTGACATGCGATCGCATTTCCACCCGTGAGGAAACATTCCAAGATCTATCGCTGCCCATACCAAATCGAGATTTCCTCAATGTTCTACATCAAACCAATAGCATGAGTGTTCAAAGTTTAAATTCCATTGATTCGACGGCTACTACAAGTACAGCGGCGGCGGCAAGGGCTCAAGAGGGTTGGATCTCCTGGCTGTGGAATATTGTACGCTCATGGCTGTGGGGTCCCTCGGTGACGCTACACGACTGTATGGCCAATTTCTTTAGTGCCGATGAGTTAAAGGGCGACAACATGTACAGCTGTGAGAAGTGTAACAAGCTACGCACTGGTGTGAAATATTCCAGGGTCTTGGAGCTGCCCGAAGTCTTGTGTATCCATTTGAAGCGTTTTCGCCACGACTTATCGTATAGCTCAAAAATATCTGCCCATGTGGAATTTCCATTGGAGAATTTCGATATGCATCCCTATATCCATAAGGATTGTAAATCGCAGGTGGCCATGTACAACTTGACTTCGGTTATTTGTCACCATGGCACAGTGGGTGGTGGCCACTATACATGTTTTGCCCGGAATTTTTGCAACAATCGCTGGTATGAATTCAATGACCATCATGTGAATGAGGTATCTGCCGATACGGTGGCCAATTGCCAGGCTTATGTGCTGTTCTATCAGAAGCATAACCCTCAAATGGAGCTGTTGCGTTTCGAAGCCAATGAACTTTCGGCCGCGTATCCGGTGTCGCAATCGGATATCAGATTTTATATATCACGTGAATGGTTGGCCCGTTTCAATACCTTCTCAGAGCCGGGTGCCATCAGCAATTGGTCCATGTTGTGTCCCCACGGAGGGGTATTGCATACCAAAATTAATATGATTCAACAATTAGCAGTGCCAATATCCCAAAATTTGTGGGAATTTTTATATAGTAAATTTGGTGGTGGTCCCGCCATAAATATGCTGTTCGAGTGTGAGGTTTGCAAGCGGGCAGCTGAGGCCTTGGCCCAAAGGCAACACTATGAACATTCGGTTTTTCAGCGGTACAATGGTTTGGATGGTGAGCTGGATTCGGCGGGAGCCATATATGCCATATCGATGTCTTGGCTGCGCAAGTGGCAACAATTTGCCAAGGGGATAACCCACAAAGAACCGGGGCCGATAAATAATGCCAACATTGTGGCGGGTGGCAACAAGGATGCCGCAGTGAAACACTCGCCTATGAGGAGTGTGAGATTGGGGTCAGATTATGTACAAATTAGTGCGCCCCTATGGCGTTTCTTGCATGACATCTATGGTGGTGGACCGGAGGTGTTGTTGAGGCCATCATTGACCGAGGAAATTGTCATTATTGATGAAGATGAATTGATTGACGATGACGACGGAGATGATGATGATATGATGCATGGTAATGTCTCAGATACGGAAAGTAATATGGGTTACAATAATTATCATCATGAAGTTGCTGCCGCCGCCTCGCAACGCAACTACCCTGCGGAGAATTTAATAATAAATGAACAACATGAAGAGGATGAGGAGGAGGAATCTGAGGAGGAGAATGATGATGGCGGTAATGAAGATAATAGGCCACAAGCTGCAAAGAGAAACCAAGGCAAAAATAAAGAAAGGGTAAACAATAGAAAATATAACAACAAAAATGCCAGCCTTTCCAAGAAAGGCAAACACAAGGAAAACAAGGATTTATTTGGGCTGCAGGGTAAGTAGCTAGTTTCTATATTAATTACGAGTTCAACAAAATGATAATTTTTATTTTCTCTTAGGAAATTACAATCCCAAAGATACTGAAATACATTCCCCCGTACCACCACACAATGGTGTAAAGGAAACGTCTAACGTACAAGATGAAGATGCATTGAACCACAATAACCACAGCAACAATAAAAAATCCCAATATACTGCTGGAGCCACAATATACAAATCGAAAAAATATACCCTACGCAATGACAAATATCAAAATCAACAACAACAACGACATCGTAAATCGTCCACATCTACAGCTGGACATTCAAATCCCGATGATGCCACAAATGATTCACGACAAGCGATAAAAAAGGGCAAAACGAAACATGCCGTAGTACTAAAGAATTTCCAAACTTTGGAAAATGATACAGCAGCCAATAATGATTCCAATGAAACTGATGTTTAGAGAAAATCAAAAAAAAAAAAAAAAATCGTAGAAGAAGATACCGAAAAACATACGCAATTTTTGTCAATTTTCTAGACAATTAATTATAAACTTATATATTTAATACTACTTAAAGGAAAAAGCTCTTTTTTTGTTTGTTGTACTCTTCATTCCTTCCCCACCCTAACCCCAACCCTTTAATGAATTTTGTTAAAAATTGAATTTGAATTTGAATTATTATTCGTTATTTAACAACGAAATCAATTGAAATGTTGTAAAGCCAATCATTTATACATATATAGAGATTTGCTATATTACAGCAACAACTTAAATATATACATATATATTTTTTTTGTTTGTGTATATTTTAGAATATAAAATATAAATTATTTTTTTCTCTTTATTATTTTTTGTGTGTATGGATTTAAAATGAAATAAATAAATAGAAAAAGCTCTGCTTTATGAGTTAAGTCCGGGTAGAGGCTTTGAAAAAAGTTGAAAAAAAACACTTTGGTTTTTATTAAATAAACAATTGACGGTAAGTTGTTAACACTGCAAAACTTAAGCTTTAAAAAATCCACGTCCATTGTTATCATTAAAAAATATTAAAAAAACAATCACTCTTCTTGTTAACTTTAAAAGAAAAAATTTAAATCCACGCCTATTGTTAACTTCAAAAAATATATTTTAGAAAATCGGCGACTTTTGTTAACTTTCAAAACTATTTTTAAAAAATCCCCGCCTTTTGATAACTTCATTTTTTTAAACTTCAAAAAATATTCTTTAAAAATCCACTTGAAAAAATATTTTTTTACAAACCGAAAAAATTCGCCATAAATTTTTACACCACCCCTCAATATTTAACATGCATCTTGATCTAGATATGTATATTGATGAACAAAAACAAAACAACAACATCTTGAAAACGCAACAACAACACACCATACACAACCGAACAGCATCTTTTACTCACCAAGTGTGGTTCTCACACACACCACCCATGTGAGAGAGAGAGGGGGAATAAATCTATTTATAACGACCATCATGTGGAGCAATTCAAAATCGGATTTTCTTCGTTTTTAGTTTTTCAATAGATTTTTTACACATAAGACGTCCCATAGAATAGGAAAATTGAAAAGAAAATTTGGAAAAATTAATTAAATTAAATAAAAAAAATCACCATGAATCCCTGTCAAATTTGTCAAACCGAAACAAAAAATAGTTGCTCGAATTGCAAACAAGTGTTCTACTGTAGTGCCGAACATCAAAAGAAAGATTGGAAGGACCATAAGAAAAATTGTCATCCATTTAAGGTGGGCAAAGAAAACTGTCGAAAACGATAACAAAAATATGGACTTTAGGAAAAAAGACTTTTTTTAATTATTGATTTCCATTTCACATTCCTACCCGCCCCCCTCTAGATTGCCGTCAACAATGAATTGGGTAGACATTTGGTGGCCACCCGCACCATTAAACCATTCGAAATTATTCTCAAAGAAACTCCCCTCTTTCGTGGTCCATCCCAATTGACGGCACCCGTATGTTTGGGCTGCCTCAATGCCATCGATCCGCAGGACTATAAAAATTGTGAAAAATGTGGTTGGCCTCTGTGTGGTGATGAATGTGTTTATAAAGCGGAACATGTCTATGAATGTGAGCTGACCAGGGCTAGAGGTAAACCGGCCAATGTACAAGAATTCACCAATCCCCATCCGTTATATCAATGCTTGAGCACGGCACGTTGCTTGATGCTGCGCGATAAGGACCCCGAGCGGTGGCAGAAAATTAATGAATTGGAATCATTGGAGGATCAACGGAGGGGATCTATGCAATGGAAGGCAGATTATGAGAGTGTATGCAAATTTATATTGAAGTGAGTATAGAGATTCTCAAATGAGAGAGAGAGAGAAAGAGGGAGGGTGTGAGAGAAAGGGAAAGAAATGTTTTGAAAAAGAGGGACCGGTTAATAAGAATTTCAACAGACAATTAAAAATGGAATGTTAAAAAAAATGTATAAAAATAGGATGTTTAAAAAAATATAAAAATAGGATGTTTAAAAAATATTTTTTGAAGTTTACAATAGGCGTGGATGTTTTAAAAAATATTTTTTGAAGTTTACAATAGGCGTGGATGTTTAAAAAAATATTTTTTTAAGTTTACAATAGGCGTGGATGATTAAAAAAATATTTTTTTAAGTTTACAATAGGCGTGGATGTTTTAAAAAATATTTTTTGAAGTTTACAATAGGCGTGGATGTTTTAAAAAATATTTTTTGAAGTTTACAATAGGCGTGGATGTTTTAAAAAATATTTTTTGAAGTTTACAATAGGCGTGGATGATTAAAAAAATATTTTTTGAAGTTTACAATAGCCGTGGATGTTTTAAAAAATAAAAATGTTTAAAAAAATCCACGCCCTTGATTTTTTTTTTAAAATCCACGCCCTTGAAAACAATATTTTTTTAAAAATACACTTCATTGAAAACAATATTTTTTTAAAAATCCACGTCATTGAAAAAAATATTTTTTTAAAAATCCACGTCATTGAAAAAAAAAATTAAAATCCACGCCCTTGATTTTTTTTTTAAATCCACGCCTTGGAAGAAAATATTTTTTTTAAAAATCCACGCCTTGAAAAAATATTTTTTTTAAAATGCACACTTAAAAAAATATGTTTTTTTAAAATGCACACTTTAAAAAAATATGTTTTTTTTAAATCCACGCCTTGAAAATAATATTTTTTAAAAAATCCACGGCTTGAAAGAATATTTTTTTTAAAAATTCACATTTGAAAACATATTTTCTTAAAAATACAAATCTTGAAAAAAATATTTTTTTTTTGAAAAAAGAAAAAAAAAAGAATATTATTTTTTTTTGAAAAATATTTTTTTTTTGAAAAAAATATTTAAGTTGAAGCCTATTGGACCTTGAAAAAATTTACGACTTATATGTATTTTTTAAAAAATTCTTTCAATAACTATTTTTTTAACTCTCTCCTTCTCTATCTTTTTTTTAATAAATTTATCATCATTCATTTTACCTTTCAGATTTTTTAACACCAAACTGTTCACGGAAGATGAAATAATGCGCATCATTGGCATATTACAAATCAATGGCCATGAGGTGCCCACCTCCGATCCACCCCATGTTGCCTTATTCTATAAGGCTTCGTTTTTGGAACATTCTTGTACGCCCAATTTGGCCAAGAGTTTCAATAAGGATGGCAACTTGATTTTGTGGGCTCCCAAAGAAATTAAGAAGGGTACCCATTTGAGTATTTGCTATTCGGATGCTGTATGGGGTACGGCGGATCGTCAACGGCATTTAATGCAAACGAAAATCTTCAAATGTCAATGTTTGCGGTGTCTCGATGTTACGGAATATGGAACACATTATAGTGCCCTGAAATGTGAAAAGGAAAGTTGTCGGGGTTTAATGTTGCCCGCCAATCTGAATGATTGGCATAAGGAGTGGACGTAAGTGGGAGGGAGGAAGGTGATTTTTATTTTAATTATTAATGTTGAAATTTATTTCTTGTTTGCAGTTGCCTGGAATGCAAAGCCCAAGTTGATAAGGTCTATGTCAATAATATACTGGAGCGGGCCGGCAGCGATATTAATGCCATGGAGAAAACAAAAGAAAATTGTATCAAGTGAGTAGTAGGTCATAAAAAAAAATAATTATTATAAATAATAATGACAATGCAGTATTTAAAATTAAAAGTTCAAATACAAGGCCGATTACCATGCCTTGAAATAGGGGGAGGGTGTGGATTTTTGTTAGGAAAGGTAAAGAACTTTTGTGACATTGGACAGCTAACAGATATCGATTTCTTTTCCTTTATAAATTTAAAATTTTTACTATGTTTTACTACTGGAACACATAAAAATTTTATATAATCCTATTTTGAAAAAATCTTTGGATGTTGCATTAAAATGAGTAGATAACTCATTATTATTTGCCATTCCTTTACGACACCCTCATATATTTATTTATTTTTTGTCTTGTACCCATTGATTTCTTCATTGTGAGTCATTTTTTTCTAATTCTAAAGTTAAAAAAATAATCTTAAGTGATCGTGCTGGCATTGCTTATCAATTTTTAATTGTTGTCGTTATTATTTGAATTGTTAATATCAATCAATTATGTTCGGATATATACATACATACATATGTATATATACGATAAATAATTTTTAGCAATTCACGTTTATAATACTTCCCATTTTTTTAAGTGAAATAAAAAATGGTAAGTTCGGAAATTAGTGTGGAATGAGAATAGGTTAGTTAGACGTGAATCAAACCGAAATCGTGTTAAATTGATTTACCATATAAAATTAAATTCTCTCCTTTTCTTGAAATTCTGTGCGTAATCAGGATAAATTTAAATACAACACGCTTTTTGTACCAAAAAATGGCATCACCTTTCCTAAAAGTAGCAAATTGGCAACGCATAGTCTAAATGCCTCTTAACCTTACTAAACACTATGTAAAGCCGCCTGTGTAATAACGCCCATTTGCACTAAACAATAAATGTCATTAGTTCGTCTCTGTTCTCTTGAATAGTTTGTCAAATAAGTGAGGTTCATTTGTATGTGGATCATTTCCCATTTTCTCTCTCTCTTTGTTTAATCATGCCATTTATCGTTTACACCGTTAATAATGTAGGGTACACCATTGTCGTTTTTGTCCCAGCTAATCGTTTGGTTTATGTTGTCGTAAACCGCCTGTGTAATAACGCCCATTTACACTAAACAATAAATGTCATTATTTCGTCTCTGTTCTCTTGAATAGTTTGTCAAATAAATGACGTTCATTTGTAAGTGTTTCATTTTCCATTTTCTCTCTCTCTCTCTCTCTTTGTTTAATCATGTCATTTATCGCTTATACCGTTAATAATGTAGGGTACACCATAGTCGTTTTGTCCCAGCTAATCGTTTGTTTCTTTTTGTTGTTGTAGTTTCTTTGTTGTTGTTGTTGTTCTTGTATGTCGTGTTGGTGGGTTTTTACGCACCATCCGTTATCAGTGAAAATGGCTTGTCACAACCATTTTTTTTGGCAAACATCAATAAAACGTGATAGTGATTATCGATATACGGAGTATATTCGTATCGAAATCATAAAATAATAACATGTAACCAATAATATTAGATGTTTGTATGTATATAAAAACATTTGTATAACCATAGAAATAATTAGATAGATAGATACTATGACCACCAACAACGATTTAATATATTTAGCACCGTCATTATATTGTCATGTAGTTTGTTTCATGGCAAGCGGGGGGATGCCATGACGAAATTTATATACCCAAAAAAAAATCCAATAGATCTAAAATGTATATTCCGATGTAAATCCACTGTATTTAATTGACATCCATTTTTTCGATTTTTCACCAAAAAAATCCTCTCATCTGTAATGGCATTTTGTAACTTTTTTTCTGTCATAGAATAATATCGCAAAAAAAAAAATCCAACTTTTCACTACTTTTCACTACGATAAGGAATTTTCGTGATGCGAAACTTGCATATGCGAATTAAAAAATTTTAATCTTGTATCTTCTTACAGAACACAGCATCATTTTCATATATCTTTTTGTAGCTGCATGTGTCCACACACATGTTTTTTGCCCAACCGTTTTGGAAATGTGTTGTTGCCTCAGAACGTTAAGTGGCATTTTGTAACTTTTTTTTCTGTCATAGAATAATATCGCAAAAAAAAAACAATTCCAAAAAATTTAAAATTATTTGTCTGTTCCATACTACAAAAATCTACTACTTTTCACTACGATAAGGAATTTTCGTTTACGATATCGAAAGAAAAATTTTAATCTTGTAGATTCTTACAGAACACAGCATATGATAACATTCCTTATATCTCTCTGTAGAGCTGCATGTGTCATTTTACTAAACAATGTAAATACGCCTTTTGTAAAAACGCTCACTATTTAGCGTATACGTTACAATTATTATTTCGTAAAATGCAACTCTGTTATTCGTCTTTGACAGACGCTGAAACTTTTCTTGAAAAAAAAATATTAAAATCACTATAAAGTTTGAAAATCGAATTTTTGGAAATCAATGTTTATTATTAAAAAACATTTTTTAAATAATTCATAGGCATGGATTTAAAAAAAAATATTTTTAAAAACAATTTACAAAATGTAATTGATTTTCAAATCTATTGTCGGGAGTGGAACTCTTTTCTTTCATTTCAATTATTATATTAGCTTTTAATCACATTTTGAAACTGATGTAATTGATGTGTGTTTTGGTTTTTATTTTCTGTAAATATTACGCAAAAATAAAATTGTTGAAAATAGGAATTACAAATTTTAAGTGGTTAATGGAATGATAGTTATCAGTTGAAAAAAAAAAAAAACGACTTGGAAAAACTAACACGCAAAAAACGAAATAATAGTAAAAATTAAATAACTACACGATAATTTATAATTTTTTTTTTAAATAAAAATTAATTTAAAAATATATATTTTTAATTTAAAAAATATATATTTTTTTAAATTATTATAGAATATTTTCAAAAAAAAAAAAATATTTTATTCTGAAATATTTTTCTTTATTATAATATTAAAGTACAAATTCTAAATTCTAATTGCCTGACTACATTTCACACACTTTTTTTATCGTAAAGAAAATGTTGTTAGACCAATTCAATTATTGGCATATCAATTTACACGCTGTGAGTGATTTAAAACAACAAAAAAAAACCTAATATTTCCCATGGCCTTGCTGATATCTGATTGGTCGCACGTTCTTATCTTTACAAGTAGTTGTTGGTTGGTTGGTAGTTTAGCATGCGACAGCACATGTTTTTATTCAAACTTAATGTTCGCAAAGAATTATTACATTAATTGTGTTGTTATTTTTTTATTTTATTATATTTCACTTAATCAGCTAGTCGAAGAAGTTTTGATTTTTTTTATTATTTTTTGTTCATTGGCTTCAATGTGCAATTCATTTTATTTTCGATAAATTTTGAACATATTTGAGGTTTATCATTTTTTTATGAGGAGATAAAAATCAATAAAAAAAGAGGAAGAGAATTTTTTATTGATTTAAAGTTTTCTATTTTAAATACACTATACGAGTGTGTATTTATTTAAAATAATAATATTTTTTAATTCCAATCTTGAAAATTTAATATAGACAAATTACATTTCATTGTTCTATTTTCTATTCCGATGATGATGTTATGTGTGCAGTGTTTGAAATGAAAAAAATAATAGCACCTAGACTAAACCTCCATGGCGTATTAGCATTTGACATTATAATGTATTAACATCATACGCTCCATGGTACGCTCATAGCAATCATTCAACTTCATATTTAATTTTTTTTTTTAAAACAATGACATCTTATCTCCACTTTGTCATCTCAATGAAATTGCAAATTTTTCATTCAATTAAAATGATTAGCTTTTTATTTCCTTAACAATATTTTAGCAAATTTTGTTTTCAATCATTTATTAAAAAAATTACCCTCTAAAGTAGAAAAAAAAACTACTAATCTCACCCACGAAAATTCACGTGTTGGGTATGACGTTGTTATAAACAAATAGCCGTAGATTGTTTTTCAAATAACATGTTATGTCTAGCACGATTATATTTCATTAGTTTTATTACCCTTAGTAACGACCACAAAAAATATGATGAAATTTTTGTTAACAAACGAGCAAAAAAAAGTGATTAGTAATTATTATCAATTATGAAAAGAAATCAATTTGAAAAATTTACAATATTAATGAATGCAAGAATACGATATATGATAACATTGAAAATATAGCAAAGTGTTATTGATATACACAAATGGCCAAATCATTCCCATCCTATATACTCTCCTATTGTATTTTATAGATATTGTTCTCTCTCTCTCTCGTTGATATTTGCTGTTTGTTGTTGTTATTTAGTTAGTTATTATGTGACGCGTGACGCACACAAAACGTTTCTATCATTCCATGAAATCATATGTTCAAATATAATGACAATAAATAATTCTTCATTTGTATTGTTTTCTTTCTAATTTAATTTAATAGTAAAGGAACTCTCTGTTTCCATTAAATACAAACACTCTCCATTAATCTGTTGTGCCTTATACTCTCTCACTTTCTCTGCCTTATTCTCTCACCTTCGATATCTCTATTATTTTTGCATTGTCAATAATGACAAGCGGTACACATGTTAATAGATTATCAATTATTGAAAGAACATTTGTTTATCGTTATCGGTTAATTGTCAGCCTGAGAGTGCGAGAGAAAATAGAAGAAAGCCAGAGAGCAAGATTACCGTTGTTGTTGCTGTTTATAGGGACGGACAATCAAATGGCTGATGACACATTAAGAATGTTTTGGCGGTTACAATACATAATTAAATAATAAATATAACAATTAAATAATAAATATAATAATTAAATAATAAATATAATAATTAAATAATAAATATAATAATCAAATAATAATTTTAATAAGTAAATAATAGTAATCATAGAAAAAAAATATAACAAAGTTAATGGCTTAGCAATTGAGAGCAAAGAGGGAGAGAGAGAGAGAGAAAGATTACGGTTGTTGTTTATAAAGGCAATCAAGCGACGGATGACAATTTGGCTATTCTAACAGGCAATGCTGTTTTTAATAATTTGAAGAATAAAATAATTTAAATAATTATATATTAAAAATTTAAATAAATTAATTAAATTAATAATAATAAATAAATAGTAATATAAATAACTCAATAATTAATAAAAAAAAAACAAAATAAAAAATAAATCAAAATTGTATTGACAGAGAACAAGAGAAATGGAGAATGAATGACTGTTGTTGTTGTTGTTTATAAATACAATTAAACGGCTGATGACACACTGCAACGAATGGGTCACATTTAGAAACAATAAATTTGGCAGTTAGTTGTTTTTAATAGTATTTTAATAATTAAATCATTTTTATAAAAATAAAATAATTAAATAGTAATTGAAATAGTTATTTAACCATTTATAATAACTTAAACAAAAATAAGCAAATAAATAAATTTCAAATAGCAGAGCAAAGTTTCAAATGGAGAGAGAGAGAGAGAGAGAAAGCTTGCTACTGTTGTTGTTCTTGTTGTTGATAAAGACAATCAAAAGCCTGATGAAACATGCAATTTAACGGCTGTTTTTTACAATTAAATTAATAGATAAATAATAATTTCAATATATAAAAAATGTGATTCAAAGTGAAAAACGAAAAATTATTTTTAAAAATAAAAAAAAAATAATTTCTTTAAATGAAAAATTATTTGAAAAATATACAATTAAAACAAATTTTAATAAATACAAAAAATTGATAAAAAAAATTTTAATAAATACAAAAATATTAAATAAAATATAATTTTTTAAATCAAAAAATAATTTTTTTAAATAAAATCAAAAATATTTATAAAATGAAAATAAAAACAAATGTAAATAAAAAGTTTCATTTTCATATTTAAAAACTAAAAAAAAATTCAAATTATAATTCCAATAATTATTGAAATTTTTTGATTGTTTTTTTTCAGATATTTACAACACTATGGCAAATGGCTGCCCCCCACCCACTACTACATGTGCGAAGTGAAATTGTATTTGGTTCAACAACTGGGCAAACAAGTTAACGAACTGATGGTATTGTCCGCTGAAGAATTAAATATGAAATTGGAATATGGCAAACAATTGGTGGAATTATATGAAAAATTGGCACCATGTAAGGCGCCACAAAAATAATATTAGTAATGTAAAAAAATAATAATAAAATTATATTCTGTTTTATTTACAGGTGAGGTTCGTATGCTGGGCACCTTGTGCTTTGAAGTGCACTCAGCCATTGCTGAAAACACCAGACGCATATCGCTGCAAACTAGCCTTTCACCCAAAGAGCTGTTAGAAGAATCTCTGTTATATGTGGAAAAGGCTGTCGGCTATTTGCAATACGAATCGGATATCTTTGTTGAGGGTCATATTTTGAAACAGGCCAAAATCAATAGAGATGCTTTGAAAATGGTTATGAGAATGTAAAAAAAATATATATAAATAAATAAAAAAAATCATTATAATAAAAATATTAAAATAAAGAGAAATAATTAAAAAGTTTAATTTCTGATATTTTTTTTATTATAACATTTTTTTTTTTGCAAAAAATTGTTTTTAGAAAAAAAAACTTTTAATAAAAATTTATTTTTGAATTACAAAAAAAAAAAAAAAAAATAAACACAAAATTTTATCGTCATGAAAATTTAAGAATTCACTAAAAATTGAGTTTGTCTCAATCATTAAAAATATATTTTTTCTTTAATTCAATTTCCAAACCAAACTATCCTAAACACTGAAAAAGCATTGATCATGCCAATTTTGTGATTTGTTTTAGTTTGAATCCCTGTTGGTCCCAACAATCGATATAAAGTGTCAGTGGTTTTACTTCATTGATAACTGGCTGGCTGGCGGGCTGCTGATGAAATACCCAAAATACCAATGACTTGTTAAAATATTATCAATTGATGAGCATGCATATATACACCTGGCTATATTATAAAAACACAGGAAAAAATCTATTGGTAATGGTTATGGAATCAAAACTAATCATAACTCACTCCAAATACATGCAAAAATGAAATATCTAAAGCACTTTACTTACGCCACCAAAATATACCAACAACAACAACAATAAAATAAAATAAAACACACACCAATAGCCACCAACACATTCAAAAGAAGGCACGAAATATCGATAAGTTATCACCAAATTAATGCCAATCTAATAAAATTTATATACACACTTTTTTCTGAGGTTTTCCTTTATATACAGCTATAGAAAGTTCGCAATGAATTCAGTCAGTTACGAACATTTGTTAAATACATTTCTTTCTAATTTTTTTCCTATTTTAATTTGAACGGTTAAGAAAGCAACACGACGAAATTTGCAAAAACAATAACAACGCACAACAGTTGTTACAAGACGCTGTAATCGATCAGCAGCAGCATCAACGGCATATCGATTTCTTTTCAAAGTGGAAGTGATCAGAAAAAAAAAAGAAATCTAAACGACGATGAGTGTCAACGATAACACTTCCAAGGACGATAAGTCCTATTATAATAAAAATATCACACTCGATGGACAAAATGGTGGTTCTACTGTGTAAGTGTGAATAGAAGAAATGTTTTTTTTTTATGAAAACAAAAAACAAAAACTATATAGTGAATTATTTTCAAAGGACAAGGATACAAAAATACAAAATATGAAATAATATTAATTAATATTAATTGTTTAATAACTTATACAATTTTTTATTGTGAACATTTGTGCCCTTAAAAAATGAAAATAAATGGACAGTTTGTGATTAAAAAAAAAATAATAATTTATAGTGACAATAGCAGGCAAAAAAAAAAAAAAAAAATACACAGAAAATGATCTGAAATATGCTGAAAAGTGTTTTTAGACAATTCTTACAAACTCCACCCCATTTCTAAAGCGCCAAAATTAAATCGTAGATGTTTAGACTATTATGAAAATGATTTAATGTTGCCAATCAGCTGATTGACAACCGTCACAATCGCTGTAAAAGTAATCTAAGCATGCATTTACACCCAACGTGTTTTATGACAAATTGTCATTATATACTTGAAATTGTCATTTCCTTCGTATATATGTCAAATAAATAACATGGTTAATATCCACAGGCTTTTTTAAGGAAATTTTCTTTAAACATTTTTAAATTACATTTACATTAGAACTTTTTATCGAATTAACCAACTTTATGAGGATTTTTTTTGGCATAATCTTTTTTACGTGGTTAACCTACTTTTTTAAGGATTTATTTGACATATATACAATGGAATTGACAATTTAAATCCATTGGGTTAACGAAATCCGCTACAATGTAAACCTACTAATAAACGAACTATTATACTCAAACTATTATACGTAAACGTACTATTATACTCAAAAAATCTAAAATAAAAAAAATCTAAAATGGATTTAAAAGTGCGCTTTGGCTATACCTTTCAATTTCGACTCGATTTGTTAAGCAATCAAATAACATAAAGAGTTGTCAGTCAGCTGATATTTGTTTACTTTTGCGTACATTAGGTTTATTACAAATACACGTTCGGTTTCGAGTTAGACTACGTTTAGACTACTAATCCACTGGATCTCAAACATCAATTGCATAGCGTATACGTCACCTTAATCATGTTCACAAATCCAGTGGATTATATTTGACATATACGCAATGGAATTGACATTTCAGATCGAGTGGATTTGGATGGTTTCAATGATATACGTGTAGATTAATATTAAAATAATAACTAAATCTGTCAGTCAGCTGATATTTATTTTTACATATGAAGACTAGTGTTATGGCTTTTTTACAATCTCACAAAGAATATTTTTTTTTAATGGCGCCCAACAAGGCGTAGATTCATTAAAGTATTTTTAATGGCGCCCAACAAGGCGTAGATTCATTTAAGTACTTTTAATGGCGCCCAACAGGGCGTAGATTCATGAAAGTATTTTAAATGGCGCCCTACAAGGCGTATATTCATTAAAGTATTTTTCATGGCGCCCAACAAGGCGTAGATTCATTAAAGTATTTTTAATGGCGCCCAACAAGGCGTAGATTCATTAAAGTATTTTTAATGGCGCCCAACAAGGCGTAGATTCATTAAAGTATTTTTAATGGCGCCCAACAAGGCGTAGATTCATTAAAGTATTTTTAATGGCGCCCAACAAGGCGTAGATTCATTAAAGTATTTTTAATGGCGTTTAACAAGATGTTGAAATTTTTCATGGCGCCCCATTAGGCGTAGATTTTTTAGAAGAGAATTTTTATGACACACAACTATGAGCAGATTTTTTTAAAGAATATTTTTATGGCTCCAACTAGGCATAAATTTTGTAATAGAATATTTTTTAGAACCTCACAAAGAATATATTTTAATGGCGCTCAACAAGGCGTAGATTTTTTAAAGAATATATTCTTAAATGGCGCCCAATCTAGCAAATATTGCAACAAGGCGTAGATTGTTAAAAGAATATTTTCTTAAATGGCGCCCAACCTAGCAAATATTGCCCACAAGGCGTAGATTTTAAAGAATATTTTCTTAAATGGCGCCCAACCTAGCAAATATTGCAACAAGGCGTAGATTTTTTAAAGAATATTTTCTTAAATGGCGCCCAACCTAGCAAATATTGCAACAAGGCGTAGATTTTTTAAAGAATATTTTCTTAAATGGCTCCCAACCTAGCAAATATTGCCAACAATGCGAAGATTTTTTAAAGAATATTTTCTTACATGGCGCCCAACCTAGCAAATATTGCCAACAAGGCGTAGATTTTTTAAAGAATATTTTCTTAAATGGCGCCCAACAAATATTGCAACAAGGCGTAGATGTTTTCTTAAATGGCGCCCAACCTATCAAATATTGCAATAAGGCGTAGATTTTTTCTTAAATGGCGCCCAACCTAGCAAATATTGCAACAAGGCGTAGATTTTTTAAGCTCCTGTTTTAAATATCGTCCAACAATTCCCTGCGTTTTTATCCGATTTCCCGTTTTTTATATATATTTTTTTTATATTAAGGGGATTTATATAATAAAACAAGTTCGGTGTAAATATACTCTTATTTTAATGTGTTTCAGGTATAACAAAAATGTGTTAACTCTATCCTTTTGGGCACATGTATATATATATATATATATATATTTCAACAGATTATGACACATTAACAAGAAACACCCCTACGGATTTCTTTGTTGAACAAATTTCCAATGAAAAAAATTAGGTAGATTTTCGACTGACTAAGTTTTCATTTCAGCCAAAAAACAGTGATAACCATACCTCCTACAAATCACCATGACTGGCAAAAGAACAAGCAGACCCAGTCAGACGTTGTCGTTGTCGTCGAGTCTTATCTATTCTATTCGAAGTGTAATAAATACTTCTGATAAACAAAAAGGCTTTCCCTAACCACAATAATCGGTCAGGTATTTATGTTATGGTGATTTCTAAAAAGAAATTATACTTGAAATTGAAAATATTTTTTTTGTTACCATGATATTGGCTGACGACGACGGCGAAGAGGGCAATGACACTAGCATTATAATGAAGTGATTAGGTTCATTATATAGAATGATAAACGGGGGTGGGGGAGGCATGCCATACAAGCAATGACATTGAAAATTTAAACCCACTGGATTTACTAAATACAATGTAAATGTACTATAATTCGGATTTATTTATTTTGTTTCTTTTTTGTAGGCCCATAAACGGCGAACCCAAGAAGAGCAGTTGGTGGAAACGCAACAAAAAGGGCACCGAAACTCCCACAGAAAGCGAAACAAGTGAAGAGAATCCCGATGCCAAACCCAAGGATGATGTTGCCCCCGTGGCCTTCTTTAAAATGTTTAAATATGCCACACCGACAAACAAATTTATGTATATCGTTGGTGTGTTGGCAGCTGTGGCCACGGGTCTAACAACTCCCGCCAACAGTTTGATTTTTGGTAATTTGGCAAATGTGAGTATTTCACTACATAAGTGCTCACTTACACCGAAAGTGGTTTTCCGTAACTCATATTTTAGGTTGTCATTTGTTTTGTATATATGTCGAATAAGTGACATATGTCAAATAAGTGATATATGTCAAATAAGTGACGTCTGTCAAATATATGAAATATACCAACTAAATTAAATATATGTAAATGCACCCTAAACCACCTTGTTTTATTATAAACTAATTCCATTTTGTATGTGTGTGTGCGTATTTTTTTCCAGAACATGATTGATTTTGCCGCTGAATTTGGTCCGCAAAATATGAAATATACCCGTTCCGATCCAGCTGATCAACTTTTGGAAGCCGTCCAGACGTTTGCCTTCGATAACACGATGATTGGTATTGTCATGTTGACATGCAGTTACATTTCGGTGACCCTCTTCAATTATGCCGCCCATGCGCAAATTTTACGTATCCGTGGTAAATTCTTTAGATCGATTCTGCATCAAGATATGTCATGGTATGATGTCAATCAAAGTGGTGAAGTTGCCAGCCGCATGAATGAGTAAGTAAATCCAAGTGACAGATCAAATATTACACCATCTTTAGACAGCGAAATGAACGTTACCACACAGAGGCGTTATTACACCGGAAAAATGTGATTGTTAACAAATGTTATTAATGGCGCCCAAACAAGCGTTGAATATTTAACAAATATTTTTTAATAGATTTTTTTTGCAATATTTTTTAATGGCGCCCAACTAGACGTAGATTTTTTTGCAATGTTTTCTAATGTCGTCCAACAAGGCTTCGTATTTTTAATGAATATTTTTTTTTCGTGGCGCCCAACATGGCTTCGTATTTTTTAAGGATATTTTTTAGATGGCGCCCAACAAGGCGTGGATTTTTTAAAGAATATTTTTTAGATGGCTCCCATCAAGTCGCCGAATTTTTTAAATGGTGCCCAACAAGTCGTCGAAATTTTTAAAGAATATTTTTAGATGGCGCCTAACAAGGCGTGGATTTTATAAAGAATATTTTTTAGATAGCGCCCAACAAGGCGTAGATTTCTTAAAGAATATTTTTTAGATTGCGCCCAAACAGGCTTTGATTTTTTAAAGATAATTTTTTAGATGACGCCCAACAAGGCGTAGATTTCTTAAAGAATATTTTTTCCAGTGGCGCCCAACGAGTCTTAGATTTTTTCAAGGATCCCAAGAAGTCAAAGATTTTCCAGTGGCGCCCAACGAGTCTTAGATTTTTTCAAGGAGCCCAAGAAGTCAAAGATTTTTCAATGGCGCCCAACGGGTTTTAGATTTTTTTAAGGAGTCAGGGTATATTTTTATTTTTAAAGAACTATTTTTTCCAAATGGCGCCCAAAAAGGGGTCCATTTTTTTAATGGTGACCAAAAAGGCGTAGATTTTTAAGCGAATTTTTTTAATGGCGCCCAACTGATTTTTCTATGGAATATTTATCTGTTACAATTTATATATTTTTTTACACATTATCCGATTTCCCGTTCTTGACATTCTCATTCTTCTTCTTCTCCACTTTACAGAGATTTATCAAAAATGGAAGATGGTCTTGCCGAAAAGGTCGTAATGTTTGTCCATTACATAGTCGCCTTTGTCGGTTCCATTGTTCTGGCCTTTGTCAAAGGTTGGCAATTAGCTTTGGTGTGTTTGTGCAGTTTACCCGTTACGTTCATTGCCATGGGTCTAGTAGCTGTGGCCACTTCCCGCTTAGCGAAAAAAGAATTAAATGTTTATGCCGCGGCAGGTACCATTGCCGAGGAGGCGCTCAGCGGTATACGTACCGTCAAAGCTTTTGAGGGTGAATCCAAAGAGATTAATGCCTACAAAAAAACGATTGTCGATGCTCGTAAGCTGAATATCAAAAGGAATTTCTTCTCCGGCATGGGTTTCGGTTTATTGTGGTTCTTCATCTATGCCTCGTACGCTCTGGCCTTTTGGTATGGTGTCGGTTTGGTCCTAAAGAACTATCATGGTGATGAATACTATAGCAATTATGATCCTGGTACTATGATTACGGTATGTGTTCTTTTGCAGTATAATTTTTTTATCATCAGGATATTAAATAGGTCCTCATCCCTTCCATAGGTCTTCTTCTCGGTTATGATGGGCTCCATGAATATCGGCATGGCTTCTCCATACATTGAAGCATTTGGCATTGCCAAGGGTGCCTGTGCCAAAATCTTTAAATTGATCGATCAAATCCCCACCATTTACCCAATTGAACCTCGCGGCAAAAGCCTCAATCATCCCTTGGTCCACGTTGAATTCCGTAACATCGATTTCAGTTATCCCACCCGCAAAACGGTACAAATTTTAGATAAATTTAGCCTGCGTATTGCTAGAGGCCAGACAGTGGCCCTGGTAGGTTCTTCAGGTTGTGGCAAGTCGACCTGCATCCAGCTGATCCAACGTTTCTATGATCCCGACAGTGGCAGTGTCCATTTCAATGATGTCGATCTGAAGGATTTGAACATCGAATGGTTGCGTTCACGCATTGGTGTTGTCGGCCAAGAGCCCGTGCTCTTCGGTACCACCATTTATGAAAATATCCGCTATGGTCGTGAAGATGCCACCAAGGAACAAATTGAAGCTGCTGCACGTGCTGCCAATGCCATGACATTTATTAATAAACTGCCCGACGGTTTTCATACCTTGGTGGGAGAACGTGGCGCCCAATTGTCTGGTGGTCAAAAGCAACGTATTGCCATTGCGCGTGCCTTGGTTAGAGATCCAGAAATCCTGTTGCTGGATGAAGCCACCTCTGCCCTGGACACAGCCAGTGAAGCCAAGGTCCAGGCTGCCTTGGAAAAGGCCAGTGTCGGTCGCACCACCATCATTGTCGCCCATCGTCTGTCCACCATTCGTCGTGCCGATCGCATTGTCGTCATCAACAAGGGTCGCGTCGTCGAAAGTGGTACCCACACCGAATTGATGGCCCTGAAACAGCATTACTATAATCTGGTTATGACCCAATTGGGTGAAGATGCCGATGCCACCACACCCGGTGTAGGACAAAAAGAATTCCTCCTAAATGCCAAGGATGAAGATGAGGAACAGATTACCATTACCAAGGAGGAACCTGAAGAGGTCAAGCTCATCGAAAACGAGGAGAAATTCAATTTGTGGAAAATTTTGAAAATGAATAACGAAGAATGGCCTCAAATTTTGTGCGGTTGTGTGTGCTCAATAATCATGGGTGCCGCTATGCCCTTATTCGCCGTGCTTTTCGGTTCAATTTTAGATGTCTTGGCAGTGAAGGATGATGATGAATATGTGCGAAGTGAAACGAATACCTTCAGTTTGTATTTCTTGATTTGTGGAATTGTTGTTGGTATTGCCACGTTCTTGCAGGTAAGGATTTTCAGAGTCAGATCAGCCATGTACCGCAGAAGAGAATTCCCTAATGCCTTGAACTTGTTTTTTTAGATCTACACCTTTGGCATTGCTGGTGAACGTTTAACCGAACGCCTGCGTGGCATGATGTTTGAGGCTATGATGAAAATGGAAATATCCTGGTTTGATGATCGAGCAAATGGTACGGGTAGTTTGTGTGCTCGTTTGTCGGGTGATGCTGCTGCTGTTCAGGGTGTAAGTAAACTAAAAGAGAGAGATTATTTAATATGAAAGTATGGTTACTAATTTTTGTGTTACCTCCTCCTTGTTGCAGGCCACCGGTCAACGTATTGGCACAATTGTCCAATCCCTGTCCACATTGCTTTTGGGTATTGGCCTTTCCATGTACTATGAATGGAGTTTGGGTCTATTGGCATTGGCCTTTGCTCCCTTCATTTTGATTGCCACCTATTTGCAGCGCAAGGTTATGGCCCAGGAAAATATGGGTACCGCCAAGACCATGGAGAAATGTACTAAGGTAAGGATAATACAACTAGGTTGGAATTTCTCAAAAATATAGAAGAAATATAGAAGGGCGTTGAATTTTTTAATGAATATTTTTTAGATGGCGCCCAACAAGGCGTTGACTTTTTAAAGAATATTTTTAGATGGCGCCTAATTAGGCGTGGACTTTTTAGAAAATATTTTTTAATGGCGCCCAACTGGACGGGGACTTTTTAGAGAATATTTTTTAGATGGCGCCCAACTAGGTGTGGATCTTTTTAAGGAATATTTTTTAGATGGCTCCCAACAAGGCGTGGATTTTTTAATGAATATTTTTTAGATGGCGCCCAACAAGGCGTTGACTTTTTAAAGAATATTTTTTAGATGGCGCCCAACAAGGCGTTGACTTTTTAAAGAATATTTTTTAGATGGCGCTTAATTAGGCATGGACTTTTTAGAATTTTTTTTTAATGGCGCCCAACTGGACAGGGACTTTTTAGAGAATATTTTTTAGATGGCGCCCAACTAGGCGTGGATCTTTTTAAGGAATATTTTTTAGGTGGCGCCCAACTAGGCGTGGAATTTTTAGAGAATATTTTTTAGAAGGCGCCCAACTAGGCGTGGAATTTTTAGAAAATATTTTTTAGAAGGAGCCCAACAAGGCTTTGAATTTTTTAAAGAATATTTTTAATGGCGCCCAGCAAGGCTTTGAATTTTTTAAAGAATATTTTTTAGAAGGCGCCCAACTAGGCGTGTACTTTTTAGAGAATATTTTTTAATGGCGCCCAACAAGGCTTTGAATTTTTTAAAGAATATTTTTTAATGGCGACCAACTAGCCGTAGATTTTTTTAAAGAATATTTTTTAGATGGCGCCCAACTAGCCGTAGATTTTTTTAAAGAATATTTTTTAGATGGCGCCCAACTAGACGTAGATTTTTTTAAAGAATATTTTTTAGATGGCGCCCAACAAGACGTAGATTTTCAAAGAAATTGGAATGAATATTTTTTTATTGGTGCCCAACTAGGGGTAGATTTTCAAAAAAATATTACAATGAATATTTTTTAGTGGCGCCCAACTAAGCGTAGTTTTTTTAATGGCGCCCAACTAGGCATAGATTTTTTAATGGCGCCCAACCTGTATTTTGAATTTTAATAATGTGAAGATATTTATATTAATCCTTTCTTGTTGTTGTTGTTTTTCTTCCAGCTCGCTGTTGAAGTTGTTTCTAATATTCGTACGGTAGCTTCCTTGGGACGCGAGGAAATGTTCCACAAACAATATATGGATATGCTGTATCCTGCAGTAGAAGTAAGTCTTTAATTAATTTTCCCCAAGATCCGATCATTAATTCGGTGTTCTCCCCTTTGCAGAAAGCAAAACGTAATACCCATTTCCGTGGTTTTGTCTATGGTCTGGCCCGTTCCTTGATGTTCTTTGCCTATGCCGCCTGCATGTACTACGGCGGTTGGTGTGTCGTCAACAAGGGCATGAATTTCAGTAACGTCTTCAAGGTGTCACAGGCTTTGATTATGGGTACCGCCTCCATTGCCGGTGCCTTGGCCTTTGCTCCCAACTTCCAAAAGGGTGTATCGGCTGCCGAGGCCATTTACAAATTGATAACACGTAAACCGAAAATTGTCGACCGTCCCGGGGTGTCTATGCAACCATGGACCTCAGATGGCAATGTGTCATATAATAATGTTGAGTTTTCCTACCCCACTCGTAATGAAATTAAGGTATTGCGTGGCTTGAGTTTGGCCGTTGAAAAGGGCCAGAAGATTGCTTTGGTCGGACCATCGGGTTGTGGTAAATCGACCTGTATTCAGCTGCTGCAACGTTTCTATGATGTTGATGATGGTTCGGTGACTGTGGATAATATCGATTTGCGTAATTTATCGTTGCATAATTTGCGCAAACAGTTGGGTATTGTTTCGCAGGAGCCTATTCTATTCGATCGTTCGATACGCGACAATATTGCCTATGGTGATAATGTGCGCATGGTATCGGATCAGGAGATTATTGAGGCGGCCAAGAAGGCGAATATTCACAATTTCATTGTTGGCTTGCCAATGGTAAGTAGGGGGAAGGGGTAATATTTCCCTAAATTTCCCATACTAATAACCTTCCTAATTTCCTTACAGGGCTATGAAACCCGCATGGGCGAAAAGGGCACCCAAATGTCTGGTGGCCAAAAACAACGTATCGCCATTGCCCGTGCCTTGGTGCGTAATCCCAAAATCCTGCTACTCGACGAGGCCACCTCAGCTTTGGATGCGGAAAGTGAAAAGGTGGTGCAGGATGCCCTCGAAGTGGCCAGTGCCGGTCGTACCAGTATCAGTATTGCTCATCGCCTCTCAACAATTGTTGACTGCGATATCATCTTCGTCTTTGAGGAGGGTAAGGTGTGCGAATATGGTACCCACAAGCAGTTGCTCGAACAGCGTGGTCTTTACTACACCCTCTACAAACTGCAAACGGGTGCCATGTAAATCACTCCAACCCTGCCTTGTATACTCCAATCAGCATCATCAGCAACATTCCTGTAGACAATAAGTTCCATTCCATCATTCATGCATTCACTTAGCAAAAGCAAAAAATAGGTATTCGAACAAGAAGCGACATGCATTCTAGTTATAGAAAAAAATATTTAAGTATATTCTAATTTTTTTGTTATTGTTGTAGAAAAAAATTCTAGAATAATAAGTAGATAATTTATCGATAACACACACACACACACACAAACAAAGTGATTAGTTGTTAAGTGCACGTGTATTTATGTTTTATTTTTTTTTTTGTACATGACAACAACAACCATAGACATTAATTATTATAAATGATTACAATAAAAAAATAATATTTTGTAGATAAAGAAAAACTTTTCCTTATTTTAAGTGACCATTACCACGACCGTATAAGGAATGAGTCATGGGGTGGGTTATTAATCATATTCTATTGATAAAAATGTGTTTCTATTTTTTTTTTTGCAAAAAAAGGTTTTCAACACCTGGCAGATTCTAAATATTTTATATTCTAATAAAACTAATAGTTTATTAATTCAAGTTTTTTTAGTTCACGCCTTGTTGGGCGCCATTAAAAATATTTATTTAAGTTAAGGCCTTGTTGGGCGCCATTAGAAATTATTTATTTAAATCCACGCCATGTTGGGCGCCATTAAAAATTCTTCATTTAAGTCCACGTCTTGTTGGTGCCATTTAAAAGTATTTTTTTAATTCCACGTCATGGTGGGCGCCATTAATAAATATAAATAATATAATACCACACTAATAAATACTTTTTTCAGTCCACGTCTTTTTGGGCGCCATTAATAAATATTTCATAAGTCTACGTGAAGTTGGGCGCCATTAAAAATATTTCCACGTAAAAAAAATAACAAATATTTTTTTCAGTCCACGTCTTGTTTGGCGCAAATAACAAATATTTATTTAAGTCCACGTCTTGTTGGGCACCATTAAAAATACTTTTTAAGCCTTGTTAGGCACCATTCAAAAATAATTATTTAAGTCCAGGTCTTGTTGGGCGCCATTCAAAAATAATTATTTAAGTCCAGGTCTTGTTGGGTGCCATTTAAAAAATATTCATAAAAAAATCCACGCCTTATTGGGCGCCATCTAATTTGTTTAAATCATCTAAAAAAATCTGTTGGGCGCCATATGTTTTAAAAAATTCGACGACTTGTTGGGCGCCATCTAAAAAATATTCTTTAAAAAATCCGCACCATATAAGAAAATATTAGTTATAAAATCAGCGCCTTGTTGGGCGCCATCTAAAAATATTCTTTAAGAAAATCCATTCCTTGACAAAATATTCTTTAAAAAAATCCATTCCTTGACAAAATATTCTTTAAAATAATCCATGCCTTGTTAGAGCCTTGACAAAATATTCTTTAAAAATCCATGCCTTGTTGGGCGCCATCTAAAAAATCTGTTGTGCGCCATATAAAAATCGTGTAAAAAATCTATTGGACGCCATCTAAAAAGTATTCTTTAAAAATCCACGACTTGTTGGGCGCCATCTAAAAAATATTCTTTAAAAAATTCGACGACTTGTTGGGCGCCATCTAAAAAATATTCTTTAAAATAATCCAAGCCTTGTTGGGCGCCATCTAAAAAATTTTCTTTAAAAAATCCACGCCTTGTTGGGCACCATCTAAAAATATTCTTCAAAAAATTCGAGCACTTGTTGGGCGCCATCTATTTTTTTTTTAATTATCTAAAAAATCTGTTGGTCGCCATATAAAATATATTCTTTAAAAAATTCAACGACTTGTTGGGCGCCATTTAAAAAATATTCTTGGGAAAATTCGACGACTTGTTGGGCGCCATTAAAAAATATTCTTGGAAAAATTCGACATTTAAAAAATATTCTTAAAAATCCACGCCTTGTTGAGCGCCATTTTAAAAAATGTTCTTTAAAAAATCCAAGCCATTCAAAAAAAAATTCTTTAATAAATCCACGCCCTGTTGGGCGCCAACTAAAAATATTCTTTAAAAACCAACCCTTCTTAGAGCTTTAAAAAAAATACTCTTCTAAAACACACGCCTTGTTGGAGCCTTGATTTATTTTTTTAATCCATGTCTTGTTGGGCACCATTAAAGAAATTTCTTTAAAAAATCTTCCCATTTTTGGGCGCTCTTAAAAAAGTTCTATGCCTTGTTGGGCGCCATTAAAAATATTCTTTAAAAAAATCCACGTCTTATTGGTGCTTTGGAAAAATATTATTTTAGAAGTCCACGTTTGATGCCAATTTTTTTTTTAAATAAATAAAAACGCTTCATTCGTTTTTTTTTCGGTTTTTGTTGTTTTTATTTTTTGTTTCTTTGTTTTATTTTGTAAATAAACTAAATGTAATTATTTATAATAAATGTTTTGGTTTATTTTTTCATTTAGTATCCATCTTTTATATATGTATTTAAAAAAAAACTCAAAACAAGAATACCTTACCGAAATAATGGGTAATGGCATTCATATTATTATTATCAACAGGAATAGTAGTAGTAGTTAGCGCTATTACAACAAAAACAAAATAATGATACAAATTCATGGAAATATTATTTGTGTACAAAAAAAGTCGATCGTTTGTTTTCTTTACAGTCTGAACAAATTAAAAAAAGAGGGACACTGGGGGTTAGATGTTAGGGTTTTTTTTTTGCTGAACTATTGAAAGAGTAGTGGAGAACACGAAATTCGTGTATATAGGTTGGAAGATGTGGCCTTATATCTACTACTCTAGTTTAATGCGGTTAAGTGATTGATTTATTTCAATTTCTTTGCTTTTTTGTTCAATATACACAGGGATTTATAGCGCAATACGCTGCTGCTTGGTCTACGCTAAACACTAGAACTAAGGTAAAATCTATAAAATGGTATGACGTATGTGTATGAAACGTATTACGCTTCGATCACCACCCCCTAACAAAAATTAGAGGGTGGTGCTACTGCGCGTTCTATCCACAACGGGTAATTACACATCGAAATGTTGGACAGACATAATAAACAATAAAAACTTTATGCTGTCCGGAATTGACCACGATATGGATGATAATTTTCTTTCTTCTTCTTCTCAACTAAATAGAAACAAAACAAATATGATGTATATGCCCCTAGAGTAGTGAGGAAAAAATAACTTATTGTCCGAAAAAATAATAACACTAAAATATGCGTATATAAAATTAATGATAAAAATTATAGATGACAGTTAACTAAGATGTCAGGCGACTTAGTTCTTGCCCTCGGTCTTCTTTTCTTCGCTGCTTCCAGATTCTTCTGATGTGCTGCTACCGCTTTGGCCTTCACGTTCAGAAGCCATCTATAAGAGAAATAAATCAGGTTTATAAAATAATACCCAAACAAGCAGAATTTAGTTTCTCCTTACCTTTTTGTAGGCCATTTCGAAGAGTTTCAAGGATGATTGTTGCAAATTGCTGGTGGCCTTGCGGACTTCTTCAAGATCGGCGGTTTCCTTGTTGGCCAACAATTGACGCAAATCAGCAATTTCCTTCTTCAATTTCTCACACTGGAATTACAAAAAAAAAAAATAAATAAATAAAAATAAAATTAGATTTTGATATGTTTTTTTCAAGTACAGTTTTAAAAATATTTTTTGAAAAAAATTTAATTTCAAAAAAATGTTTTTTTCTTTGGAAAAAAATATTTTTTTTTAATTTGAAAACAATTTTTTTTAATATTTTTCTTTTTTTTTTTTTGAAAAAAATTTTTGAAAAAAAATTAATTTGAAAAAATGTTTTTTTCTTTGGAAAAAAGTATTTTTTTTTTTTAATTTGAAAAAAGTTTTTTTTAATATTTTTCTTTTCTTTGAAAAAAAATTTTTTTTTAAGAAAAATATTTTTTTTTTATTTAATATTCCAATTGTCCTCACCTCTTCAGCTGGCAATTGAGCTTTGAATTCTTCCATCTTGGTCTCAGTATCGTGGACAATGCTTTCACCTTGATTGACCAATTCAACCATTTCACGTTTCTTCTTATCTTCAGCAGCCATTTCTTCGGCTTTCTTAACCATGTTTTCGATTTCGTCCTTGCTGAGACCACCGCTGGATTGAATGACAATTTGTTGTTCCTTGCCGGTACCCTTATCCTTGGCCGAGACATGTACAATACCGTTGGCATCAATATCGAAGACAACTTCGATTTGGGGTACACCACGGGGTGCTGGTGGAATACCGACCAATGTGAAGGAACCCAATTTCTTGTTATCGGCAGCCATTTCACGTTCACCTTGATGTACCTTAATTTCGACTTGAGTTTGGCCATCAGCAGCAGTGGAGAACACTTGGGATTTCTTGGTGGGGATGGTGGTGTTGCGGTTGATCAAACGGGTGAAGACACCGCCCAAAGTTTCAATACCCAATGACAAGGGAGTGACATCCAAAAGCAAGACATCGGTAACATCGCCGGCCAAAACACCACCCTGGACAGCAGCACCTACGGCAACAGCTTCATCGGGATTGACGGAGCGGGATGGTTGGCGACCGAACAAATCTTGTACAGTTTGTTGTACCTTTGGCATACGAGTCATACCACCGACCAACAATACCTCACCAATATCGGACTTGCTGACTTCAGCATCAGACAAAGCCTTTTGGCAGGGTTGGATGGTGCGCTTGATCAAATCACCGACCAAGTTTTCCAATTTGGAACGGGTCATTTTCAAGTTCATGTGTTGTGGGCCAGAAGCATCCATGGTCAAGTAGGGCAAGTTAATGTCGGTCTGTTGGGACGAGGACAATTCACACTTGGCCTTTTCGGCGGCTTCCTTCAAACGTTGCATGGCAATGGAGTCCTTAGTGATGTCAATGCCGCTGCTCTTCTTGAATTCGGAGACCAAATAGTTGACGATGGCATTGTCGAAATCTTCACCACCCAACATGGTATCACCGTTGGTGGACTTGACTTCGAAGACACCCTTTTGAATTTCCAAAATTGAAATATCGAAGGTACCGCCACCCAAATCGTAGACAGCAATACTAAAAGCAACAAAAATAACAACAATTTTAATAAGAAAAATATTCAAATTCAAACAAAATATAATCCAACTTACATCTTATCATCAGTCTTGTCCATGCCATAGGCCAAAGCAGCAGCTGTGGGCTCGTTGATAACACGCAAAACATTCAAGCCGGCAATTTGACCAGCATCCTTGGTGGCTTGACGTTGCGAATCGTTGAAGTAGGCGGGAACAGTGACAACAGCATTCTTGACGGGGGTATTCAAATATGCCTCAGCAGTTTCCTTCATTTTCATCAAAACGAAAGCACCAATTTGTGAGGGTGAGTATACTTTGCCATCGGTAGATTGTACCCAGGCATCACCATTGGAGGCCTTGACCACCTTGTATGACAAATTCTTTAAATCTTTCTTAATTTCAGGATCATCGAAACGGCGACCAATCAAACGTTTGGTGGCATAGAATGTGTTTTGAGCATTGGTGACAGCCTGACGCTTGGCGGGCATACCGACCAAACGTTCACCGTCCTTGGTGAAGGCGACATGAGATGGTGTGGTACGGGCACCTTCGGCATTCTCAATTACTTTAGCTTGTTTACCTTCCATGACGGCAACACAGGAATTGGTTGTACCCAAATCAATACCGATGACGGCTCCTTTGACTTCACCAGATCTGCAAATAAGCAATAAAGGGGGAAGGGGAAAAATTAATAAAGAAATTTATATTGAGAATACAATAGTGAAGGAACTTGAAGACAAAAAATATGATTTTATAGGAAAAAGTCTGGGATTGCGGAAAGAAAAAAAATGCAAGCAAAAACGTTGTGAAGTTCGATAGGAAGATTTGACACCCAATAGGAACGAACTTAGAGTCAATTCGGTTAATATCGAATAATGGGGAGTGGCGAAATATGGGGGATATTTTAAAAATTAAATATAATAGAAAGTCAAAGTACCAAATTACAGACAATTTGGTCCATAAAAGAATATGTCAAAAATCCGCAATGTACTGTTATAGTGGAGCTATTATTAAAAGTGGACCGATATGGATGATTTTTGGTATGGAGATTTGGTATCCAAAGAGAATTCGAAATACTAAATTCTAGCCAATTCGGTTGAAAAACTTGCCAAATTACCAAAATACTAAATTACAGCCGATTCGGTGGAAAAACGTATCAAAAAATCCCTAAAATATCGAATAATGAGGGTACCGCTATATGGGAGCTTTCCTCAAAAATGGATCGATACCGCTAATTTTTGGTAGGGAGATTTCCAACTTTATGGGAACTCAATATACGAAATTACAGCCAATTCGATTAAAAAATGTGCCAAAAATCCCCAAATTACCGAATATTTGGGGTAGCATTGAATGGGGACTATTCTCAAAAGTGGTCCGAAAACGATAATTTTTTGTAAGGAGATTTGGTACCCAGTGAAAGCCAATTCGGTTGAAAAGTGTGTCAAAAATCCGGCAAATACCAAAAATTTTGGTCCATTCTCAAAAGTGGTCCGAAAACGATAATTTTTGGTAGGGAGATTTACTATCCAATGGGGACTCAATGTACCAAATTACAGCCAATTCGGTTGAAAAATGTGTCAAAACTCCTCAAAATACCGAATATTTGGGGTAGCGTTATATGGAGGACATCCTTGAAAGTAGATCAATATCGATCATTTTTGGCAGGAAGATGGGAACTCAAAGTTCCAAATTATAGCCAAATCGATTAAAGAATCGTGCCAAAATCCGCAAAATACCAAATAATTTGGGTACTGTTATTTGGGAGCTTTCTCAAAAATGGATCGATATCGACAATTTTTTGTTGTTGTTGTTGTTGTAGCAGCCCTATTGCTTTTACACAATGGGCAGAGGTGACAGACGTTGGCCGGGTCGTTTCGGATCGTAGACCCCTCTGTCGAGGAAACGACAATTTTTTGTAGTGAGATTTACTATGCATGAGGACTTCAAAGGTACCAAATTACAGCCAATTCGGTTGTGTCAAAATTCGCAAAATATCGAATGTATGGGGCCACACTTATATGGGGACTATTCTCAAAAATGGTCCGAAAACGATAATTTTTTGTAGGGAGATTTGCTACGCAGTGAGGTAGCATTATATGGGTGAGTAACCTAGGAGTAATAACAATGTATGTACAACCGCGCTTTCAACAGACTGACAAAGTAAGATAATGCATGTATGTAGCTTCTCCCAACTTCCTAACACATGGAAATTTTGGTTTGGCGTGAATCTGAAATGTTTGCCCCAGCTAGGTCTTGGAATTCTGATAACATCGAAATATATATTTTGAGGGGAAAATTCATAGATTCCAAGCTATAGATAGGCCTTAAAAGTTCGGAACTTTTGTTTTGCAAAATAGTAAAAATCTGAAAGACTAAAGGTCAATCTGCTACTAAAGCAAACAAAAAATCTATGCTTATCAACATTTACATTTACACAATGACATTTTCCAAAGAAGAGATCTCCACGGTGTTCCGACACTTCTGAAATACGATTCCATACATATCAAAGTTTTTTTTTTTTTTTTTTGTTATCAGAACGTGAAGAGAATAATGTTGGATGGCTGGACTCATCACTCGACAACGGCAAGTACAAGCACACTACCGCTTGTTTGCTATTATTTACGTTTGAATGTATGTACGTGTGTGTGTGTGTGCATGTATGTTTTTTTTTTCTTGTCCGTATGAGAGCGAGTGAGTTAAAGTAAATTGTACTCAGCTGTTTGTCTTATATAATCGCCGCTCGTACTTCATTCATGCACATGTTCCGGAAAAATATTGAATTTTATAAAAGAAAATTTTTACAAAAAATGATGAAATAGAAAATGAAAATATTTTACAAACAATTTGCAAACATATGATAAAAACAACAAACACACCTACATAGGAATTTTCCCCCAAGAAATAATGACGTCGCATGACGCAACTTTGTGTGTGTTTTTTGTAAAAAAGAAACTCTTCATTTGAATAAATTAAAGGCCAATTCTCACATGACCCCCACCGCAGGGAACCGGTCGATCGGTCAAAGGCAAACTAATGTCTACCAGGAATCCCTTAGAAAATGAATTACATAAGACTTCGATTCAATGGATAAAACTTGCAGTTTAATTGAACAAAAATATGCGGGTCCCTATACATGTTCTATTGAATGGAGAAATGTCGTGAATTCTTTTCTTTCCAACTTACTTGTGACGCAACTGAGCGGCAATTCCATTGTTCAAGGCGGTACATTGCTGTAATTAAATAGGAACAAAGAAAAACATAAATTAAAATCATTCACTTCAATTGTTAACAACGAAATTTCATTTATTATATAAATGCCAAAAATATAGGATATTGTGAAATGATCTTCTAAATTTTCTTCTTCAAAAAGATTTGCATCACTTGGGGGGACACTTACATTTTCGAAAATGCTAGAATATTTTCCGGCAACCAAACTGGCCTGTTTTTGTCCAATCAAACGTGGCAAGAATTTTGTAGCGCGCAACATTTTGTATTCTTTTTTTGGGTTTAATTAATTTGATTTCAATTAACAAAACACTTTTTCACTTTTTTGTTCGTTAACACAAAAGAATTCGTTCGGCCTGCTTTCCGACACACACGTTTTTTTCGATAGGTAATTCAAGAAAAAGTAATCAAGTTCCAATAAGAGAGAGCTGACTGGCAGCTGTCAAATCTAATTACAGGGTGTCAAAGATTTTTCGAGAAAATGCAAAGAAATCGATTACTGCGTGAGTGTTTGTTTATCGATAGCTTTGTGTTTGATTTGTACAGTGGGGCGTATAGATTTGTTTTGAATAAGTGATATTTACATAAATTTTAATAAGAAGAGGGGTAATTTGACATAACATTTTTCATAAAAAATACGATTTCGTATAAATGAGGCATTATGGCAAATGATAAATAATAAATAATAAAATTCAGATTACTTTATTATTCAATTGCGATGAAACATAGAACCATGGTATAATTATACAAGGTAGGGTAGTTTTTGTCAGAATGGTGAATAAATGAAAACAAATGCAACATGTCGTTGTGTTCAATTGACACATTTCTAACATTTTACCAAAAATGAGAAAAATGAATGGAATGTCAGGTTTTCTTTTGAAAATCGAAGGTCTGTTCCCGTACAGCAAGAATCTACTTTCTACTTTTCTTCGATATCATAAAGAAAAATTTGTTATCGTAGTAAAAAGTACTAGATTCTTGCAATAGACCACGAGTTGAGGATATGATTTATGACCTGTTCCCGTACTGCAAGAATCTAGTATTTTTCACTACGATAACAATTTTTCCCTTATGATATCGAAGAAAATAGTAAAATCTAGTATATTCATGCAGTACGGGAACACACCATTAAATAAAAATGTTGTAAAAGTCATCTTCAAACAAATTGATTTTCGAATATATTTTGTTATATTTTTGTAGGGAGATTTACTACCCAATGAGAACTCAAAGTACCAAATTACAGCCAATTCGGTTTTGGGGGCCATCCCCAAAAGTGAACCGATATCGATAATTTTTGGTAGGAAGATTTACTATTCAATGGGAACTCAGTGTACCAAATTACAGCTAATTCAAAAATTTGTCAAAAATTTATAAAATATCGAATATTATATGGGGGCCATCCCCAAAAGTGGACCGATATCGATAATTTTTGGTAGGGAGATTTACTATCCAATGGGGACTCAATGTACCAAATTACAGCCTATTCGATTATAAAACGTGTCAAAATCCGCAAAATATCGAATGTATGGGGCCGCACTTATATGTGTAAAAAGGTAATTTCGATATTTTCAGGATTTTTATACATATTTTCCAACCGAATTATTGTTATTGAGTTCTAATTGGGTAACAAATTTAAATAAAATATTATTAATTATTAAATTTTGGTAATTTTTGGAGTTACTGGTCACGTTTTGCAACCAAATCGTCTATAATTTATTATGTAATGTTGCAATTTACTATTCCTTGTGGCCTATGGATTTCACAATGTCCTTGGAAAACATAGTCGACATAGATCTACTTTTTTGCTTTGTTCTTTATATAAAGATCCCATGATTATTCGCATAAGACCAATAATTTTGCTCGGCCTTACTTTACGACTTTTAACTCAATTTACATATAAGTTAGCACATCCCTGCCAAACTAACAGGCAACAATGTTGCCTTTGTGAGCTTTGCTTGGTTGACTGTTGTGTGCTTAGCATGGAGTCGTGTTACGTCTGGTGGCGTGATCATGGGAAGTGTAGTGTCAGCGTATTGTCAGCAATTTTGATTTGTTTAGTTTAAGTAGAATAAGTTTTTGATTTGAATAAAGAAGTTAGTTCATTCTAACTCACCAAAAGGCACACAAGTCTTTTTATTAACTGGCGCCCAACCGGGTTTATTTAAAGGATTTACTTTGAAAAAAGTAATCTCTGACCCAACCCAAGTCGTCCAACTCGCACAAAAGGAATAAGCTCAGCACAAAAACAAGAACAAAAACTACTCAAGTCGTCCAACTCGCACAAAAGGAATAAGGTCTACACAAAAACCAGAACGAAAACTACCCAACGGAGGATCTATTTTGTATGAAGTCGTCCAACTAACGCAAAAGGGATAAGCTCTACACTCTACAAAAGACGCCCTAAGAAGCTCTAAGGATCCACTAACATATTATAATATAAAACAAAGTCATGTAAGTGTATTACTCATTGAATTTAAAATTTTTGTCGAAAAAATTGTGTGTCCAAAAACAGGTGAAAATATCAAGAGATTTTTTTTACTTCGTATAGTGCGTATTTAAAATATTTCAATTTCTGTGAAGTGATTAAGATTGTGTTATACCAACTTTTCTATAAAAAAAAGATATTATGAACGCGGACGAAATTTCAAAATTGATAGAATCCGCTGTACGTGCAGCGATTCAGACACATAAATCAGAAGTCGACAAAAAAGTCGACGATCTATCAAGAAAATTGTCGTCCATTTCCATAGGAGAAACACTTCCATTTCGTTGTTGTTGGTTTGTTTCTTTGTAAATTCTTGCACAACTATTAAACTTTTTTCCAACTGCCTCTCCCTTCTACCACTTTGACATGACAAATGACTTCTTTTTTGCTTTTCTTTTAGGCAGTTTGTTTTATTTTTTATTTGTATTTTTTGTTTAATTTTTAATTAGTTGGAGATTTTTCTTTGTTTAATTTTATCCGTGTTTGTTAGCTGAAATATGTTTATTTTATTTCCGCCGAGACTAAAATGAGGAAATTATTAATCCTTTCAACATATAATTCCTGTAAGTACTCCTTTCTCGGTTCACTCTGTCAATGGACAAACACCTATTAAACAAAAAATGTTTTGTAAATTTATTCGGCATGAACTCTACATTTTTCATTTTGCCAACTTTAACAACTTTTTTCGCTATTGTGGGCTTAGACCTATTAAAACAAATCAATGCAAACATTGACCTAAATAAAGGAGTCATCCGACATAATTCTGGCTCTGAACTTATTGAATTTTTTGAATGTAAAGATGTTAATTTTATAGAAATTGATAAGATTGATGTGCCTTTCGCAGTTAAGGCGGATTTTCAGAAAATGTTAAAAAAAACGAATGAAGGTTTTTGCTGATCCTAAAGAAGCACTACCTTACAACACAAATATCGTTGCTACTATTAACATGGAGAACGAAGAACCAATTTACTCTAAACTATATCCATACCCAATGGGGGTATCTGAATTTGTAAACTCAGAAATAAAAAAGTTGTTTTTTCAGAAACCAAAGAGAATCATGTAAAACATATCGACTGTGTTCTTAGGAAACTGCTCGATGCAAACATGAGAGTCTCTATTGAAAAGTCAAATTTTTTTAAATCCGAAGTTGAATACCTTGGCTTTGTCGTATCAAAGAGAATCATGTAAAACATATCGACTGTGTTCTTAGGAAACTGCTCGATGCAAACATGAGAGTCTCTATTGAAAAGTCAAATTTTTTTTAAATCCGAAGTTGAATACCTTGGCTTTGTCGTATCAAAAGAAGGTATAAAAACGGCACCATCAAAGATAAGTGCCATACAAAATTTCCCAGAACCAACGACTTTGTTCGCTTTGAGATCATTTCTTGGGCTAGCGAACTATTACCGATGTTTTATAAGGGACTTTGCCAAAATTGCAAAACCTTTAACCGATAATTTAAAAGGAGAAAACGGAAAAATTCCTGCAACCAAATCCAAAAAGGTTATCATCAATCTTAATGCCTCCCAATTGGATGCATTTTACAAATTAAAAAATATTCTATGTTCAGAAGACGTCCTGTTGATGTACCCTGACTATAAAAAAGCATTCGACCTTACTACTGATGCATCAGGGCATGGTCTAGGTGCTGTTCTATCCCAGGGAAGACCAATCACTATGATTTCTAGAGCGTTATCGGATAAGGAGTTGAATCTCGCCACAAACGAAAGGGAACTTCTAGGAATAGTCTGGGCTCTAAAAACTCTAAGGCATTACCTTTATGGTGTGAAGACTCTTAACATCTTCACTGACCACCAACCGTTAACATATTCAGTTTCGGACCGTAATCCTAATGCACAAATTAAGCGCTGGAAAGCTTTTATAGACGAACATAATGCAAACTTATATTATAAACCAGGAAAAGAAAATCAAGTTGCAGATGCGCTATCAAGGCAAGTCGTCTATGCATTAGAGAACGAAAATTCGTCAGACATGGCAACAGTTCATAGTGAGGAGTCATACACCTACACTATGGAAAGCTCAGACAAACCGGTCAATTGTTTCCGCAGCCAAATCATTCTGGAAGAGGCAGAATTTCCCGCCACTCGAAATTTTATACTTTTCGGAAACAAAACGAGACATATCATAGAATTCGGGGATAAAAACGAAATACTGGCTAAACTTGTTGATGCAGTCAATACTGAAGTAGTAAATGCCATTCATTGCGACCTACCTGTGTTGGCTCACATTCAACATGATTTGATTAAAATGTTTCCTTCAACAAAGTTCAGATTTTGTAGTAAATTTGTCGCTGACATCTTCAATCAATGCGATCAGAGAGAAATTGTTGTAAGTGAACACAATAGAGCTCATCGGGCAGCTCAAGAGAACGTAAAACAAATCCTTTCGGAATACTATTTCCCCAAAATGGTAAAAATAGCGAATGAGGTTGTTGCAAACTGCAAAACCTGTTCAAAAGCTAAATACAATCGACACCCAGAGAAACATGTTATAGGAGAGACAATAGTTCCTTCATATGCCGGTGAAATTCTACATATTGACATTTATTCAACTGATAAAAAACATTTCTTAACTTGCGTGGATAAATTCTCAAAATTCGCAGTGGTACAGCCAATAGCCACCAGAACAATTCTGGACATAAGAGAACCGATTCTCCAATTAATGAATATTTTTCCAAACACCAAAATTGTCTATTGTGACAATGAGAGGTCTTTCAACTCCGAGACTATCAGATCAATTCTGAAAAACAGGTTTAATGTCGAAATTGTCAATTCACCTCCTCTACACAGCACATCAAACGGGCAGGTAGAGAGATTTCACAGCACTCTTGCCGAAATCGCAAGATGCCTAAAAATAGAAAGGAAGATCGATGACACTGTCGAACTCATCTTACAATCGACCATAGAATATAACCGGACAATTCATTCTGTCACGAATGAGAGACCTATTGATACGATACATTCTACACCTTCTGAAGTAAGAGAAAAGATTAAAGAGCGAATCTGTAACGCGCAAAACAGGCAGTTACAATACTTCAACAAAAGTCGTTATGACAAAGTTTATAACGTGGGAGACAAAGTCTTTGTTAAGAATAATCGTAGACTTGGAAATAAAATGACCCCACTTTATGAAGAAGCTACTGTTGAAGCAGACATGGGGACAACTGTCCTAATAAAGGGGAGGGTGGTCCATAAGGACAACCTAAGATAATCCTTTCAATAAGATGTCTAAATGTTTCTTCGTCTACCTTTTATTTTTCTTTACGCAGGCTAACACTACAATTGCTTCTTATGATAAACCTCACATTTGCAAAGATTATTGATTATTCGCATTCCGATTATATCCCAATTTTGGACGGGAACGCGATTATATGGAACAAATATGGGTACTTAAGACATACGACAAACCTTACAACGTATTCCGAGATATTAGACGATACAAAAAACGCAATACAGATCTTCCCTCAGACGCATGTTAAAAAGATATTGGAGGCCGATGTATTGCATATTGATACTCTTTTAACAACACTCACCGTACATCATCGGCATGCGAGAAGCATCAATCTTATAGGCACAGCACTGAAGGTTATTGCCGGTACACCAGATGCCGATGACTGGGAGGATGTCAAATTTGTCGAGAAACAACTCGTAGATTCCAACAACAGACAAATAGAAATAAATACGAAAATACAGATCCAAATAGAAAAGTTGACCAATGCAGTAAACACAATCTTAAATACCGAACGAAAGGAACAAATTGATACTGTTAAACTTTTTGAAATTTTAATGGCTAGAAACAGAATGCTGCTTATGGAATTACAAAATATAATTTTATCTGTAACTTTGGCTAAAATCAATATTATAAATCCCACAGTTTTGGACCAGGATGATTTAAAATTTTTTATAAAAAATCAGATCAATGAGCAATACACAGATTTTACCATATCAGAACTAATGTATTTGTCTAAAGTAAAAGTAATATCAAATGAATTTTGTTTGCATTTTATCATTAGATATCCCATTCCAATACGAACATGTCAGAAAATTTCTTTATTCCCAGTTTCCCACTTCAATAAAATTATTCAATTCGCTGACACCAACACTGTGGTAGACTGTGAAGGAAAGACTTATTCAGCAACAGATTGCAAGCACGCAATATCTTCAACCTATTGTCAACTGATGCCAGAGTCAACCTGCGCTCAACAACTCATATCGGGTAAATCAGCACACTGTAATACGCAAAGCAATAATCTTGAAAAAGTGGCAGAAATCGATGATGGAATTGTCATTGTGAATGACGCTATTGCAGAAGTGAAAGAAGCAACCGAAAATGTAAGAAACATAAACGGCACATTCCTAATAACTTTTGAAAAAAATGTGACTGTCAATGGTACGCTGTTCGTAAATAAAAACAACATTGATATGCGGAAACCAGGAACACCATCATTTCCCTCAATTATTATAAACAACCACAGCGAAATTTTAAGTTTATCATCTGTCCATGAGATGAACTTGCAAAACTTACAATATATTGGCGAACTTGAAAGAGATGCAAAAGTGCGGCCAATATTAGTTGGTTGTGTTGTTTTTATGAGTATCGAATTACTCTATTCCATATTGTGCCTCATTAAGCGTAGGGTGAAGAAGAGAGAACAGCGAGATTTTAAATCTGCCGTAGCAATGGCTATAAAGAAGACCGAGGACGGCCTTCACTTAAGTGAGGGGGTAGTTAGCACATCCCTGCCAAACTAACAGGCAACAATGTTGCCTTTGTGAGCTTTGCTTGGTTGACTGTTGTGTGCTTAGCATGGAGTCGTGTTACGTCTGGTGGCGTGATCATGGGAAGTGTAGTGTCAGCGTATTGTCAGCAATTTTGATTTGTTTAGTTTAAGTAGAATAAGTTTTTGATTTGAATAAAGAAGTTAGTTCATTTTAACTCACCAAAAGGCACACAAGTCTTTTTATTAACTTATATTTGGTCTGTTCCCGTACTGCAAGAATCTACTTATCTGTTATCTTCGATAACATAAAGGAAAATTTGTTATCGTAGTAAAAAGTAGTAGATTTTTGCACTACGGGAACGGACCAATTTATAGGTAAACAAACATGTACGTTTTATACACATGCTATTATTTTTATAAAAAAATATACTTTTTTATTTTTGTCATCTATTTTATCTGGTCGTCTTAGTTAAACCCCTAATGAAAATCATATTAAATGAACATGCTTTTAAAGAAGTTTTCTCATGTTTTTCTATCGAGTAATGAAGTTTCTTGTCTTTTTTAAACGCATTTTCCCCATTACCATCAAATAAAATTGGCATATTACCCAACCGCGTAATTAAACATCTTCGATTATTTGCCGCTACATTGACACATTCACACATAAATAAACAATCGATAACATAAATGACAATTTGACAGCAAGCAATAATCGCCAAATTGACACCTCTATTGTGTGAGGTTATAAAACTCCTCTAAATGAATGAATGAAACATTTAACATTTATTTTTAATTTGCAAAATTAAAAAGTTTGATAGTGTACAAAGAGTAAGTAGGCGCCAACAATGTCCGATGAAATAGATACCGACAATGAATTGGAGGAGAATTACTATAGCTATTTAAATGTTCCCAAAGAGGTGAGTACAAGTGAATTTCAATAACATTTGATATGGTTTCATCATCTGTGAACGACGATGCGTGTTTTATTTTTGTTTCTGTTTTTCGTTGCGGTTTGTAGGCCTCCGCTGAACAAATCAACAATGCCTATCGGAAATTGTCACGTTTGTATCATCCGGACAAACACACCGAACCGGAAAATAAACAAAAAGCCGAGCTGATGTTTAATCGTACCAAAAAGGCCTATGAAGTTCTATCCGATCCACATAAGCGGGCGATCTACGATTCGGTGGGTGACAAGGGACTACGCACAGATGGTTGGGAGTTGGTACAGCGACAGAAGACACCGGCCGAAATACGTGAAGAATATGAACGGCTAGCGGAGGCAGCTGAGGCCCGTAAGCTGTTGCAGAACACAAATCCTCGTGGCAATGTTACCATTAATGTTAATGCCACGGAAATATTTTCACCCTATGATGAAAGTGATTTTCCCCACATTGAAGTGTCTTCCATGAGCATAGCTCAGTCGATAGAAGCACCACTGACGCGAAGAGACACATTGACATTGAGCGGTAATCTGGTGTCGTCGAATGGAAATGGTTCCGGCGGTTTTGTGGTATGTGGTCGGCGGCTTTTGAATAAAGGCTGGTTGGAATTGGATGTGGGAGCAGGTAATGGTTTACTGTTGGGAGTTAAAGGCGGTCGCACTTTATCCTCGCTGGTAACATTAAATGCTGGTGCATCCACCAATTTTCGGGATAATGGTGTAGTACCGGGCCTCTTCACGACATTGGGTGTGCAATTGGACAAACATACATTGGGCTCATTGACTTTAAATGCCGGCGGACAAGCTTCGATGACAACACAAATTGATCGCAATACCGAACGTTATGCGTGGTCAACATCGTTTGTAATTGGATCACCGCATATCTACTTCAGCATTGCCTATACCCACAAAATGATTGAAAATGAACTGAAACTAAAGGCAGTGGCTAAAGTGGGTACCTTTGGTTTTATGGCGGAGTATGGGGCTGAGAAGAAAATATCCAAATACAGTTCAGTGTTGGCGGCTGTGTCGATTGGTGTGCCCACCGGTGTAATACTGAAGTTCAAGTAAGTACCAACATATATGACCATAAATGTGATTTTTATTAATTAACCGCTTTCGAATGTATTTACAGAGTCATTAGGTCCCAACAAACCTATGTATTTCCCATACATTTAAGTGAAGAAATTGTACCGGCGGCTGTATTCTATGCCACGGTTACACCAATTATTGTTTGGTTTTTCGTCAAAAAGTCCATCATTGAGCCAATGCAAGCCGAACGCAAGAACATCGAAATTGAAAAGACCAAACGTACGAATGAGCAACGCATGAATTTGAAGCGGCAAGAGGCCATGGCGGCATTGGACTTAATGCAACACACCTATGAGCGTATTGTACAGGAGGAAACCGAACGTAATGGTTTGATAATTGTCAAAGCCACCTATGGCCAGACAGAGGACGATAATCAAAATGATTTCATTAAGGAGTCATCGATAGATGTTACAGTTCCTGTTCAGTGTTTGGTGAAAGATGGTGTTCTAGAATTGTACAATTCATCAAAGGTAATTTGTAAATGTAATATATAGTTTTGGAACTTTAATAATCGTGGATTTCCTTGTTTACAGAGCGACCTGCCCGGTTTCTATGATCCCTGCATTGGCGAATCGAAATTCTTACGCATTGATTACATGCACAATAATGTCAATAAATCAATTGTTCTTAAAGATATTGAAGCTGTTAGACTGCCACGATAACCGAAATTCTATTTTTAATTTCCCATCAATTGTTGTTGTTAATTTTTAGTTTAACGTCGTCGTTATATCCGATTAATTTTGTTTACTATAAAAAATTTCCTTTTTTAGAATTTCAAGTCAAGTTCATTTAGAGCAGTATGGAAGATTATTTTAATACGGCTAGGTTTTGTGCGGTTAGTGTATTTTTAAAATGATAGTTTTCTTTTTTGTAATACAAAAAACATATATGACGCTGAGTAAAATAATAATGCATTAAATAAACATATGCTTTTTTGTTGAGAAAAAAGTGCATAATAAAAACTGAATTATAAGTTTTGTTTTGTTATATTTTACGTATAAAGTATGGGGACAATGGGTGTAATCCTAAACTTTATAATAGGGACATCGAAAGAGATCTCAATATATTTTTTGCAGATTCCGGAATATAACAAAATATATTAATTAATTTTTAATATTTATTTATTTATTCGTTTCATTCAATAATGCTAAAGCACAGTAGCCACAATATTGACGAAAAATGTCAATTAAGTATAGGAAAATTATTAATAGATTGAAAATGTTTAATTTTGGTTTCGAACTTCCTAAAAGTTTACAAAAAATTTAATATAAAATCAGTTTCACACTGAACATACGCCATTTAAAAGATCTCCTCACAGTCATTCTGAACTGAACATACTATCTAGTTGGCATTACTCGAACATGTATTTTACCGTTAACAATCCAATAAGACAAAAGACTGAAGAAGATTTTAATTCTATTGACATTTGCAATAACTTCACACTGAACAGACCCTAGTAGTATTTTATCGTATTTTCTGGTAAAAAACATATTTTTATGATCTTATTCATGTAAAATATAAATTGAAATATAAATATAAATTAATGGTTTTATAGATATTATTTTTTTTTTTGTAAAATAATAACAGAGAATTTTACAGTCGTCTACACTGAACATACAATTTACATTTTGGAAAATAAGCATAAATTCGCCTTTGAAGAGATTATAAAAAATGACTTTGATATGATAATTAATATATTACCATTATTATGGTTTTCATTAAAATAAATGGTTTTTTTGTCAATTACCGTTATTTCCCAAAGTTACGCTATAAAACTTACATAAATCTACACTGAACATACCACGTATTTTTTATAAAGATTAAAATAATTTTGACATTGAAATTGTAATAAAAATTGCAATTATTATTAAATACTTTTTAAAATATTTATTTTGTTGCCAATTTACAGCTATTTTCCGAATTGTATGAAAGATATTAGATATTAATAAAACCTAATAAAACCTACACTGAACACACCACTAATGTTTTTGAACATAATCATAATTCGAGACGAGAAAATGGGATATAAAGTCATTTTTGTTATGATTATCATTACAAATTAATTTATATTGTTGCCAATTTACCGATATTTTCTAAAAAATCACAAAGAGTATGAACGGTTAAGTTTGCAATACTCACACTGAACATACCACATATATATTAACAGCATAAATCCACACTAAACATACCACCACCAACAACAGCTGTTTCTGACAACAGATGTCAGTTTGTGTGGATATTGATTGAAGCAAAAAACTCTCTGCCTCTGAGCAGAAGACTGCTAAATAGGTTGTAGGTTGCTCTGTGTGTTCGTTTTGATAGCTGTTGTCGTTGTCGTCGCTGTTTTGGGACAAAAAAGTTATGGAGCCTTTTAAATGGGTTTCCAATTATTTGTGTGCAGCTCCAGTGGTCATCAAACAACAATATAAACTCTTAAACGCCCGTGAAAAGTGTTTGTGAATTACATCAAATCAGAAAAAAATCTCCAGGTCGATAATTAATTCCAGCATCTCAATCAACATTGTTGTGTTGTTGTGTGCCACCGTCGCCGCTTGGAAGGCATGACCAGTAAAAAAATAACACTGTTACGTTATTTATTTGCATGCGTTTGCATGCTATTGGCATTAAATTTATTAATTGATTATTTTGCTGACAAATCGGATGTCTCTTCATCATTTAGTCGTTTAAGGTAAGTTCAAGGGACGAACGAACGGACGTATGGTGGGGGATTGTGTAAGATAGAAGATGCATAACAAAGATATGGGATGTTATTTGCTATGATTCATGTCATGTGATTTGTTTTTGTTTTCTTGGTTTTTAAATTCAAGTTTACGCAAGGTATATCGTTACAATGGAACCATACTTAACTCCACAGGCAGTGCTGCCATTACGAGTAGTAGCAGCAGCAGCAACAATAATACGAACAATAATATCAACAACTCTTTAGCATTAGCAACGGCTTTAACAACCAATGTCTCACCATTTGCAAATTCTTCCAATCCTCAACAACAACCACAACAACAATTACAACTGGAACTGCATAGTAATAATAGCATAAATCAAGTCAATAATAGCAAGGAAAACACAACAGGGGCACCATTGCCCTTGTGTGAAGACCCCGTTATTGAAGAAAGTAAGTCTAAATACTCTTTTCCTAAAGCCTATTTGTCATGCAATTAATTGTTAATTTCATTTCCTTATTGCTGCAGGTAGTCCTTTTGTACCTAACATAACTTTAGAATCTCTGGATGTTATCAACGACCAATTGGGTCCACTATTGGAGCCCGGTGGTGCTTTCAAACCAAAAGACTGTATAGCCCGGCACCATGTTGCAATTGTGGTGCCTTTTCGTGATAGATATGCCCATCTATCGATCTTCCTCCGTAACATACATAAATTTCTAATGCAACAGCGTATAGCGTATCGTATATTCATAATTGAACAGACAAATGGCAAACCCTTTAATCGTGCCGCCCTTATGAATATTGGCTTTTTGGAAGCCATGAAATTATACAAATGGGATTGTTTTATATTCCATGATGTTGATCTATTGCCATTGGATAATCGTAATTTATATAATTGTCCACGTCAACCGCGTCATATGTCAGTGGCCATAGATAAATTTAATTATAAGTAAGTGGGGATAATAATTGGTTGGATTTTTGTTTTTCATTGTGAATAAATAATTGTTTTACTTGTATTATTACAGGTTGCCTTATCGTACAATATTTGGTGGAGTTTCAGCAATGACTCGTGAACATTTTCTAACCGTCAATGGATTTTCAAATTCATATTTTGGTTGGGGTGGTGAAGATGATGATATGTCAAACAGGTGTGTATATGAAATTTTTTTCAAACAAATATATCATTTGCATCAACTATTTGGGAACATATCACATTGGAAGAGCTGAAAATGTAGATAATATTAATAAGTAAAGGAGTAATCGAATGGTCTTCTAAAAAGTATACAGCTTGGCCCATAAAGGAAGAACTCGGTCTTAATATTTCTTATAAGTATATCATTTTCTGCCTTCTTCAAAAATTAGAAAAGAGGATAGAAATCCCCGCTTCAGGTTATAGAGCCCCAGTTCTCGTTACCAATTCAACTCACGTATTCCGGTTGTCTATCGATATTCTTCAGCTTGTTATGGTGTCGCTTATTTTCTGCTTCAGTTATAGAATTTCCGATTTCAGTCTCCCTTCAGCTCTTCTAATAGAACCTATCGAGACTTCCTGCTACAATTTGTTCAGCTCGTCTATATATCCGACACTTTGATCTCTCCTTTAAGCGACCAATAAAGACTCCCTTTGTCGACCCCTATAATAGCTCCCTTCAGCCCGCCTAAAATGATTCCCTTCAGCTCTCCTATAGGCTTCATTTCTGCTTCATAAGGCTTCATTTCTGCTCGCCTACAAATATTACCTTTTGCCGGCCTAAAAGGTATATAAAGACTTCCTTCAGCTCGTCTATAAAGACTCCCTTCAGCTGGTCTGTAAAGACTCCCTTCAGCTCGTCTATAAAGACTCCCTTTAGCTCGTCTATAAAGACTGCCTTCAGCTCGTCTATAAAGACTCCCTTCAGCTCGTCTATAAAGACTCCCTTCAGCTCGTCTATAAAGACTGCCTTCAGCTCGTCTATAAAGACTGCCTTCAGCTCGTCTATAAAGACTGCCTTCAGCTCGTCTATAAAGACTGCCTTCAGCTCGTCTATAAAGACTGCCTTCAGCTCGTCTATAAAGACTGCCTTCAGCTCGTCTATAAAGACTGCCTTCAGCTCGTCTATAAAGACTGCCTTCAGCTCGTCTATAAAGACTGCCTTCAGCTCGTTTATAAAGACTGTCTTCAGCTCGTTTATAAAGACTGCCTTCAGATAGTTTATAAAGATACCCCTCAGCTCGTCCATAAAGATTCCCTTAAGGACTTCTATAGGGATTGCTATAAGCATGTATATCACTTCTTTGCTGAAAGTAAATTTTTTTTCATCATCCCTTTCATTTTCTTTTATCTCTCTTCTATATATCTTATCTCACTCTCTATATATATTTCTTTCTTTTTTTCAGATTACGAAATGCGAATCTCTTTATAGCACGTTATCCCATCAATATTGCACGCTATACAATGTTAAAACATCAAAAAGAAAAAGCCAATCCCAAACGCTATGAGAATTTGGTAAATGGCATCAATAAAATTGGTAACGATGGCTTGAATTCCATAAAATACGATATTTACAGTTATAAATCGTATCCAACGTTTAGTTGGTATTATGCTGAACTAAAGATCTCCGAACAAAAAAGTTAAATTTTTTTTAAAACATAAAAAAATGCAATCTTCTTACACACACAGAACACATATATTTATACAAAAAAACAACTATTCATTTTTACATACATATATATACAAAAAAAAAAAGAACAAAACAGCAACTTAACTATATTACTAACATAAAAACAGAACAAAAACATTCTTCTTCTTTTTTTCCAAATCTTATAACGTTCTTTAAAACATTTCTTGTTCTTTCTTATTCTTCTTCTCTTTATCTTTCTAATCTTTCCATATACATATTTCTTTTTTTATTGTTATTATCTAAACTTTACATAGAATGGAAAAATCGTAAACGATACATGAACAGAAAAAAAACAAAATAGATAAAAATTATATTTAAACTAGTGATATACATATTATATATACATCAATATTATATATACTTAGAGATATATAATTAAAAAAAAAAAAAACTAACAATTGGGAAGGTATTACACATAAAGAAAAAGACACAATAAGTAGAAGTGATCTTAACCACAAAAAAAGAAACTATTTAGTAATCAAAATTATATATTAGCATATTATGTTTTATGTTATTTTTGTTATTGTATAGATTTTCAACTTAGTTGATCTATTTTTCAATTTTTAGAAAACTAATTCATGCTTCCAGTTTCTTACTAATTTCTTCGTCCAAACCTCATTTGATATGGGATTAAACAAAATCGAAACTTGTTGCTTCCTTTTTAATGGATTTGATATTAGATACAAAAAAAAACACATATTTTTATTATTAAATAATAACAATATTTTTATTTTAGATTAGTAACAGCCCTTTTTTAAATCATGAATCTCAAACCAAGGGGTAAACCGTAATGAAAGCCATGCTCATGTACTTTTAATTGTTGTTGAATTTCTTTTTTTGTTATATTGTAAAGGTCTTTTGTCCTAGTTTTATTTTGTTACATATAAATATTTTTGATTTTGTTTAACATATTTTAAATAAATATATACATGTAATTAAAATTCTTCCATCCATATTGAAATTTGTTACAACTCCAAGAGTAATAATATTTTATTTTTAATGTATATAATAATTAAGATTTTTTTGTTTGCACTAGCCTTAAGATTGTTTTTTTTTGTTTTGGTTTTTTTTCAAATTGGCATTCCTATATTTTATGTACTATTACTAATATGACAAGTAGCTTTAAAACAATTATTTATTTTAAGCCTAACTTTTCCCTCCAAGGCTTTCATATTTTGTTTACAAAATATTTGCAACATAATATAGCTAAAAAAAACACCCTTCTCTTCACTCACAAAGACTCTCTTCAGTCCAGGTATAAAGACTCCCTTTCGATTGTCTTCCTTCCTTTCATAATTGACTTTTGGATCTTTTAGTTTCCATTCAGCTCGAAAACTCAAATTTCCTCCAGCTCGTCTATACAGACTTTTTGTAGCCAGAATATAAACTACTTGATTTAGTCTGTAAAGTTAGCTCACTCATAAAGATTCTCTTCAGTTCGTATATAAAGGCTCCCTTTAGCTGGTCTATAAAGACTCTTTTCAGCTCGCGGATAAAGATCCCTTCAGCTTGTCTATAAATACCCCCTTCATTCCGTACATAAATACCACCTTCAGATCGCGAATAAATACCCCTTCAGCTCGCATCTAAAGACTCCGTTCTTATTAATATTCTAATAAATATTAAATTTTTTTTTTTAATAAACCATTACTTTTACCTCAAAAGCTTTCATTTTGTTCTATAATTTATGAGAATAATTGAAAAAGGTTTTCTAAAATAAAATAGTTTAAAAATGAATCTCAATTGATTTTATGCAACAGAAACTTCCAATACTAATTGTTTTTAATAATTTTATCACAGATATTTTATTTTTATTTTGAAATGAAAACTTTGTTCCTTTTCTGAAGATGACCTCTCCCTATTGGGGGTGGGTGTAGTATGATTTTTAAATTATAATAAACAGCTATATGTTAATTCATATGTCTCACTTTGTATTGATGCAATATATTTTTAAATTAATATTTTAAAGATTTTAATTATATACATTTGTATTATAAAAAAAATTAAAATAAAAAAATAATAAGTCGGTAACAAAAAAACACACAAGACATAAAATAAACACACTTTTTTATATACACCACACAAGAACAACAAAAAAATTATTGCTTTAAACTATAAAACTGAAATTAATTATTAATAATAAAAAAATATACATTATATTACAACGTATATACATATTATCTATATATAGAAAAAAAAAAACATAAATCAATTGGAATATACTTAAAAAATTGTTTGTGATACAAATATTATTGTTATAGAACAACAAAACAACAACAAAAATGAATCATACAAAAATATGAAACTGAAAACAAATTCTTAAATTTAATTATATACCAACCAACCATTCGAATCTCAAAAAAAAAAAAAAATGAAACTGAAAAACAAATATTTGTAAAAATTATTACGAACAAAAAAAAACTATATATTTAAATAAAAAAATCAAACTTTATTAGGAAATTTCATCAATATATATACATAAAATACTTTAAAAGGAGGACAAAAATATTTAAATTGAAAAAAACCAATGTACATACATTTCATAAAAAAGGATTTTTTCTTTTTTTTTCAATAAAAATCTACAAAATTGAAAATATAAGAAAAAATGTGGTTTTATTTTGGGTCACTGGGTCACAAACTTCCTAAAACTCAAATATAAAGACTCCCTTCAGAGACCTTTTCATCTCGTCTATAAAAGCCCCTTCAGTAAGAATGTATGGAACATCGAGGTATTCAAAAACTCAGAATATGAGTTAATTAACCTAAAAACCAATATCGACCCTAATTAAAATTTTGGTATTATTTTTTTTTTCTCCTATAGTAGTACGTATTTCGAAAACCACCTACATATCTCAATACGGCAAACGAAAACTAGCTCTATACAAAATTTGGTATAGTTGTTTTTACCTTTTGTACACTTGGCATCACTTTCAAAACTATTTTCAAATTTCATGATTCGAGCTCTATAGGGTTCACCCAAATCCAAATTTTACTAAATGTAGTACGTACGCATTAGTACAAATTTTCATAAGTACCCCATCTACCATCTCAACAATCCAATAGAAATCATTCATATTTACTACCAATTCCACTGTTCCAGCTCTGCTCTACATCGGTTCACCCACCCACCACCCACTCACTCAACGCAAAAAAAATTCAAATTAATCTGGAAAATATGAAATTTCCTTAAAATACCAGGCCAACAGAATTGATTGAAGGTGTTTATAGAGCAAATAGCAATGGTAAATTGTAACGCCTTAGAGTATGCTACAGTTTTTAATGTTTAGCTTTCTAGAACGGCGTTGCCAACCAAACATATACAAATGTGCTGTGGTAAATACCACATTATATAGTCATGCCGAAATTGAAGAAAATCTTCCGTAATACTTTATTTTAAGAAGATGGTGTCAAAGGAGAATATGTTCTTCAACAGATTTCACTATGGGTCACTGAATTAAAGAAATGTGTAGGTGCCATATATATCATTCAAAAAAGCCAAATCAAATTTGTATATAAACAAAAGTGCTTAATGTTGGTTTGGTTGAATTTGACCATTCCAGAATTGGGTTATATCTTCACCAAAACTTAACTTTAGGAATATGGTGTCAAAGGAGAATATGTTCTCCATCAAATTTCACTATGGGTTACCAAACAAGTGAAAACTCTACGAGCCATAGAAATAGTTAAAAAAATGCGATTCTACAATATAGTAATTTATTTTTTTATTAAATTTGGTCGTTTCCGATCTGAGCTAAATCTCGCTTTATACTTCATTGTAGGAGGGTGCTGTCAAAGGAGGACTTTTTCCACATCCAATTTCATTATGGATCATCGGACAAAAGAAATCTGTGGGTGCAATATATATCAAACAAAAAACACAAAACTAATTTGACATTTTAGAAGGAAAGTGTAGTTCTTCATCAAACATGGGTTATATAAGAACCAATATATATCAATTTTTTTAGAAACAATATGTAATAAATGTTTTTGGTTAGGTTAGGTCGTTCTGGAATTGGGCCAAATTGTACTCAATACTTCATTGTAGGAGGATGATGTCAAAGAAGAACTTTTTCCCCTTCGAATTTCATTATGGGCCATCGAACAAAAGAAATCTATAGGTGCAGTATATATCAATCAAAAAACACAAATCTAATTGGTATATAAAAAATATGTAGTAAATGTTTTTGGTTAGGTTTGGTCGTTCTGGAATTGGGCCAAATTGTACTCAATACTTCATTGTAGGAGGATGATGTCAAAGAAGAACTTTTTCCCCATCGAATTTCATTATGGGTCATCGAACAAAAGAAATCTGTAGGTGTAGTATATAGAAATAAAAAATAAGAATTCTAATTTAAAGAGATAAAATAATAATTAAATTTGGTCATTCCGGAATTGGCTCTAAATATTATTAATATTAAATTTTAGGACTATGATGTCAATGGAGAATTGATTGTACATAAAATTTCACTATGGGTCACCGAACAAGTGAAAACTCTATGATCAATCTAAATATATAAAAAAATTGCAATTCTAATTGAACATGTAAAAACAGTAATTTTATAATGAATATTATAATATAAATATAAAATGTAATTATAAATTTCTTATATTTTTTAATTATGTAATGAGGATTACATAAGTTTCACAATATTAAAAAAAAATCAACATTTCGGTTTGTTAGAAACGCTTATAGCGCCACAAAAAATATATTTATTTTGTTCTTGTTTATTATGTTTTTTTGTTTTGTTTTTTTTTTAATGTGTTACATTTATTAAATATTTTTTGTTTTTAACTTCATACACTGGTAATTAATATTGTTTACGTTTATTATTAATAATTATTTTTTGTTATTAATTAATATAAACTTATATTTAATATTCGATACAGCAAAATAAAATTCTTAGACAAGAAAGAAAATCAAACTTCATTTGTTACACAAAAATTGTTTCATTTTTTTTGTTTTAGTTGTTTTTTTTATAAAAAATCTATACTCGTTTGGACCCCTTATTACTTATACATAAATATATATATGCAAAATTTTGTTTCATTTGAGCAAAACGGATTTCAAATCATTCGACTTCGACTTATACAACAACAAAGTAGTATTTACTGGGTAGAAGGTTAATAAAGACTAAAAAACATAATTATTAATTAAATATTATTCAAAATCTTTTTAGTATTTTAAAGAGCAGGCATAACAATTATTATATATACATAAATAAAATAAAATCACGGACAATTATTTTTTGGCCAAAAACAAATTGTCTTATCAAATCAAATTAAAAAAATATATAAAAAATAAACAGTTTTTAATAACGAAGAAATAATTCCAATAAAAAAATATTTCGTTGAGAGCACATTCCTCGCAAGAATTACATTATTGAGCAAGGCATAGCACAGCAGAGTGGCAAGCAAACGGGTACCATGGCACCGCCAGATTTGGTAGTGGTCTTAGATCTAGAACCAGATTCATATTCATACATTCCGGAACCTTTGGCCCACCGTCCCTGGGGAATCACAGAAAAAAGAAACACGTTAATATGGAAAATAGTACAATGAAACATTTTTTAAAAATTTACGCCAGCTTGTGATCCTGAAGCATGCATTTCCGAGCGTTTGGTCAACATCATTTCATGTCCTGGTGGATAGTAGATTTCCCGACCAGCTCTATTAACCGATGGTATTTGTTGTTGATTGGGCGTGGCCACGGCAGTTTCAATTTCACGTTTGCGTGGTGTGTTCAAATCGGGTCTATCAACGGAATCGGTCTGCAAGGGGAAGATATTAAAAAAATAATATTAAAAAAAAATATATATTTAAAAAAATCTATTTCGAAAATATCAATAACTAGTTCTTTGTGTTGAATGTTCTAATTAGAAGTGTTAAAATTTCAAATTTGAAATTTTCTAATTTACATTTAGTTAGATTTGATCTTTAGGAATTTGGCCAAATCACCCATAATGGTTGATTTTAGAGGGATGCTACCAAAGCAGATTGTGATCTACATTAAATTTCACTGTAAGTCATCTCACTTAAGATTTTTGTATATATATATATATATATATTGATTAAAATATTCGATTTATATTTATATAAAAACCCGACAACTTTATGTTTGGGTAATTTTCATGTGGTTTGGGTTTGGATTAATATCTGCCAAATAACATCACTTTAGAAGCATGTTATCAAAGGAGAACATGTTCTACATTAAATTTCAGTATGGGTCACCGAACACAGGAAATCTGTAGGTGTAGTATATATCGATCAAAAAATTCAAATCTAATTGGTATACAAACAATAAGTACTAAATATTTTTGGTTTGGTTTGGACGTTCTGGAATTGGGATAAATTGTCCTCAATACTTCAATTTAGAAGGATGGTGTTAAAGGAGAACATGTTCTACATTAAATTTCAGTATGGGTCACCGAACAAAAGATATCTCCAGGAGCAGTATATATAAATCAAAAACACAAATCTAATTGGTATACAAACAATAAATACTAAATATTTTTGGTTAGGTTTGGTCGTTCTGGAACGGGGTGAACTCATCCTCAATACGACATTTTAGAGAGAAAGTGTAAAAGAAGAACAGGTTCCTCATCAAATTTCACTATGGGTCACCGAACAAAAGAAATCTGTAAGTGCAGTGTATATCGATCAAAAAACACAAATCTAATTGGTATATTAACAATATTTACTAGATGTTTTTAGGTTAGGTTTGGTCGTTCTGCAATTGAGAAAAATTGTCCTCAATACTTCAATTTAGAAGGATGGTGTTAAAGGAAAACATGTTCTACATAAAATTTTACTACGGGTCACCGAAGAAAATAATTTTGTAGGTCTAGTATATATCTGTATAAATGACAAATTAAAAATTTCCATAATCAAAATAACTATTCATGGTAAATTTGTTGCTTTGAAATAAGGTCAATATCTTTTACAATGCTTCATTTTAGCAGGTCGAAGTTAATGGGTAAAATATTCTACACAAAATTTGACAATAGGTCAACGAACAAACAATTTTCAAATTCCCACTCGGTAAGTCACTACGGCCCCTTTTTTAATTTTTCTTATAATTTATTTTTGTTGTTCTCGCCACCTTTTTAATTTTTCTTATAATTTATTTTTGTTGTTTTCTTTTAGGTTCCACTTACATTTCCCAGAGATTGCATTAGCTCCTCAACACGCTGTGGTGGATTACCATTTGTTGTGGGATACTCAACAACACCGTCCACTGGGAAGGGTGCTGGTGGCAATGGTGTCGATGGTGAGCCGTAATTGGGACCACCTCGTGTATTACTGGTATTTGTGGTAGTCGAAGAATAATTGTAGGTTATATTCGTATGTGGTGGATGACCATTGCCGGGATAGCCAGGACCACCATTAGTTGGTGGATAACCACCGGTGCTACCATTTGGTGGATAACCACCATGTGGTTTATTTGGTTCATGTGGTGGTCCACCGTGAATGGTATTAACCGTGTTAGTAGATTCCTTGTAGATGTAATGATGTGTTGTGGGTCCACCAGGACCATGATGGGGTCCTGGCCCATGTTGCGGTGAAACTGGACTACGTGGCCCTTGATTATTGGGACTATGTCCGGGATATCCGGGCCTTTCCGTGTTCGTTGTGGTGGTCGTATTGTGAATATTATAAACAATGGTATTACTGCCAACTGGTGGTTCACCAGATGTTGGTCCTAGTGGTCCTGGTGATACTGGATGTTGATGATTTCTTGGTTGCAATGGCAAAGTGTTATTCCTCAATGTGTTCGTTTCATAATGTTCACGTACTTCATAGTTAACATTTGACACCACCGGTTTGTTGTCCTTATTCAAGGTGGAATAACTTTCCGTATTGTAGACCACCGTCTGGGGTATGGCATGGACGGGATGCGGTTGAACCACATTATTAGTTTCATTCGTTTGAATGGTATTGTATTGAATTTTACGACTCAATGTATTCGAGGTAGGTAGTGGTGCATTAGCCGGTATCTCATAGGTGTAGGTGCGTACTGTCGTTGTGACCTTTGTGCCTGGCACGGGGAGAATGTCTTCACTGACGGTGAGATTTTTCAAGTCCTCTTGTAGGAGAGTGGCATTTGTTTGGGTGTTGGAGACCACCGTCGAATTGGCAGTTGGCACAAATTCGGGTTTATTCAATGAACGATTGCTTTCATAGATTTTCGTTTGATGTTTTGTTTCATAGAAACCACCGCCGGGTGAGAGGTTGCCTGTGCAGGGGAAACATTGTGAGGTTAGAATTTAAAATCCATTTTTTTGGGATGGGAAATGAATACTTACTTCCAACATAGGGCTTTTCCAGCGTTTGATAATCATTACGCACCAAGGTACCATTGGATCTCAGGGTACTGTAATCCGATGTTGGATACAATTCGCTATCATCCGCCAAACCACCGCTAATATTTTTCGAAGTTTTTATAACTTTTGTGGTTTTGGTAACGGTCCCCGTCAATGGATCCTCATTGGTTGAACGTTCACTAAAACAGAAACAGGGGAAATGTAATTGGATTCCAATAAGAATATGTTATTCGATGGCAATGGAAACTTACATGGTCCTATAGTTCATAGAATGATCTGAAAGAAAATGGAAAAGTGAAGAGAATTAAAATACAAATAATGGAACCAAATTAAGGAGGATATTTTATGGATTTTTATGTTACTCTCTTTTCCTCCACTTACCTCTGTCCCTGGTTATTTCCCTTTCATTTTTCAAATCTTCCAATAGAGCATCTAATTGATCGATATTTTTATCAATTGGCTTGTCCTGTTGATAAGAGCCACTGCCAGAGCCTGTATTGGAATACTGATATGCTGCAGAGGTTTTATAAGAATATCCAGTCTTATGATCCTGAAAAAAAGATCGGAAAAAAACATTAATAAAAAAATAAAATAAAAAATAAAAAAAAAATATAATAAAAAAATAATGATCCGGTCATAAAAAAATATTGAAAAATGGGGCTTTTTTCGATAAATTTTCATTTTTTTTTCTTAAAGCATATTTATATGTATATAAGTCTGTGTTGTTTATTTTTCTTAACTAACCTTGCCACTGGTCCATTTTGGTGGTGAATCTCTTAAAGAAGAGGAATAATTTTCCGAACGGCTGCTGTACTGCATTTTTCAAAAACAATTTGTTAACCGAAAAAAATGCGTGTGGTTCCTATAAATAAATAAAAGAATGAAAATACAAACATTAATATAAAAATTTTAACATTTGTTATTCGAAAAAAATTTAAAAAAAAAATATTTAAATGTAAACAATAAATGAAGCCATTTAAACTGACTCAGTCATGTGCATATATGTATAGAAATTTGAAAATTGTTTATATTTTTTATTTATTTTTATAGAAATTCAATATATTTTGAAATTTTTTTTGGGAAGTTTTTGGTCGTAATTTTAAAATGGCTAATATTTTATTTTTGGATTTTTTCCCGTTTAATAAAAAATTTTTAGTTTTGATATGTGTGTTTTTTGGCAGGAATTTATAAATTGGTCGATTTAAAAAAATTCGTATCTAAAAATTGGTAGATTTTTTTACATTAACATTTTTCGAAATTATAGTTTTGGTCGTACGTTTTTGGTTTATTATCAATATATTTTGAAACATTTTCGGTTTTTAGACAGAATTTTAAAAAATTGTAAATTTTTATTTTTGAAATTTATTCAATTTTAAAACTTTTTTATATCCAAAAATTTAAATTTTTATTGAGGTGTGTTTTTGGATCGGAATTAAAAAATTGGTCAATTTTTTGTATTCAAATTTTTTGAAATTAGAATTTTGGTCATAATTTTTTTTAAAGAAATTCAACATTTTTATGATCGGAATTTAAAAAAAATTGTCAATTTTCTATTTTTCCCCCATTTAAAAATTTTTGTATACAAAAATTTTTAAATTATGTTATTTTTGATACAAGGGTTTTTTGGTCGGAATTTAAAAATCGGTCAATTTTTTGGGGAATATTTTATATATTTTCGGAAGTTACAAATTTGGTCATATTTATTGTCTTTATTTTTAAAAAAATTTATATATTTTGAAACATTATCAGGGTCATTGGGAAAATTTTTGGTCGGAATTAAAAAAAAAAATTGCATTTTTTTTGCATTTAATAATTTTTTATATCCAAATTTAAATTTTTATTATTTTTGATATGGATATTTTTTGGTCGGAATTTAAAAATTGGACAATTTTTTATATTATTATTTTTTTTTTTTTGGAATTTTGGTCATATTTCTGTTTAAAGAAATTCAACAAATAGGGTAATTTTTTATTGAATTTTTTTATATATGTTTTTATTTTTTCATTTTTGGTCGCCTTTCATATTTTTTGCTTTATTTAAAAAAATTTATATATTTTGAAACATTATCAGGGTCATTGGGAAAATTTTTGGTCGGAATTAAAAAAAAAAATTGCCATTTTTTTGCATTTTTTCCATTTAATAATTTTTTATATCCAAATTTAAATTTTTATTATTTTTGATATGGATATTTTTTGGTCGGAATTTAAAAATTGGACAATTTTTTATATTATTTTTTTTTGAAATTTTGGTCATATTTCTGTTTAAAGAAATTCAACATATTTAGGGTAATTTTTTATTGAATTTTTTTATATAAAAATGTTTTTTACTTTTTTTCATTTTTGGTCGCCTTTCATATTTTTTACTTTATTTAAAAAAATTTATATATTTTGAAACATTATCAGGTCATTGGGAAAATTTTTGGTCGGAATTTAAAAAAAAATTGTCTTCTTTGCATTTTTTTCCATTTAATAATTTTTTATATCCAAATTAAAATTTTTATTATTTTTGATATGGGTATTTTTTGGTCGGAATTTAAAAATTGGACAATTCTTTATATTTTTTTTTTTTTTGGATATTGGTCATATTTTTGTTTGGCAACCCTATATAATTTTTATGTTTTTTGTGATCTCAGATTGTTTTCATTTTTGATCGAAAAACTTTTTTTCAATTGGCAACCCTAAATATCATTTTTGTGTATGTGATCTCAGATGATGATTGCATCTGGGGATATGTCAGTTTAGTTGTTGTTATTTCGTTGTTGTTGTTGTTTGTCTGTTGGTTTTCAAGGAATCCAACTTGATTTTTTTTTGTGCAAATAAATCCGTAACGAGACACAGTACAAAAACAACAGCAACTACAACAAATCATTAAAAAAAATTCATTGCCAAAAAATTAGTCATTGTTTACATTTTCGCTTTATGTTGTTGTTGTTATTATTTTTGTTTCTTATGAATGCTTTTTATTTTCGATTTCATTTTTTAATACACATATGACCTCCAATGTATTTAAGCAACAGTGTCGTAAAAATTTGTTTGGAATTTTAAAAAGGATGCCGAACAGGAGATTTTGTGGAACTAAAGAGAGAGGGAGAGAGAGAGGGGTAAAGGGTGAGATGGGGAGCAAAAAATATGTTGTGACAGGAAATTGTCTGTTGGTCAGCTTTTGTTTTATTTTGACATGTTTTCGTGTGTGTGTATATCACTTATGTGACTTTCAAAGTCAAGGATAAACACGAACGAAACGGGTTTCCCATTTCAAAAATAAAATGAGATCATCAATTGATCTGGAAGCCAAATCAAATGTGGAATAAAAACTGTAAGGGTTTTAAAAAACCATGGATGTGTTTTTTTATTTAGGAAAAAAATACTTTATTAAACAGATTATATTTAAATTCGTTAATAAAATAGTAGTTTTTATAAAAAAATATTCTTAAAGTCAATTACAAAATTTAAAAAAAAAAATGACAGAGAAAAATAGGAAGAATTTACAACATTTTTTTATAAATGAAAGTTTGATAGCAATTCAGAAAAAATATTTTGTAAACGATTTTTTCAATAAAAAAAAAAATTTTATATTTCAAAAAATTTCGAAAATAATATTTTTTTATAATATGAGTTTTTAATATATGTATACCACTTTGTTAGGGAAAGTGGGATATATTTAACCATGCATTAACATATTATTTTATTTTCACAGAAAACTGCATATGTCAGGAAAACTTAGCTATCCACACATTAATATCGACCATAAATTAAATTTGAGTACCAACTTTCATGATTTGAACTCTACAGGTTCACCCAAATTCAAATTGGCACACATTATTTCCAAGAGTACCCACCTCAACCATCCAACAAAACTTCCTGCATACACCTATCCTACACCCTCACAATGATTCCAAATTCAAATTTCAGGATACAAGTCTATGGTTCACCCACAATTCAAATTGTACCAAATTAAGTACATAGTAGTACCAATTCCCAAAACTTCCTACATACCCCAATCCTACACCCCAACAGTGATCCTAAATACATGTTTCAGGATTCCAACTCTAACGATTCACCCACAATTCAAACTGTACCAAATTTAGTACACAATAGTACGAATTTCCAATACTTCCTACATACCCCAATCCTACACCCCAACAGTGATCCTAAATCCAAGTTTCAGGATTCCAATTTTATCGGTACGCCCACAATTCAAATTGTACCAAATTTAGTACACAGTAGTACCAATTTCCAAAACTTCCTACAAATCTCGATCATATACCTCAACAGTGATCCTAATTCCAAGTTTCAAGATTCCAACTCTATCGATTCAGCCACAATTCAAACTGTACAAAATTTAGTACACAATAGTACGAATTTCCCAAACTTACTACACACCCCAATGATACACCCCCACAATTTCGAAAACTTCCTACACACTCCAATCCTACACCTCCACAGTGATCCTAAATCCAAGTTTCAGGATTCCAATTCTATCGGTTCACCCACAATTCAAATTGTACGAAATTTAGTACACATTAGTAAACATTTTTTAAAACATCCTACATATCTCGATCATACACCTCAACAGTGATCATGACTCCAAATTTCATGATTCTAGCTCTATTGGTTTACCCAAAAAATTCAAATTGTACCAAATTTAGTACCATTTAGTATCCATGAATATAAATTGCTTAAACTGAATCCTGACCCCCAAATCCTACACCCCTACAGTGATCCTGACTTCAAATTTCATTGTTTTCGCTCTATCTGCGGTTCATCAAAATCCAAATTGTACCAATTATAGTACGATTTAGTACTTTTCGTACACATCAGTACAAAAAATTCCAAAACTACGTACGTATATTCCATTCCTACACTCCGACGGTAATGTTAATTTCAAAATGGTAGGATTCCAGCTCGATTTGTACCTCCAAAATAAATTTGCACCAAATATAGTACCATATAGTACTTTTCGTACATATGAGCACACGCTTTCAAAACCATCTCCCGTGAATGAAACCTACTTCTCAACTCAAAATTCACACTCGAAATTTCAAGTTTTTAGTGCTATTCATGTTTACATGCTACGAATCTGTACCAAATTTGGTACATTTTCGTACTTTTCGGATAGTTATAGTTCGAATTTCAAAAAAAAAACCTTTGGTACATCTATTCTACACTCCATCAACGATCACTAATCCAAATTTCAGATTTCTAGTAGCTCTACCGGTTCGCCAAATACAAATTGTATCACATTTAGTACTTTTCGTACCGTTCAAGTACGAACATCCAAAAATTCAGCCTTATCTGTCACGTTTAGACCAAGAGTGAAACTCACCAAAAATTTTGAGATTCTAGCTTCAACGCGCAAGACGTCCAGTAGACTCGGACTAACTGTGGAACTTGAGAACTACAGCTTCGAGGTAGTCAAAAGAAATAAAACGAATGACATCAGTTTTGAAATTTGGAGTAGGATAGTGATGGCCAACCGATGCTACTATGGTCTGAGCAAGGCCAACTCCCGCCAGACCAAACTCACACTCTACCAGACACTGATACTACCCGTGCTGTTATATGGATCTGAAGCATGGGTACTTACGCAAGCAAATGAGATAGCTCTTGGAGTGTTTGAGAGAAAATTTCTCCGAAAGATTTATGGGCTGCGATCTGCGTTAACGGTGAATATCGCCATCGAATGAACCATGAGTTGTACCAGCTATTCTCGGACATCGACATTGTTAGACGTGTATTGAGCTGTAGCGACTACGTTGGCGAATGAATGAAGATGCCCCGGCCCAAAATGCATATAAAAGCGAACCAGCTGATGGTTCACGCCAAGAATACGATA